ACGAAAAGTTGACAAATTCAATAACAGTTGAATATAATCATATTGTACCTATGATTAATATTGCTCAACTTTTTTTTAGAATCGGATTCTTCGTCTCCGCAACGAAACTGTGATATCATATCGTAGTTTGCAATGGTACGGAGGGTATCCACTTAATGGGGAGAGTGATTGCTTCAGGACAAACATGCATATCGGGATTCGTGCGATTCAACAAGCCCAGATCAACACACCGGATTTTGAAAGCTACGTCTTGTGTGAAATCTGAACTTTAAACCAACAGTTATAACAAATTGTAAATACAAAATGAAAAACTGCGTTCTTGTCAAACCCAAATGTTCACACCAACAAGCAAGAAATTAAATTCATCCTTTATCTTTCTCGCTCGAAAATATTTTGATAGGTCCGAAAGGCAGTCGGGGGCGACGAGGGTTCAAAGGTGAACAAGGATCTACTGGTAATGTCGATTATAGGACAATTAATGCTTCTATTAAGCTCATGTTAGAATCGGGTAAGAGGACCATGCTATCGGGTATTTGTTATCATTCCCAATGGGTCAATGAATTCACACCTAGCTTAAATTATTTCGCGCGCATAAAACTTTGGGCGCTCCTATAGTATGTGCACCAAGATCGCGGACACCGGAACATGTGTACCAGACTAGGGTTAGGACATAATTTTATTCTAATTTTCCCTATTTTAGTTCTATTACGAATTCGGGAACTAGCCAAGTGACTTTCGTATTTAAAATTATGGCCCAACCTGGTACAAATATTACGTTCCGGTGTCCGCCATCTTGGTTCACATACTACATGTATCCCAGACTTTGATTTGACAATTTCTTTTTGCAAAAAAACCGAAAGAAAGAGCCGTGTGTGATATTTTTATTTACAAATTAGACGTAATTTAATTGTTAGTATTCATTACTTAATATGACGCAAGTCATATACTTTCTCTTGGTTGATTTATTGTACAAACAACTATCATTTGTGTTCAGAAATGACAAAGCTACGAGCAGAATTATTGGCCAAAAAAAGAAGTGAGAACACCCCCCACCTACTGGAATTACCGAACAAGGTTTTTTGCACTAATAAACAAATGTGGGCACTCCTGAAGTATGCGCACCAAGATGTCGCACAACCTGAAACCTAACCTTATACACAACCCGAGTTCTGGTTGTGCGCCATCTTGGTGCGCATACTTCAGGAAGTCCCAAATGTGCGTGTTAAGCTTTGATTTAACATACTATCAATTCAAAGGCTTTTTAAAAGCATTCACTGGTATGTGAAGAATTATTATATTTTGAAGATTACTTCTGGTTCGCCATTACCTAACTAAATGCCGATATGGATTAACCAAACGCCTTAGGGACTTCGCTTCCGTCTTTGAGGTTCAAATTACTGAGTGAGTTCAAATTACACTAGACTAGCCAATTTTGAACTAATATGATTCCAGTCTCTTCGAAATAATTCCTACTCGGATAATATTCGATTTTGTCCCCTTGACTTTAAAATCAATATCATTGCTCTCACAAATTCAGGTTAATTTTACTTTTTGTATCATAGTGTACATTCACATGATTGATATGTATATAATATTCATTGATTCGCTTCTTGTACTCTCTACGTTCTCTTGCTTTTACAGCGTAAAATACCGAGTACAATTAGAAAAATTATAAATCGTATGACGACACATTTATATCAATTCATTCGATTTAACAATTGATAGTTATAAATTGCAGATATTGTGCGCTATGACGGAAGAATATTCATACCGTTGGCATCTGAAAAGGCTAATAAATCATTAGCGACCGCCAAGTTTCAAAAACTATGCGGGAAACTTGCAAATATATATAACCAGACCCACATGGATAAGATAACGACATTCATCCGCGACAACAAGCTGGGAAAGGAGCGATATAAATATTTTCATCTCGGCATGTCATACGTAAGTTGAACATAAAAGCTTTATCAGTATTTCTTTGAGTACTTTATATCTGCGTTACAGATTAGGCTCTGCGCAAGAATATACTCTTTTATTTAATGGTGATTAAAGCATTGACAAGGAACTGCATAAACCATGATCCAAGATCTTTAACATATAATGCCAATATGATGTACAAAAAGTTGACAAATTCCATAACATTTAAATATAATCATATTGTACCTATGATTAATATTGCTCAACAATTGCTTTTTTTTAAAATCGGATTCTTCGTCTCCGCAACGAAACTGTGATATCATATCGTAGTTTGCAATGGTACGGAGGGTATCCACTTAATGGGGGGAATGATTCTTTCAGGACAAACGTGCATATCGGGATTCATGACGATTCAACAAGCCCAGATCAACACATTGTCAACACACCGGATTTTGAAAGCTACGTTTTGTGTGAAATCTGAACTTTAAACCAACAGTTATAACAAATTGTAAATACAAAATGAAAAACTGCGTTCTTGTCAAACCCAAATGTTCACACCAACAAGCAAGAAATTAAATTCATCCTTTATCTTTCTCGCTCGAAAATATTCAACCTTGAATTGTATAATTGAAAACAGATATGTTTGAAACCTTCGAAATTACTTGCAGGTATAACTGTAGAGGTATTTTGACAGGAACATCCTTGAACATAGCGGAGTCATATTTCATTATTTTTTACTCTATTGTCCTATTCATACTTTCTATATAACATTATACTTTGAGACAATGATTCAAATAGAAACGAGACAGAATATGACCAATACTATAAAAATAGCGAATAGAATTCACATTTTTTTTTGAGAAAATAGATTAAAATCATCAAAGGATGTTGTAAAATAATGTCACTTTCGATAAATTGTTTTTTTGAAAATTGATACTTTTTAAATGTCGATTGGTTTGTTAGTATATATTTAGCACAGAGAAGTCTGGTGGTTAGAATGTTGAACGCAACTCTGTTGATGTGCTCTGTTGGAGATCTGAAAATTTTTCCCTTCACCCAGTGTATAATAAATTGACTAGGCATGTGGTTCCCAACCTTTTTTCCATCGACCCCAATTTTCTGAATAAATAAATTTTGTAAATTCTCTCAACCCAAGACGAATACTAAAAAATGCTCAAATACTAAGCGGCATGTATGCAGTGTTTTCATGGCCGCAAAATTAAATAAATAACATATTAAAAACAATCATTTTTTTACCCGTGAAGCTGCGCTTGTTTTTGAAATGTGGCATTGTTTCGATTAGAAAAATAGATGCCGCCAGGTTTTTACGTTTTATGCCGTGATAATTCCGACATATAGCCACATTGAGTAACGCTTCAATATTTGAATACAAGGATTTTTCGAATTTCGTTGAAAAAACAAGCGACCCAAGGGAATTTTCAGGCCACCGAGTTTTGGGTCGCGACCCAAAGGTTGGAAAACACTGGAATAAGCAATACCGAACTAATAAGATTCCAGTCTCTTCGAATTAATTGTCTCTCGGGTATTATTCGATTTTGTTATCTTGATTTTAAAATCAATATCATTGCTCGCACAAATTCAGGTTAATTTTACTTTTTGTATCATGGTGTACATTCACATGACTCGTATATAATATTCATTAATTCGTTTCTTGTACTCGTCATTGAATTTGTTTGCTTCATTTTTCGAAAGATAAACAACGTTTCACCAAGCAAAGTTGAGACAAAATTACGTTTTGTAAATTTATGATAAAACTGGTATCTTCCAATTTTTTAAATCAAATATCAGTAAATGTTTCCATATGACACAAAACCTACTACATAAAAGCCTGTATTGGGATAGAAACGCACTTGACGATAAATTTTCGACGGCACTTCTGAACAAACAACAAAATATTAATTTAAAGATCAAAAGCAGAATCGACACCAGCACCGGAAAGCATAAAATTTGTTAATCATAGACCAACAATACCATAGGTTGGTACCATAGGCGATAAGTTGAAAAATGTATGTTAATAATTTATTGCAATAAGGACTTTAAAGATGAGAAAGTGTGAAAATTAAATCGAATAAACATACTACAAAACTATTGGAAGAACAACGTCTGCGAATAAATGTTCGAGAATTGCGCAAACTTTTATACTTAAGTCTTGTTTTTCTTCGATTTGTAGAGACTATTTACGCACATGTAGGTAATTCGTTCTTATTAATAACGTCTGTTTTTTTATACGACGAGAAGATTGTTTAGGGCCAAGCATAAAAGAAATCGACTTGAAGTGGATTTATTTTCTTAGGAATGTACTTAATTGGACGTCTTGTACCATCAAGTACTCATTATTCCTTTCGCATTATTGTGTCAAGTATTGTATAATAAAAGAAAACGACTTGAAGTGGAATCCTTTGTTTTAGTAAACTATAATTTGGCGGTCCTTATCGTATTGGCGTTCTTGTGACAGGTAGTTTTGTGAAACGTGCTTGTTTCAGATGTACATTTTGTTGCCTGCCAAGCAAAAATATATGTATAAGATAGTATGGGTGTAGTGAAAGCAAAGTCATTAGAAAATATTTAAACTGAACATTTGCTTAGTGTTTTCTGGTTCGCAATGTACTTGTGTGAGTTAGTAGTCGACTGCAGTCAAGGTTGCCGCATATAAAGAAACTCAACGCTAATATATAAGGATCTATGTGTTTATGTGTATTTATATTAAGTTATGAATATAAATGGACATCTTGTACTTTTCGTATCATAGTTATACAGCTAGCGAAGAGTAAATATTTTTAAAAAATTCGACATTTAAATAAGTGAAATTATTTCAGATTCCCAACAATATTATTTGTGTGATGTCGCTCAACGACAAATTCTGCGATTTTTCCAAAAACCCAGTAGCTCTCTATGTATATGTGATTGCGAATACAGAGCCTTGTTCAGTTCAAAAAACTTCTTCAAAAGACACATGAATAGCATATCATGGCTTGCTCGTGTTCCTCAGTGAAAAACATGTGTATATGAGACTTAAATATGTTCAAATTAAATATTTTAAAATAAAAATACAGACAAAATTATATCTCTAAATACTAGATAGTTCAAAAAATGGAACTCCATGTAAGTACCTTACTGATTGCGAGTATCGCTGTTCTTGTGAGCAATCCAGTAGACTGTGATAGACAGCGTATGACTTGCACAGTTGATGAAACATTTGTTGATGACAAAAACCCCGAACCTGGATCCAATATTCGTCTACAGGAAATTCAGGGACCAGTGGGTCCGAAAGGCAGTCGAGGGCGTCGAGGGTTCAAAGGTGAACAAGGATCTACTGGTGAAGTCGATTATGAGAAGATTAATGCTACTATTAAGTACATGTTAGAATCGGGTAAAAGAGCCTTGCTCTTAATAATTTGTTATCATTCGGAAAGCTTACCTAGCTTGTAATATCTCGCCTGCGAAATTTGAATTTGCTAATTTTCTTTTTCAAAATTCCGAAAGAAGTCTAGGCTATCCTCGGAGTCGTGATTGAATTACGCTTATCAACAATTAGCGACCATTCCTCGAGGCGCGTGTGATAATTTATATTGGTGCTTCGTTTATATCTGCACCAAGATGGCGCACAACCTGATAACCTTGATCTGGCACACCTACTATGTTCAGGTTGTGCGTCAACTTGGTTCCCCAACCTACCAAATATTTATTTATTATATTTATAAATAGGACGTAATTTGATTTTTATTTGACGCAATTACCATTCACTACACTCCTGATTGATTTATTTGCAAACAACTATCATTTGGTTTCAGCAATAGAAAAGCAGCGAGCAGAATTGTTAGACAGAATAGAGAAGTTAGAACACCCTCCACCTGCTGGATTTTCCGAACAAGGTTTGTTGCATTTGAAGCTTCGATTTTACATACGATCGCGTCTTCACTCTGAATAAGTCTATGGTACGTGAAAACTGTGACTTCTTGAAAAACATTCCATGGGTGAACCCAACACCTCAGATATAGCACCATCGTGTCTGTCTATTTGCAAATACACCCGTTTTTTACCAAAAAAATTTACGGTTTGAATTACCAAGTAAACAAGGTCATGTAGGTTGACCTAGCTTGACGTTGTCTCGCTCTTGCAACGTAGGAAATTAGCATTCATACTAGAGCAGTGCATATACCGAGCACAATTATGAAAATTATTGGTACTCCTGAAGTATGCGCACCAAGATGTCGCATAACCTGAACCCTAACCTGGTACACAACCTGAGTTCAGGTTGTGCGCCATCTTCGTGCGCATACTCCAGGAGGTCCAAATTATTAGTTGTATGATGACACATTCCGATCAATTCATTCGATTTAACGAATATTTTTTTTAATTACAGATATCGTGCGCTATGACGGAAGAATATTCATAGCGTTGGCATCTGGAACGGTCCGTAAACCATCAGCTCCGGCGAAATGTCAAGAATTAGGCGGGGAACTTGCCAATATTTACAACCAGGTTCATATGAACAAGATAATGACATTCATTCGTGACAACAAGTTGGACGGGGAGGAAAGGAAATTTTTTCATCTCGGCATGATATACGACCCTATTGTGAGTAGAATACAAAAGCTTTATCAGAATTCCTCTTGACTGCACGTATCGTTTAAATTTATTTAAAATTAAAAAAAGAAGTTGTGATGTCATACTATCATGCCTTCTTAATTTTTGTGGGTAGATAAGAATTTACTAAGATTTAGAACAGGGGTGGGCAAGGTTTTTGGAACAGGGGCCAAAATATTTGCCCACCTGGACTGGTGGGCCATGTAAGTGAACGTAAGATTTCGTGAACAGAATTTTTTTACAGTGTTACAAAAGCAAAAGTGGAAAACAAATGTAAATACCAAAACTAAATTTAATCGCAATCAATAAATTCTTTGAGCTATTTTTTTCTAGATGTACATCAAAATTTGGTTTTAGTTCAGTTGTGACAGCATCGTGTGGAGACAAGATTATTAAGTCACGCATAGATTAGACAAGAAAGTGAATAAACCAGGCGTGTGCAAGCTTGAATACAAGAGGGCCAGATAGAAGTAACTGAGTGAAACCGCGAGTTCCAGGCGCAAAAATTTGGGTTATTGATTTTGTGACATGCGTTGTTGGCACAAGCTAGCTGTTAAAAAAGCACTGCGAAGTCACAGGAAAGGATAATAAATTGGACTCGGGTGTAGGCCTCGCAACGCAAATGAATTGGAATTAGTCACACGTACCAAATTAAAAATAAAAAACTCGCGGACCGCACATCATTTAAAATTGGCACTTCTCCGTGGGCATCACAATTTTTTCTTGGGAGCCGCATTTTGCCCACGGGTTACAGGTTGCACACCCCTGGAATAAACCATGTCCTGAACCCAAAATATGTGACATATGATGCCAACATTGTAAAAGAAAAGTTGATAAAGTACATAAATTGCACTAATAATTAAACACCTAACATTTTTCAACTTCTGTCTTTCAGAATCATGCTCTTCATTTCCGTAACGGCACTATCATATCGCAGCGTATTTTCAAATGGCATATAGGGTATCCAGTTACTGGGCATCTTAATTCTGCCAGAACAAACATGCAAATCGGAGTCGGTGAAGATTCAACAAACGTAGATCAATACTTGATCAACAGCCCAAACTATAACAGCTACGTCCTGTGTGAAATCTAAACTTTTCACCCAACAGTTATCACAAATACTAATACTATTAAATACAAATACTATTTCGATCACGCCATAATCTTTTATTACTCCATGAAAGCTTCAAAAAGGCTATCTCTTTCAAGTTCTATACTTGTGATGTTCCATCAAACCAACTTGTATGTTTCAGTACAGAGGTTCTCAAACGGTTGGGCGCGTACCACAAGAGGGTGTAGACAGGAGGAGGCAAAGCTAATTGAAAATATAAATACTTGTTAGATTTGATCTTGCCCGCCTTATTTTGGATAATAACATTTTTTTATTTTGGATATTTACCTTCCGTATTACCTACGTGTTTTCAACTTGTCTTTTGATTACTTTCGCCTTACTATCTGTTATTTGTATCTAGCTATTTTTGAGGAGGTGCGCGAGACTTGACAAATTCAAAAAAGGCCTAAAAAAAGAACAACTGTTCTAGTATATTGTTTGTGCAACATGCAACACATTACAAGACCAAGGATGAAATGGATCAGTAAAAATACAAAGTCCATTGAAAGGTAGTGCATTCATAATATGGCCCGCACATCACGCATTTGAGTTTCGAGTTATCTATATTCATATTTCCATAACTATGTCCCAACAATTTCTAATCTTTGGAGTTAAAACTTGCAGTTTCTGGCAATGCTACGTTTTTTCCTCCTGGGTGAACGCGAGTTATATACGCTAAGTCCGATATTAACCTTCAATAAACCTTTCAAGTTATTACACATGAAATAAAGCATAACTGTGGTGTCTAGTCACTCTAGTGTGATTTATAGTGTTTGAATTGTAATGATCATACATTTTTTTTTAGTTTCAGACTACGGATGACGAAAAAATCATTAAATTTATTTATGATACTTCACTGTAACTACTTTTTAAGTAAATAATGACTGTAAATAAACTTTCATTTCTGCCGACTAGCCCATTCACTCCACTCAACATAACGAACAATTCATATGACCTATGGTTTGAGTTTAGCTTCGATTATATCAAATATCGTTTCCTTTAGTAGTCTAGTGCAGCGGTTCCCAACCTTTCTATCCTGGCGGACACTAGATTAAATGTACTCGGGGACCGGCAAAAAATTAAAATGGCCGAAACAGAAAAGAATAACGTATATTTGCGTAATATGATGCAATGTCGGGCACTCAATATGCTCCTAGACAAAAAAAGCACACCTAAAAACATTTCACACAGAAAAAAGCTATCAAATAATCTGCCGACCAATAATTAAAAATGGGTGAAACATAAAATAATACCACATATTTACGTAATGAAATGCAGTGCTGGGCACTCATTATGCGTAAGAAAGGCACGCATAAAATATCTCACATTAAAAACAGGTTCATGCCAAATCATGTACAAACACAATTAAATCCTGTGAGAATTTTGCTGCTGTTTCGTTTCCAATATAAGATTGCAAACGAGGCCTCAAAGAAGTTTTTGCAACACGTAGCTCTGCAGCCGCATGCAGCCGATTTATTTGCTTCGTTTTAATTGAATCTAGTGATAAAAATGTTTTTTTCGCATAACGCAGTAACTGGCTGAAAAGACGGACAACAGTTTGATTGCTCGATTACTTGTTGATGGGTATACGTTATCAAGAGATATCTAAAATTGTGAATTGTAAAATGTGAATTCTTTTTCCATCTGGACTGTAAAGTAGAATCACCATTTTAATCAAGGCTTTTCTTTTTCATTGGGTTCATCATATTAATCCCTCTGCAGTTGATCGACGCCTCGAACGAAATGAATATGCATTACAATGACAAAGTCGTCGATAACTTGGCAACAGGCTCAAAATCCTACTGTGTCTGGAAAAGATCTCTGCGCTCATGCTTTTTTGCGTGTCTCGTGACCACCTGTGGGGTCGCAACAAGTTCATATCTTACTGGAATATTATACTGTTCTAGACTGTTTTCTGGTTTAAAAAGGGAGATATACATTACGTTTCATATGGATGGTCATATTAATCAGGAAAAGCACCCAGAACAGAAAAAGCACGCGTGCCGATTTTGAGGCTTATTAATTTTGCAAGATTTGATGGGGCGCATTCGCGATGAATCGAAGGCGAAAAGTGTGAATGCTCGGCGCCAAGATGTCGCGTAAGACGACGTCAAGATGTCGCAATATGACGGCGGAAGAGAATTGCGTAATGAGCCAACGCAACTTTGTCTGCGGTAAAGCAATTAACACGGCATAAAAACGTCAAAACAACAAATTTCTCGCGGACCGGCAAAAAAAGCTTCTCGGACCGGCACCGGCGGTTGGGAACCACTGGTCTAGTGTACATCTGCAAAGGATGATGGCACGAATCACAGCCTCATACAACACTTTCTAGAAATTTTATATCGGGAACATATTTAACATTTTGTTTAGCCATGCCTCATACAAGTATTTCGCAAGTGCTTTGAATCGCAAAAATATCCATTCATCTCTAATGACCACTCGATTTTTTAAATGTATTCTTTCAATATCTTACATTAGTTTATTCTGTGCGCTGAAGTCACAAAGTTTCTATGATTGCCAAATAATGCACCGCGCACAAAAACATTAACTATGGTCGCTCCGTCGGCGATTATCTTCTAAGAGCAGGGCGACTAAACTATTTCACAAAAGGCCCGTACACAAAATTTAAAAATTACCGGGGTCCGGACAGTCCAAGAATATATTGAGAAACATTCACTCCCATAGTATTCGTGAGAATATATATTTAGGTCTTTCAGCGACTTGAATTATCTTTTGAGAATGAAAATTTGGAATACATTAGTTGTAAAGGAAAACGATACTTTTCGAGCTATATTTTAAAAAAGTCCACAAGAATTTTAGCAAAACGATTTTTTAGTCGATTTCGTGTCCAACAACAAAGTTATTTTGTCAATCGTTAGTCTGAGAAATTACATTTTCCCCCCAATTATTTCAATCTTGGTTTTAGGAAGTGAGAGTATTGTATACTATTTTGCAAAATCGAGTTATTTGATCTATTTTTAAATTTCGGAAATGCAACTAAAAACTGACAATAGCTGCATTTTTCTTCAGTGGTTAAGCGAAAAATGCATTACATCACGATTGTGAAGTAAAAAAATGATGCATTCAAAGTCAAGAGGCATCTACGGTTTAAATTTTGCACTCGAACGGTCTGGATTAGGACTGCGGTCCGGCAGTTGAGTAGCCCTGTTTCTGAGCCTCTCGTTCGCCACCAGAAAACCGTCGGAACATAAGCTCATTCGTGAATTTATCCGTTGCAGCGTAACAATGGCAATACTTATTCCAGTTTCGTTCTATTGTTAGAGGCATCGATGATGTCACAGTCGATAAACGAGGACGTTGAAATTATTTCGAATGCATCAAAATGTTTGTCTGTAAGCTAACTAACGCAATATTTCTTGGATATATTTCCTCAGATATTATCCCCGATAATAACAAAACTGGTTTAGCATATTCCGTAGAATACACATGGCGCGTTGCCTGGGGCTTTTATTGAAATTTTGTTATGGATTTATCTTCGCAATGCGCCGTTTAGTAAGAAGGATAGAATTTTATAAGTATGGCGAGCGGAGACGGGGTGAATCGGATGTTTTTATTCGTGCCAATTGGAATTGGTTTGATGGTCGGCAGTGTTCTAACTATTGCTTATATGAGAACTCCCATTTCAGCTGTCCCAGTCGATGAAATACATGGCATGGAAGACTTTGAATGGGTACAAGCTGAAAACAAAGATCTACAACGCGGAATAAAAATTCTACATGAGCTAGTAGGACCGGATTCAATCGCAGTGGATGAGCATGATAACCTATATACTGGGCTCATTGATGGCAGGGTGATGAAAATCATAAATCCAGGGAAAGCAAACCAAAGTGTCGTCGAATTGACAAAATCATTCGACTTCGCAGAAGGAAGCAAACGAAATAAAAAGCGTCCACTTGGTCTTCGCCTCCATGGTTCAAAGTTGTATTTTGCAGATGCTTATCAAGGAATCATAATGATCGATTTGAAGTCCCAGACTTATGATATCATAGTGGACTATGATGATGTCAATCCGCCATTGATACTCCCAGATGATTTGACCATAACCTCAGACGGAAAAACAATATATTTCATTGATATGAGTCTAAAATGGACTTACGATGACGTCGCGATATCTATCCTTGAAGGTCAATGCAGTGGGCGACTATTTAAAGTTGATGTTTTGACCAAAAATACAGAACTCATTTTGGATAGTTTGTGTCTACCAAACGGAATTGAAATTGTGGAAAATGAAACTCATGTTCTCATGTCTGAGCACGGTCGTCGCCGCCTTACATTGGTCAATATCAAATCTGCAGAAGTTGTGCGGCACATCGCTTTTCCGACTGGTACAGACAGCATACGTAAGAGAAATAATGGTGGATATTGGGTGGGAATGCCATATATTGCAGAGCCAGGACACTTTGCGACATGGGGCCCCGTATTCCGCGAAATATTTGCTGGCGCATTAGGGTCGGGCGGGATTTTCACCAAGTTCGATTTATCCCAAGGAGCTGCTGTGAAGCTAAATGAATACTTTGAGCCTGAGAGTATTCATTTAGACTTGGAAGGCAAATTATGCCGAGCTGTCACAGAAATATCTGAACTGAGCGACGGAACACTTGCTGTTGGTTCCTTCATCGCAAATGGAATTGCTCTGGTTGATGGTTCAGCTTTTGACTGAAATGTTTTCATGCACAATGTAAACTTCGTTCATTCATTAGTTTAATCTCCTCAGATTGCGTGTTTTTGTCTTGAATGAATTTACTGTTAACGATTATCTTTGTGGATCTCCACTCGAGGAGACCCTAATTGCCAGTCGTTATGTCTGTCTGTTTTGCTGTATCGTCCAAACTGTAGGGTCGATCTGGTTGAAATTTCTCCGTGGCTTGTGCTACCACCCCAGTATTGTGCGCTTCACCAAAAGTTTGGATTGGTATTTGGTTTTCATGGTATCAGCGAGAAACGCGCCGATTGTTATTTGTCGCCATTATCTTGTAAACAACTCTAAAAATTAAAAGAGATTGCTACCCCCTCGCAAAAGTAAATACTCGTTTGAACAAGCCAATTTTCATCTTGTTAATCAATGAACTGGGGAAACTTTAGGAATTATTAGCCGCTCATTGATAAAAATGAAATTGCAGTTTTGAGGACGGGGTTAATGAAATGCGCTGTCGTTATATCTGCTATTTTGCGTGAATAGCAACGGTTTATTGGAATGCGGCTGCCTGGTGTATCAGTGGAGATCCGGTGTTCCTACCAGCTTGTTTAGTAATGGTTCAAGGTACAAATAGGTACCTTCCTCTATCACAGGAATTCCGTAATAGCTCCGGCGATTGAAACAGCAAAGAAGATTCAGATGTATATTCTCGTCGTGCAAAACCAATATGCGATATGAGTAATATATAAAATACATGCAACAAAACACATTTGCAGTTGGCGAGATAAGTCATCTGGTCAGCGACACCTTTCAATATTAAAAGCGATTGCTATCGAAATTCCTGGCTTATTAATATAGCCCAAGCTTAAAAATACACTTCGATACTGAACAAATAATATTTGGATTACAATATTTCACATTGTTTCGACAAGAAAAAAAATCGGGGCTCCCGAGGTATGCAAACCAAGAAAATAGGGAAAATTGGAAAAAAATTATCGCCTAACCCTAACCTGTTACCCATGTTACGTTCCGTTGTCCGCCATCTTGGTTCGCATACTTCGGGAGCACCAAAAAATCGATATATCGCTACTCGCTAATGATAAATGGGAAGAGTTTACTTTTATTTTTCCGTTCTATATTCAGTATCGTAAAAGCAAATTTTTCATTTTTCAAAGGCGATGTTTCAAGAATGAAGAAAAAACAGTATAAATACATGTGGTTATGTTAGGCCGCGGCTAGGGCTGGGCATCGAATATTCGAATCGGTACAGGAAAAAAATTTCAGATCGCCGCCATCTTGTTTTTATTTGGCTGCCGAGAGCGAGGTGAATTTTGCAATATTTTGATATTGAAACCATAATTTTACAAATATAGCTCTTCTCCTTTTTAGTGAGTTATTGATGAAACATGTTCCTCATTGTGTGTGAAAACTCCGTAAACTGTTTGAGTGATGGATACTATGTTTTAGTAATTTGTGTGCCTGGGTGACCCATCTCAATAAAAAAGTCACATACAATAAAATATCTTCCAGGCATTCATGATTAAATTCGTAAACACATTCGATTTTGAAATCATAAGGTATTCGAAAAATCTAATCATGGCCAGTGAAGAGGGGGAAGATTAAAAATTCTTTTCTGATAATAGTCGAATTACACAATGGAACTATAAGTTTATTGACCAATGTTGGTTCTAGAATAAGTTATCTTTTCAGAATATATTACTTGACTTTAATAGGCAAGATTTACAGTGAATGCCGAAGAGTCAGATTCAGGGTTGTCCAAAACGAATCGAATATACGAATGTATTCGAATATCAAAGTATTCGAATACCTTTTCGGCTTATTTTCGAATAGTAGCCACGTTTCGCCGTAAACGTGGTGTTTCGTTTTACGGGAATCTTCAAACGACTTTTTATGCTGTCTCACGTATTGTAATGACGATGAAATAGAATCGGCACTTTGATTGTTCGAATTCCGTGCGACCGTACGTCGCATAGTGTTGCGACACATTTGCACGTTTGCGTGGGTGGACATTGCCGACATTCGTCTACGAGGCTTTTAATTTACAAATTCATTTCCATTACGTCAGAAAATTGACAAATACCGTATTTCATGATATTTATTCGCAGGCCGGTTATCGTTACTTTAAACAGAAACACGGCCACCGAGATAAAGTGATTTGTGACCCTTTCGTTTTGCCGATTCAGCAGAACACGACAGGGACAGGAAAACACAGCTGTGAAATAACCCGTGGACGTACAGTGTGTTACTTATCACATTCCAAAATTATTTCAACATTCGGTTTAATAGGTTGTCCAAAAGGATTGCCGCTTTACAACTTAAATTTACCACTCAATTGTTAAAAATAGATAATTCTGCGAGTATGATTCTACCAAACTAACATGATCTTATTCTAAACATATAAAATAATTAGCGCATATCAGCATAACTGAACAACAGGGACACAATTTTGCTACCCGTATTATTGGAGGCCTATATGAAAAAAAACCTTTTTTGAGTGCTAAAAATAGACATCGTCCCATTTGCCATGTGGACTTATTAGCCGGGAAATGCGGTATTTATAGCCGTCATTATTACGATATTCAATAAATTGCCACAAGTTGGAAAAACAAGTCGATTTATTAGAACATAATTTCTGGCAAATAATTCTGATAACGATAGGTAAAAGTATCGATCTTTTACCAGGATGATTTTTTGTTGCGCAAAATAATCCAATCCATGACTGGTACCAGCATTTAAAATGTCATGCCGTATTATTTTAATTCTGTTTAACATAACTCATGGTTGTATTGACTATCTGTGGACATAAAACGTGTGGTAAACTGCCCAATTATAATTAATTTCGGATTCGTATTTACAAAATAATAAAACTATTATAATTCTAAAATGCAACGGCGATCTGTCGCCTTCAAATGTGTGGTAAACTGCTACGCCCGATTTACCAACATTTGAGTTAGGATAATTGAATTAAATTAACACGGTAAGGCATTTTAAATAGTGGTATCGGTCATGGATTCGAATATTTGCGCAGCACAAAATCATCCTAGTAAAAAGTCCATACTACAAACCAATGCAACCATTATCCAAACCCAAGAGAGGGATAAAGTGTAAATTCTTTTTCCGACTTGTGACAATTTTTCGTGATCAAAAACTAATTATATTCGGCATAATATCACAGCAATCTGTGGACATAAATTGTGTGGTAAACTCGCGATTAATATTAATTTTCGATTTCTATTTTCGTATTTACAAAATACAACGGCGATCTGTGGACTTAGAATGTGTGGTAAACTACCCGATTATAAATAGTTTTTGAGTCGGAAAAATAACTCATACTTTATCCTGCTTAATTTGGATAATGGTTGGTATTTAAAAGTATGGGCGTTTTACTAGGATGATTTTGAGTTGCGCAAATATTCAATTCCGTCATCGATACCACTATTGCCGAATTAATTTAATTCTGTTAACATGACATATGGTATATAAAATAAATACTGCAATAATCTGCAAATATGAAATGCCTGGTAATATAGCTAGGTTGTAACTTGTAGATAGCAGTTATTCCATTGCTTATTGTATGGAAATTCCTACATACATTTAGATAAGCTTCAATTAGTGAATTTTATTTTCGAAGTATTCGAAATTTCATATTCGGAAAAAATAATTTCGAATGTATTCGAAATAGTGAACTATTCGGTATTGGCCATCCCTGCAGTCAGATTCAGTGAAAGATTAACAGAAATAAGTTGTTATAACAAGTCGGGAAAAATTATCGTATTCAACATTTTATTTCATATTGGATTTAATTCTCTTTCTTAAAATATGGCCCAGTCACATCTAGTATGAGTTAGTTACATTATTTCTCTATGGAAGTTCATTGTTGAATATTGTACCCTCGTGCGTCGAATCTCTTCATATTATTTTTGGAACTAAGCTCTATCAGCAGAGTTACCCTCATTCGCTTTAGTGTGAATTAGTTCATGCTTATTCGCATTAGCCTTTGTTGTAAAACATTTCCCACAATGCTTACAAGCATATGGTTTTTCGCCGCTGTGGATTATCAAAACATGTCTTTTCATATTCTGATTCATCGAAAAACATTTCCCGCAAAGTTTACAAGTAAATGGTTTTTCTCCGGTATGAATTCGGTTATGCCTTTTCAAACTTCCGACATTCGTAAAGCTCTTACCACATGATATGCAAGAAGATGGTTTGATACCTGTGTGGATTCTCTTATGCATCTTACATTCAGCTGCTGTTGTGAAACATTTATCACAAAAATCACAAGTGAACGGTTTCATCCCGTCGTGTATTCGAATATGCCGATTCAATTGTCCAGTCATCGTAAAACACTTCCCACAAACTTTACAAGCATGTGGTTTGATTCCCGTGTGAATTTGCTCATGAACTTTTAATCCACCAGCCTTTGCAAAACCTTTTCCACACTGTTCACAAACATATGGTCTCTCTCCTGTGTGATCTCTTGTGTGTATTAATAAATAATTTTTTTTTTTGAAAGTCTTTCCACAGTATTTGCAAATATGGACTTTACGTTCACAGGGCGTATTCCTACCCTGCTTTGCATTTGTTTTCATATTGTAGCGGGCCACAATAAGGCTAAGAAAAATAGAAAGCCAGATAACAATTTAGACTGCACATTCAACTTTGCTAGTTGCCTCAGATAGCCACAACACTAGTCAATTCAGTGACAATAGTGATGTAGCAATATGTCAAATGATTTCGTTTTCTACTTAATATAGATTACACTATGTTCAGTATAGAAATATCTCTAATATATGTATTGCCTCTGTTTGGACTAATAAAATCAAATTATTACGCAACACACAGAGACGGGATACCATAATTCTAAGAAGGAGATTTGGGTTAAACGACCGACATGATCCCAAAACTTATATCTTAGATATACAATGTCATTTTAATTCGTCCGCTTTCGCTTTTCATCTCCAAAATACGTGCTTATAACAGATTTCAATCTGACACTTTACAAGCGTTGAATATAAAATTAAACATATCTAAAATGTCTTGGGCGCTCCAGAAGTATGTGTACCAATATGAAGGTAAATAAAATTGTTCGCCTATTTTCCATCAAGTTGTGTAAAGGGACTGAAACCTATGGGCATGGGATATATTCACTAGGCTAACACAGACAGTCCCCGAACTCGTAATAGAACTAAAATAAGGAAAATCGGAATAAAATTATGGCACATAATTATACACATACTTCTGAAGCGCCAAAAAATCTGTATTATTTGACGGCGAAACCATCCTCAGAGAAAAAATAACGAAATATACTTTAAAACATTTATATACATACTTTGCACAGCGGTCCCAGCTTGTTTCACTGTCTACTGATACGTGAGCTTGAAAAATATAAGTGACTCAACTGTTTGAAAATTGGAAGAAAAATGAACTAACCATTCAACATTATTTCCTGTGTCGCATTCGGACCGTACTCGTAGGGAATTTTACACATAAATACTATCAGCTGCTCCCATGCATGATAAAACGGGCAAAAAAAATTAAATTGATTTTATGTGGCTTTCGTGATTTTTGGAAAGTGCCGTTAACAACAATGTCCTAAAAAACTTCCTCTCCGTTCACGGGCACGAAATTATGCAAGAAAATAGTGTGGAATTTTCAAATAGCTATTCTTGATTCAAATTAGTATATACAATCTTCCAGAATCATCAAAACGCACAAAATTAAATTAAGTTTCGATAACACTCGTCACGGTTTCTTGCATAATTGCCAAGCTCAGGCAGTATACCTGTCCTAGTTCTAAAAACTTGTTCCTCTGAACTTTCTCCGATTTTATCTACGTTATTTAACAAAAGTTGTGTGGATTCATTTTCCCTGACCTCTTCAGACTTGCTTACCCTTGTTCCCACCTTTGAAAATAACGGCGATGGGACAGATTCCGGTGAATACCGACATATTAGTCATTTGTAAACTATAAGCAAGGTATTTGAATCACTTATCAAGGCAGTCATTATATACCACCCAGGATCACATGATCTTTTAACTCAGTGTTTTTCAACCGGTGTGCCGTAAAATATTGTCAGGGGTGCCGTGGGAAATTGTCCAATTTGTGTGTCTATGCGGTGTTGCGCCCGGCAGAGTAATCATGTTGTACTGTTCCCTATCAAGGGCGGCGATTGCCTTGTGCTCGCAGACGAGAAAAATGGCCACGCATGTATTCAGCGGCAGGTAGCTGAAACAAGATTGTGGTCACAAGCTAAGTTGATCTACCTTTGGACAGTTTTTGATTGGCAGCTGCCAAAAAGTTCCCCATGCCAGCATGCTGGCCTATAAAACTATTTTGACATTGCTCCCATTTTCAAGCCTGACTGCTATAAAAACTAAAAACAGAGAAAGACTGAGAGCTGTGGAGGAAGAGCTTCGTGTGTGTCTTTCTTCGATTCCTGCCAGGATATCAGCTCTGTCTTCATCCGAACGGCCCCAGGTTTCACACTGAGTGAGAATGAAGATGAACGATTGTGAAATACTTTTTGTCTTTGTTTTTATTTGATTACTATTCAAGATGTCCAATTCAACATCTTTCTTCAGTGTTAAAAAGCTTATATTAACAATATAATACTTATATTGTGAATATTAGGTCTTTTTCCCACATCTTCAGCTGGTAGTGTGCCGCGGGATTTTATCAACGAAAAAAGTGTGCCTTGGCTCGAAAAACGCTGTTTAATTGACAAAAAAACATAATTTTCGTCCAAACGTTTCACCACCTATTTGTCAACGGTTTGGCGTACCGGGATCCTGCAAAGAATCTTATAGTATCACGTATCGGATCTCCACTCGAATGCACGCATTTTTTGGAATCGGAATCCACGTCATTTTTACTGAGTACTCAAAATCAATTCCAATTTTACTAATTGATGCCTAAGTTAGGTATTTTTACAGGCGCTCCAGTATGTGTACCAATATAGAGATGACTAATTTTGTTCGCCGAGTTTACATCAAGTTGATGTAAAATTGTAAAGGGACTGAAACCCACAGGGGTGTCACTGTGCTAACACAGACAGTAAACTCCGTACGCCAAAAGGTGTTTAACATTAACGTAAATTCATTTCTATTTTTCAAACTGAAACCGATATTTAGACAGACGGCGCATGAACTCTCGGTGACAATATGGTCAAGGAAAACAGCCGTGATGGTTCTAAATGTAGGCCCCTAATGTAAAATCGATGAATTTAAAGTAGAAAAAGTCACACCTATGGTCTTTGGAGGCGTTCCGCTTTGAGGTCACAAAAATATGGTAACCCTACTTAACACCAACCTGGTACACATGCATGGAATTTAACACATCGCGTGGAAATGAAACATGCTCTACCACGAGTAGGATATATGAATATGCGAAAACTACAAAATTTCTCTCAGAGCTAAGGTAAAACTTTAGAACTAGTAGTTCCAAACTCTTTACGTAACTATAAAATTTCAAGCCAGTGGAATCTCTCTGCCATTTCCACGAGCGACATAGTAAGCCTACGGCTAAAACTATCTGCAATCGCGGGAACGCATCGTAGTCAGAAAATTGGACTTTCCAAATCGGTATGCTAGAATTTGAAAATTTCGACTTTTTAGGCTTCAGACAGCCACGTAATGGCGACATTACCACAGCATCTGTGCTGAATAGCCGCTGAGAATTAACGGAAGCAGGTGGGCGGGAAAACCCGTTTACAACCAAGGCGAACATTACGGACTTTCATACGAACCATCGGAGCGTGACGGCTGCTGCCGGACACTGTTTTTACCTCACTCTTGGGGGACGCGGCGGTTTCGCTTTTCATTCGCGAGTTTGAGCTGTTGCTTGGTTGAGGGCCAATGTTGCACCTGGAGTGTACACTGAATCAGATGGAACTCGTATTATATTTTTCGAAGGTATAAAACACGGTACCGGTACCGTACTATATATACTATGCTGACTATATTAGATAGGATGTCCGGCTACCAGTACTGCAGTACCTGGTAGCACTGAAGTCCGGTACCTGCCATACAGTTCTTCAAGTTGTGTCAATGCCACTGCTTACTACCGCGTTTCCCCGAAAATAAAACCTTGTCCGAATTATGAAAATTATTGTAATATAAGCCCTTTAAAATGATAGTCCATACCTGAATTAGAAGAAATTGTAACTTGATGGCAAATTTGTGGAGCGAAATCACAGGCTGAAAGACGTCTGTTTGCTGTTGCTGACTTGACTACATAAGGTGAATGTAGGTTGTAATCGGAAACCTCACAAAAATACAGTATGACAAACCTTTCAAATATAGCATTTGGCCTAAAGACTCCAATCATGAAATAACAAAACATGTTGATTCTAAACAATCATATATTATAGTATATATTTCGATACAAGGTGAAATGACACAAAGTTTCAAACACCGATATGACATTACTGTTTAACATATATAATGTTCGTTGCCTTTTTGATTTTATATATTAGAATCTGAACCTATATATTATTTACATTTGAAACATGAAATATGGCAGTTTATTTCGTCGTGCCAGAAATCACAACACAAGTTCACAACAGATAAAAAATTATGCATTACAGTAACAGATTTCATTGCAATTGACAGGAAATCGCGAAGGACCAGAAATGGTCATCATAAGTCAGCTACACCTAGATTTAAGACGAGTCAAAGTTAAAAATTGCAATTAAAGAAAGCAAAAGATACAAAGAGAAACTTAGTCATTCAAAAAATTAACAACAAAACAGGGAGTGATATAAATATCCATATACGGTAGCATTTGGGAGAGAGAAAAAAACATAAGGCGGGAAAATTCAGTGATTCATTTTTTTTTATCTTTGTTCATTTCGTCATGCAGGAAATAATACACAAATTCAAGGCACAGCTTATACAATACAGAAACGGATTTAGTCGTAATTTAAAAGCAGGTGGCTTTCATCGCAAGAAACAGAAGGGGTCATCATAAGTCTGCGACACCAACATTTGAAATGAGTCAACATTTGAAATGAGTCAAAAATTGAAATAATAAAAAAAGGTAACGGTAGAGAATATTAGTCATTCGAAAAAATTTTCCAACAAGGGGAGGGAGGGTAAAGATTCCTGTGAAACATCACATATAATTTTAGAATGAGATAAAAAAAAGTCTGGGAAATACAATAAGACACAGTAGTTTTGAGAAGAAGAAAAAACGGTTTAGCATATCAATTTGCTAAACTTCTGTATAATGGCAACTATTAAATATTGTCACTTCCAACATCAAATCGAGCTATATTTTTTATTTGCAGAAGAATAAATAAATAAAAAATTACATAACTTTTAGGTACGAATGCGAAAGCAGAATTCATACTCCATGTACATCCAACATAAGAGATTTGAAAGTGATAAGAGAAAATGATTCAGTTTAAATCTGACTGTGAAATAGGAAAAACAGTCTGGGTGAACTTATTGCCACCAACTAACAAATGTCAGCCAGGCCATCAAAAATCCAGAACAGAAACATATTCAAGCCTTATAAGTCTAAAGGTGATTGCATGAGTAATAGAAAATTTAGAATGAGGTGATTGAGGTATGTCATATTTGATAAAGCAAAATCAATTCATCGCGACTGTAAAAGCTATCATTTTCATTCCCAAAATCACCACCATTTTATACAATTCATGATTCGTTCGCTGTTCTACATAGGTAATATATTCAAAAATTTGCATTGCAACTTATTCATCATGTATGTTTTTCTCAATATATTTCAGATGGTGATTATACAATCACAAAAAGAGCTGTGGTGACTGGTGAAGTTCAAACAAAGTGTACCCTTGATAAGCATTCTTGGTTGGGAAAGTTGAATTGTGTTCTCATGTTGTTGCAATATATTTTGAACCTAATTATGTTGGGAATTCTAAATTAAGCAAAATATTATTGTGTTCAAATTTGAATAAAGAAATTGTTTCTTTTTTAATGCTGTTGCAACCAAAGCCAGTGTAATAAGACCAGATCCCAATTTATTGTAAATTTGAGACATAACTTTCTTCAAAAATTAAGTCTACCTTAAATTTCAAATGCCATTCACATATTAATTTCTTGCATATCACCATTATTGCAATTTATACAAATCAACTTATGTAAAATTTCATTTTTAATAAAAATAAAAAATATCATAATTATTGTTGGGTGTTCGAGGGGTGCGAGTTTGACATCCTCCGGTCTACCGTGCTGAGAATGCATCCAAATGATATCCTTCAGCCGCGATAATATATTAAACAAATTCCACATCCAGTAGGGCATTTATGCAGAGTCCCAACAACTTGGGGGATCCTTCGTTTTCCTAATTTTCAATTGTAATCTTCTTATTAAAACATGACTGGTACCTAATCAAGGGTGAAATTTCCTTTCTTGATAGCTGCTTTCTCCCTCCATATAGTTACATTCTTTTGCAGTTCATTACAATATACAATACAATTTTATTTCGATTACTCTTACTTTGCAAAGTACGTCATTTCATAGATAGCTATTAGGTATGTAATTCTTTTCCTCTGGAAAGTTTAGCTCCCAAATATCAGGCAAATCCAGCTCGGTGTATTCCAGTGCAATGACTGAATGAGAAAATCCAGTCTGCCAGTACCATCACTTTTGAAGTAGCTCCGTACGATTTGTGTGACTGTGTAACAGAGCAGCTCAAATGCATAACAGATATACAAGCTAGTCTGTATTCAATCTATAAATGAGAAAAAGACTGTTGAAAAAACGCTAACACACAGCGATATACTTAAACAAGTCAAAGCAACGCACAAGTATAAACCTGACGAAACGTGCTACGCAACGAGTGTCCCCCTAAACAGCACAAAAAACGGAGCTGGCAGCATCGGTCAAAGGTCATGAAAGTTGGTAATTAACACAATATTACGCGCGGGGCAGCGCTAAATTCGTCTCAATGCAATTTCGTTTGCATACTTTTCCTTCATAATGAAATTCTCCGCTCTCCCTACCCTAGGTTAATCATCTGTCAAGGTTATTTCACAGGATTTTTTTTTCACTTTACCATGCATTAGTTGTTTGATCCTAATGGGATTTGGAATATACCAATAAAATATAACAATTTAATGCCTCTGAGCTGCGCGAATTCTAATCTTGGTAGTTTCAGAAGACTGCGAGATAAACGGAAAAAGGCGACAATTACATTGCCTTTACAAACGTAAATCGAGTTGGCCCTAGCCCCAGAATGTGCGCAATGCTCGAATTTTTGAACTGATGAACGAGGGGCGGGGCCCTAGAAAAACAGCAACCCAGGAATCTGGACATGGTGGCATAAATTGGGGAAAATCATTTTGACTAGACTCGGGTTTTCCCCAGACTATCACGTGATAGACGTTTCTAGATTTCTTTATTCCTAAATATTAAAATTTATTTTCACCACTAGGTTATGCCAATGAGTAACCAAAAAATTATTGCTATTCTATTTTCATGTACTGTTGCTACTCTTTTTATTTGTTTCTTCTATTCAATTTTTTTGTCTCAAGGTGCTGTAGGCTCGATGACGGTTCATTCCGTCCTTCACAGCACCTGTCATTTCGAAATTTATGTATTACAGATATTTTGTTGTTGATTGTTGTTTTTTTGAAGTGACAGATAAAATAACTTTGTCATAAGTTGTTATCGTACCGCAAGTGTACGGATGCGGGCGGTTTCGAGCCAGACTTCACGAAGAAATTTCCCCCGACTCGACGAAAACAGTGTGAAATTATTTTTAACTATATTGTGATTTAGTAGTTATTGATCACCACCAAAGAACCGGGATCAAAATGGAAATTGAACAGAAAATATGGCTAAAAGAATAGTACAGGTTCAATTATCAAAAATGCACTATATTCAAACTAAACTATTACTAAAGATAGACAATCGTTAACAATAAATTTCATTCCAGGCAAAAACACGTAATCTAAGAAGATCAAACACTAATGAAATAGTTAAGTCCATATTCTGCATGAAAACATTTCAGTCGGGAGTTAAACGATCAACCAGAGGAATTCCATATGAAATGAAAGATCCAACCACAAGTGTTCCGTCGCTCAGTTCAGATACTTCTGTTACAGCTCGGCATAACTTTCCTTCCAAATCTAAATGGATACTCTCAGGCTCAAAATTCTCATTTAGCTTCACAGCCGCTCCCTGACCGAAGTTAAACTTGTTCAAAAGACCCCCCGGTCCTAATGCAGTTGCAAGCATGTCGCGGAATACAGGATCCCATGTCACAAAATGTCCCGGTCCTAGAAAATATGGCATTGGCACCCAATATCCACCATTCTTTGTTTTACGTATATTGTCTGGACCAGCCGGGAAAGGGATGTGCCGCACAATTTCTGCGGATTCGAGGTTGACCAATGTAAGGCGCCTGGCACTTGGGCTGTGCTCGGACAGAAGAACATGAGTTTCATTTTCCACAATTTCAATGCCGTTTGGTAGACACAAATTGTCCAAGATAAGTTCTGTATTTTTGGTCGAAACATCAACTTTAAATAGCCGTCCGGTGCATTCACCTTCAAGAATAGAAAAGGCAACGTCATCGTAATTCCACCTTGTACTCATATCAGTGAAATATATTGTTTTTCCATCAGAGGTCAAGGCCAAATCATCCGGGAACAACATGGGCGGGTTGACGTCAGTATAGTGAGATATGACGTCATAAGTCACGGTATTCAGATCGATCATAATGACTCCTTGATAAGCATCTGCAAAATACAACTTTGAACCATGAAGGCGAAGGCCAAGAGGACGCTTTTTCTTTAGTTCGCTTCCTTCTGCAAAATCGAATGATTTAGTCAAATCGAAAACCGTTTGGTTTGCTTTCCCAGGATTTATGATTTTAATTACCCTGCCATCTTTAAGTCCAGCATATATATTATCATGCTCATCCACTGCGACCGACTCTGGTCCTTTCAATTCGGGTACAATCTTTATTCCGCGTTGTAAGTCTTTATTTCCAATATCTACCCATTCAAATTCGTCCATGCCTTGTATATCGTCGACCGCAACTGATGAAGTCGGAGATCTAACATAAGCGATAGTTACAACACTTCCGACTATTAAACCAATTCCAATCGGCACAAATAAAAACATCCGGTTAACCACGTTACCTCCCCCCGTCATATTCAAAATAGGTTAACGCGGACAAAATTCTTTTTCTTTAACCAAACACTATAGTGCGTACTGCGAAGAACACCACCTGCTTTCAGCTTACGGGCGGTCTTAAATGCAGATTGATATTCAGAAATTTGAAATTAAAGTTTTAAGCAACACGTTTTCTGCATGCTTTGTATATGAACCAGTTTTTTAACGGTATGTCTGTTTTCTTGGCAAATCTTTTTAAAAAAATGTATAATTCTGCGTTAGGTAGCCTGCAGGCAAACAATGTGATGTATACAATATCAAGTTTGTATATATCGGCTTTTACCACTGAACGTAATTAAAGTGTAATATTTTTGCTTGCGTTATGGCAAATATTGGTTCGTTGAACGATGAATTATTTCGTGTTTCTGTAACCGAACGCGCCCGAAATACTTGTTTTAAGACATTACTAACGATAATTTTATAAATGTTCCCGCCATAATATTTCATGAGAGTGTTTTCAATAAGATGTTAAAATATTTATTTTAATATTTCGAGCAATGGTGTGGCGGTTTTTTGTGAGGTTTCCCTGCCCTTTGACCCCAGGATATTTCTTTCATACTTTACCATTGTAAAATTTCCAATGCTTTTATTAAAAGTGGTTTAGCGATTTGGCGCCTATAAACTGATTTACATGTTCCAAACCATCATTTTGATTCAAAGTATTCAAACATCTGTCATTTGAAAGTACCGATAAAAAGTTTAGCCCAGTCTTTTAGTTTAGCTATTTTTGACAAATTTTACTGTAATGGAACTTGAAACTCTCGGGAAGACGAAATGATAATGATCGTTAATCTATGATTCATACTCGAATTTCCGAAGCAAAAAAAAAACGGAAAAATGTCATGTGAAACTAGAAAACGAGGTAATGTTTACAGCAATGCCGGAAAAGTTGTTCTAGTGACAAAAGCGTCTGAACGGCCTATAACATTTCTATTGTAGGCCTACGTCACTTTTTGCATCTTTCTGATTAGCCAATGTTGCGGAAATAAATAAAGAAGTCGATGGTCGGGAAAACATTATCTATTGCTAGAATTTGGTTCATTTTGAATGAGAAACGACATATGACATGCTCGTATGAAGCATTTCAATCAATTTATGTCAAAATGGTTGTTATGAATTTTCATGTTACATTGGCTTTAGCCCAGGGGTCGGCAAACTTTTGTCTTTTGCGGGCCAAAATTAAAGGTTGCAGGTCATTGGCGGGTCGCACATATTTTTAAAAAGGTAAAATCCGAAGGAATGACCAATGAATCACATTTTTTTCACACAGATTCCAGTTAAATTTCAAGCAGTGCGCAAAGAATGATCATTTGAATATTTTCTGCGTCATCAAACCATTTGCACTAAGCATCAACTTTTTTACGCTCTGTTGCCATTTGTCTAAATATAATCAATTATAGGCTCATTAAACGAGTGATTGTGAATTATAGACTTTTTAGGTTATAATATAATTTAGTGTCTCATAACAAATCCTGTTACGTAAAGAATATAATCGTCAATATAGCTGTTTTGTTAATATAATTCAGTGGAGCGTCGCGGGCTGGTGTATATTGTTCCGCGGGCCATAGTTTGCCGACCCCTGCTAAAGCCTGAAAACACAGTTTTCTGTTTTTGAAATCATTTTATTTTGTTTAAAGAGAAAAGGAGAAATTTGAATTTTATTTATACTACCTTGGGTCAATTTTATCACATGTATACTTGCTATACTAGTTCAACTCTTGCGGTGCTCTTTATATATTATATGTGAAATGTATTTTGTATTATCGCTCTAAGTGGCGCTATTGACCCGCAATGCCAGACCTGTGGCACGACTATATAATAAAGGGCACTCCCGAATTATGTGAACCAAGATGGCAGACACCAGAACGTAGTATGTGTACCAGGTTAGGATTGGGCCATAATTTCAAGTACAAATACCACGGGAGTCACTTGGCTAGTCCCCGAACTTGTAATAGAACTAATATTAGGAAAATTGAAATAAAATTATGGCCTAACCCTAACCTGGTACACATATCACGTTCCGGTGTCCGCCGTCTTGGTTCACATACTTCGTGAGTACCCAATAAAGTCTTTTGAACGTTGGCATCATTTGTGTCAAATTTCAGACATGGAAATACGCTAATTTTGTTTTCACGAATAAGTATGCTTGCCGAGTTTGTAAAACTCTCAGAAGTTTCCGTGTGTTGCAAAGCCACACTATAGGTTCAATAAAGACTTTTATTGCCCAGCAGATGAACGGATTTGAACTGATACATCACATAGCAACCAAAACATGTCCGATCCTAACAGCAGTCAGACCAGAAAAAGGAATTACACGTTTCAGTGTCGTGCGCAGAGGTGATCGCAGTCGAGCAAGGAATAGTTAAATCTGACCCATTGGGCAATGTTTTAGTCGGAACAGCTCTGGCTCCGCAAAATCTGCACGCGATACCAAGACAATATAAATAAATACAAGAGAGCTAAGCCCAAATATGTGGACACGGAGAGAAAAACTGAATATTTTATCATCAATTCCCGGAAAATCATATGCGGTAACTTACCAGTGGCCGTATCGGAAGGCGAATAACTCGACTACATGGACAACTCTCCAGAGAAAACTCGACTACCCATGGTACCGGTAACGGTACAGAGACTGTTATAGCTTTTCCAGGTCCTGTGACGATGATCCATTTCTTCATGATTCAGTTACTGATCCGAGCCATTTCTGCATTACCAGATCAAGAACCACAGTCTACCGATCCTCTTGAAAAACTTCACTTTCTCTAAACACGAGATCCGCCGACTTTCGCTGAGCACGCGATCCACTGATATGCGTTCGCGGAACCACCACAATGTGCGCAAATTTTGGTGACGTCATAGCTTACAAAAAAACAAATTCTATGGAGCTCACAGAAATATTTTAAATAAATAAAATAGCCTTCTGGCAAAATATACAATCTTTTACCGCTGAAAATTTCAAAGCAATTGGTCCAGTAATTAAAGAGGAAGGCGATTTTTTCATAACGATGGGAAGAAAAATAATGAACAAGCCGGTAGGCGACCAAAATCTCCGCTGATAGTTGAGGCACGCACTCAAGCAACCGGTTGCCATGCATAGAGACTTGATGATTTTTGGCTGCGCGCGATTAAGTAAGTGAGCGGGTTGCCAAAAAGGCCAGTTTATTTAAGCGCTGCGCGTTTTCTAGACATACTCACGTGACTGATATAATGTGACTAAAAATGTGAAAAAAATAATGTTCACCAAAATCCCCAAGGCTTCTCCAGTTTATAAAGTATCAAGACCAAAGATGGCTCGTTGGAAAGAGTATTTTCCTATACGGAAGGTAGCGTTTTCGGAATTTTAATATTCGACTTAGTTAACTAGAAAATGGCGAAATATTATAATGAAACTGCAAAAATGTTACGGATCAGCGCGTTTTTTCGCTGCTACTATGGAAACGAAACATCAATCCTGAATTTAGGTGAAACGCATCGGGGCGAAAAACTCGACTACATGGACAGAAAGTTTATAAAGTATCAAGACCAGAGATGGCTCGTTGGAAAGAGTTTTTTCCCACACGGAAGGGATCGTTTTCGGAATTTTATTATTCGATTTAGTTAACTAGAAAATGACAAAATATTTTATATTGAAACTTCAAAAATGTTACGGATCGGCGCGTTTTTACGCTGCTACCATGGAAACGAAACATCTATCATGAATTTAGGTGAAACGCATCGAAGCGAACAACTCGACTACATGGACAGAAAGTTTATAAAGTATCAAGACCAAAGATGGCTCGTTGGAAAGTGTATTTTCCCATACTGAAGGTAGCGTTTTCGGAATTTCAATATTCGATTTAGTTAACTAGAAAATGGCGAAATATTATATTGAAACTTCAAAAATGTTACGGATCGGCGCGTTTTTTCGCTGCTACCATGGAAACATCAATCCTGAATTTGGGTGAAACGCATAATATTACGGTGACAGGATAACCCACGTGAAAAATTTCATCTGGATCTGCCAAGCCATTTGGGCGCTACAGTTGGACAAACAGACAGATAGACATACAGAACGACCGATAATAAGGGTCTCCTATAGAGGAGATCCAATAAAAAAACAAGAACAACATAATACCAAAACCATTGGTCTACTCCGTGTCCAAAAACAAAAAAAGTAAAAATAAAGTCCGTCACCCATGTTCTGAAGGTGTCAGAAAAGATTTGACATGAGTGAACGTCATACCGAAGGTCGATTCACTGTGCGGAGCCAGGTATCACCGATACCGATATGTTTGAGACATTTAAAAACCTTTCTTTTCATGAATTAGTGACAATATTTGGAGGAACGGATTAAATAATACCTGGCCGGATTTAGCTCGCGTATCATAGTTTACCAATGCATGATCTTGACTTGATGAACAATTATGGTGAAGAAATTATTTCATTACTTTTTAACAATATTAAATAAAATGGGAAAAAACAGTTATTCTATTCAAAACTACCATCAGATATCATTCCTTTTGTTCAGAGTATCTCAAAGACGTTCATGACTAAAATTGGTAATGTTTATCTTGGTGATCTAAAATTAGACTAGAAATAGATTAGTAATTTGCCAGGCATGACACAACAGTATTGTCTGCCTGTGGGCTAATCAACGGATGGTTATCAATATTATGAGGTAAAATATTTACGCATACATCGATTTTAAAGTCAACAAAACTGGTTTGGGATGTGTTTATTTAAACTTAAAAAGCAACAATCGTTGCCTGGAGCTTTAAATTCAACTTTATGAAGAATGTTCGATCTTCGAAGATGATATTTTGGGTTTCTCGTGGATTGAATACGTCAGTATACTTTTTATCGGGGCGTTGTGCTCAATGTGTCGTAGATAGTTTTGCTGAAGAATCGAGTTTTGTCTACGGTGTCACATTTTTGAATATGGCGGGAGGAAACGTGGGTAATCGGATGTTTTTATTTGTGCCGATTGGAATTGGTTTGTTAGTAGGAAGTGTTCTAACTATCGCCTATGTTAGATCACCATTTTCAGCTCTCCCGGTCAACGATACACAAGGCATGGACGACTTTGATTGGGTAAATTTAGAAAATAAAGACTTACAACGCGGAAGGAAAATTGTATCTGAATTAATAGGACCAGAGTCAATCGCAGTGGATGAGCATGATAACCTATATACTGGACTCCAGGATGGCAGGATAATGAAAATTATAAATCCCGGACAAGCAAACCAAACAGTTATCGACTTGACAAAATCATTCGACTTTGCAGAAGGAAGCCATCGAAAGAAAAAGCGTCCTCTTGGTCTTCGTCTCCATGGTTCAAAGTTGTATTTTGCAGATGCTTATCAAGGAGTCATTATGATCGACTCAGAGTCACGGACTTATGATGTCATAGTACATTACAATGACGTCAACCCTCCCTTGGTGTTCCCAGATGATTTGACCATGACATCTGATGGAAAAACAATATATTTCACTGACGTGAGTTTAAAATGGGGTTATGATGACATTATTTTTTCCGTTCTTGAAGCTGAATGCACCGGACGACTTTTTAAAATTGATGTTTTAACGAAAAATACCGAACTTATTTTAGATAGTTTGTGTATATCGAACGGGATTGAAATCGTGGAAAATGATACTCATGTTCTTCTGTCCGAACACAGTCGTCGACGTCTTGCATTGGTTAATCTCAAATCGAAAGAAGTTGTGCGATATATTCCACTCCCGGCTGGTCCAGACAACATAAGAAAGAGGAAGAACGGTGGATATTGGGTGGGAATGCCCTATATTGCAGAGCCGGGACACTTTGCGACATGGGGTCCTGTATTTCGCCAGATACTTGCTGGCGCACTAGGATCCGACGGCGCCCTGACTATGTTAAACATAGACCAAGGAGTTGCTGTGAAGTTAAATGAAGACTTCGAGCCAGAGAGTATCCATTTAGACCTGGAAGGCAAACTGTCTCAAGCTATCACAGAAATATCTGAACTGAGCGACGGAACACTTCTAGTTGGGTCTTTCATGGCGAATGGAATCGTGCTGATTGATCCTTTATCATCTGACTGAAAATATTTCGTGTAATTCAGTATATATATATATATGTCGTATGAACTCAGTTCATCTATTACTGAAATATGGAAATTAATTAAAATGTTTCGCAAATTTGTTTTACTTGTAGAGCGCCTGTATTCTATTGAAAAAATGTATCTTAAATGAGTTTGACATAATAAATGATATTTATACATCAGCGTCTACCAAACTGGGATTTGAGAACTCCCGGAATCCATGACGTACGCGCAGTCTACAGGGTGTCCATAAGATATATTGAGTATTTCGCCAAGTATCGGCATCTAATCTAATCGTTGAATTAATATTGGTATAAAATCAAAAGCATAGGCCAGGGTTGAGCAATTACTTTTCTGAGTGGACCAGTTACATATAATAAACAGTTTATTTACATCAGTTCAACAGCTAAAAAAACGTTTAAATATTAACAAGAAGGGCAATGCAACAATCAGGGTCATTATGATATCATTTTCATCGATATTTTTAACGGCAATTTATATCCATAAAAACACTTCGGTGTATTTTCAATAATATTTTAGGTAGAAAAATATTGCAAATCGTGTTTTGGAGGAGAATCTTAGCCGAACACGTTGATATCCTATGGTGTATAGGGCTTTGATCTGTCTTTGAAGACAAGTATAACAGAGCCGAGTTGCATTCGAAGTGAGTTGGAACGCCAACTCGCGAAACCACTTTTAAAATAAGCCCCGGAAATTTTGCAAAGGTAAAGTATAGGAAGAATTATTCCAGGGTCAAAGGTCAGGAAAAGGTCCATACCCAATTGTTCCGCTTTTCCCAAAGATGGCTCAAAGTGGCGTCCATGGACTAGTTTAACCGTAAGATTTAACATTGGACAAGTTGGTTGCCAGCCGTTGGCGGTGATCTTTCCGTATTAATACGACAACCTCATGTTGTAGCTTCGCAATAAACTGAAAATAAATGCAATTCAAAAAACGACACGAATGGAGATGCTTTGAGAAATATTATCCGATTAACTAAAGGAAAAAAATCGCCACAGATAGCTTGACTTGTTCAAATAGAGTGTTGCTTTAATAGCAGGTGTTAGAATGGGAGCATATGCCGGACTGCAGTAGAACATTCATCTGGTAATGCTACCTAACAAAACATTTAGATTCTACTTACTATTTTGCGATTGCTATAGATATTGAAACAAGAAAAATATGCATGTTTGTCATGTTATCACGCATGTTTCATACGAGGTTAGGAAGCATCGAAGGTTTGATTTGAATGCAAATAAGTGAGACTTACTACCTTACGTGTCCATATTTTTATTTTCGATCCCGTCAGTGTTTCTTAATATGTACTTCATAGCATCGGTCTGATTGATTTTCATAAACTTGACAAATAATACCAACAGACGTGACTTACGCATCAGTACAGGAAACCCCTCACGTTTTTAGCTGTACAACGATGTGTCAAGCGCGGGATAATAGATGATATGTCAGAATTGAGGGCGGGGTTTATTTTCTGTTCGAAAGTAACGGGGACACGCGACTAAAACCATTTTAAGAGGGAGAAGTGGATCATTTTCGTAAAAAATTATTCTATCCGAAAAAAAAATTACTCCTTATTTGCAGTTTATTAAGTCTAGTCCCATCGATTTAATACTTAAGGATGGAAGAAGTCGCTAGAGTGCTATCACTTTCTTTCATATTTTTCCTAAGTTCTGTGGGACTTCTGACACTTTCCGCTTATGTCATATATTCTGGTGGCTTTAATAATCGTTGTATAAACTGTATTATATATATTATTTACTGAGTATGCCAGACTACGATATAAGCTTTTTTCCAATTGAATACATTCGTTTCACAAAAAGACAGAGTAGATAAAATGAGAATATCAGTTATGAATGAACTAAGTTCCCCTTCATAAATGAACTAGGTGGAAACATCCGTCGAAAGAAGAGGGTCCACTGGAGGAGGTAGAGGATCAACCAAAGTGATTCCATTTGAGATGGCAGATCCGAGTGCAAGTGTTCCGTCGCTCAGTTCAGATACTTCTGTAACACCTTGGGACAGTTTGCCTTCCAAGTCCAAATGGATACTCTCGGGTTCAAAATTTTCGTTCAGCTTCACAGCCACTCCTTGGGATAAGTTGAATTTGGTCAAAGTGCCGTCCGACCCTAATGCGCCGGCAAGTATCTGACGGAATACAGGAGCCCATGTCACAAAATGTCCCGGTTCTGGAATATATAGCATTGCTACCCAATATCCACCATTCTTCCTCTTTCGAATGTTGTTTGGCCCAGCCGGGAGTGGGATGTGTCGCACAACTTTTGCAGATTCGAGGTTAACCAATGTGATGCGTCGATAATTGTGCTCGGACAGAAGAACATGAGTTTCATTTTCCACAATTTCAATGCCGTTTGGTAAACACAAACTATCTAGGATAAGTTCGGTGTTTTTGGTTAAAACATCAACTTTAAATAATCTTCCGGTGCAATCACCTTCAGTAATAGCTAAGGTGACGTCATCGTAATTCCACTTTAGACTCATATCAGTGAAATATATTGTTTTTCCATCAGAGGTTATGGTCAAATCATCGAGAAACAACAAGGGCGGGCTGACGTCATTAAAGTCCACTATGACATCATAAGTATGCGACTCTGAGTCGATCATAATGACTCCTTGAAAAGCATCTGCAAAATACAACTTTGAACCATGAAGGCGAAAGCCAAGGGGACGCTTTTTATTTCGTTTGCTTTCTTTTGCATAGTCGAATGATTCCGTCAAGTTGATGACACTTTGGTTTGCTTTCCCAGGATTTATGATTTTCACCACCCTGCCACCTTTGAGTCCAGTGTATAGGTTATCATGCTCATCGAATGCGATTGACTCTGGTTGCACTAGTTCAGGAAGAATTCTTCTTCCGCGTTGTAAGTCATTATTTTCAACCTGTGCCCATTCAAAGTCGCTCATGACGCGGAAATCGTCGACCGGAACAGCTGAAACTGGAGATCTAACATAAGCAATAGTTAGAACACTTCCGATCATTAAACCAACTCCAATTGGCACAAATAAAAACATCCGGTTAACCTCATCTCCTCCCGCCATACTTGAAAATAGGGGACGGTATTAAAATTAGACTCTTTCAGCAAACTGCAACGTATTGCGGATAACGCCACCTTCTTCAATCTGCGATGATACTGTAATGCAGTTTTCAAATCGATCGTCATTCAAACTTTCCTAAAGTGGAAATTAAAGCTCGAGGCAGCAACACGAGCGTGTATGCCTAATACACACCAGTTAAGTAGCTTTGTTAAAACCATTGTTTGATTTTTTTTCAAATGCTGCGCTGTAGTTAGCCCACAGGCATACAATAAACTTTATGTTGGATTCAAAGGCATAACGAAGTCAATATTAAAACGTACCTATATAATCTGAACGATTTTCGATGCGATTTGGCCGTTCGTGAGGTCAGGTCCAAATGCGATTAGTTAGATTTGACCGGTTTACCTTTTCAGATGTATGGACTTTGAATGAAAGATACAAGACCGTCCCGCTCCCCAATTCTAATTTTAACCAATAAATTTGTATACGACAGGGGTCGGCAACCTACGGCCCGTAGGCCGGATCCGGCACGCGGAGTACTATAATCCGGCCAGCGACGCCTCACTGGATTATAGGAGCAAACCAGCTGTTTTGACGATTATATTCTTTACGTAACAGAATTTATTGTGAGACTCGTGTAGACTAATCTAACAGGTATAAAATTCACAATTACTCGTTTAATGAGCTTATAATTTAATTATGATTAGACAAATGGCAACAAAACGCAGAAAGGTTGATGCTAAGTGCAAAGGTTCAATGGCGCCGAAAATATTCAAATGGAACTTTTTGAGATGCAATGCAATGAGGAAATAAATCTATATTCTATTCGAGAGATGTATCACTGCTTGATTTTTATTATAAAAAGTATCATCCGTTCAGTTTTTAACTCTCTAGAAATATGCGCGGCCCGCCAATGACTTACAACCTTTAATTTTGGCCCGCGAGCGACAAAAGGTTGCCGACCCCTGGTGTACGATGTAGATGATAAACCGCAGGACTCCGCTACACGCACGGCTGTGGTGTGGCGCATCGTGCTAAGCGTTAGGAATACGCTCGCCACCGCAACTTTGAATACCCTGCGTGGGTTCGCAGGTTTAAATCTTATGCGGGATGATTAGGTGCGAGAGGATTACTGGCCGCTTTAGGGTGATTCACGTAACCGCTGGGCGCTGGTCGGTGACGGCTTCCTCCACCATCAAGTCCATGCTTTCGAAAACAAATAACTGGCTAACTAACCCCATACCAGACAAGGACTGGTAACCAGAAGAGAGGCCGTGGTTCGCCATGTGATTAAGATATCTTATCGGCTTTCCTCTTCCCGGGATAAATATGTAAAAATCCTATCCACGACCGGTAAAGTAAAAATACTTCAATTGTGATATTATGCTCGGATAAAATGCAACAATTTGTAAACACGAATTTACTCTATCACATAACCATTAGTCAAACTGAGCCCCGGATACCGTTTTTTCCATAGAACCCGACCAAGGGTAGATAAAGTCGTGACCTATCAGCGATGGATGTTCCACGATCTTTGACCCCGCAAAAATCTCTTTATACTTCACTGTTGCCAAATTTTTTATGCTCATTTTTGAAGAGTTGGCGCTTATAAACTGGGTTATACATTCAGAACCATTATTCCAGTTGAAAACATTTAACCACGTGCTCCTTACAGGTACTGATAGTTAATTTTAGTCTCGTCTATCGAAGATTTTTCGGGACAAATTTTTGATTACTGCAACTAAACTAAGCTCACGAGAAGACATTATGACATTTAATTTACTTGATTGCAACTATTTCTTGGAAACAGAACTGAAAAATAACATGCAAAACCACGAAAACAACCCCTGATTTCCTCCACGACGTACATCATGAATTATGGGGGCTCTCGAATATCAGTTTAGCAATCATTACCAGGGGGTAAACAGGTATGCGAGGGGGGTTGTGGGCAGCTAGCGAATCCAGTAGGAAAACGTGAACATTCGATAGTCTTTTTTTTTATTTTTTTATTTATTTAAAAGGTGAAATAAAAAGCACTTCGCAAAATAGCATTTCGTGCTGAACAATGGAAAATCTGTCACTCAAATGTTGTGAAGAAAAAAAAACACTTCACACTATTCAATGAATATATATATATGCTCTTTGCACTATTCTATTGCATAAAATTGCACACACTTTACCAATTCGCTACAGCCTAATTAAGGGTCTAATAGGCTTTTCAAGCCACAAAAATTTCGATGTATGATACAAAAAACATTTTTTTCCAAGGAAACATTTTTTCAATTGAATACAGTCATTTACAAAAAGACAGAGTCGTTTATGAATGAATCAAGTTGCTCTTTACAATTAAACTAGATAGAAACATCCACCAAAGGATGATCCACTAGAGGAGGTAAAGGGTTAACCAAAGCAATTCCATTTGAGATGAAAGATCCGACTACAAGTGTTCCGTCGCTCAGTTCAGATACTTTTGTGACAGCTTGGGACAGTTTGCCTTCCAAGTCCAAATGGATACTTCCTGGTTCAAGGTTTTTATTCAACTTCACAGCCACTCCTTGGGTTAAGTTGAAGTTGGTCAAAGCGCATCCCGATCCTAAAGCCCCGGCAAATATCTGGCGGAATACAGGACTCCACGTCACAAAATGTCCTGGCTCTGGTATATATGGTATTGCAACCCGAAATTCGCCGTGCTTTCCTTTCCGTATGTTGTCTGGCCCAGCCGGGAGTGGGATGTGTCGCACAACTCTCGCAGATTCGAGGTTGACCAATGTAAGGCGTCGATAATTGTTCTCGGACAGAAGAACATGAGTTTCATTTGTCACAATTTCAATTCCGTTTGGTAGACACAAACTATCCAGAATGAGTTCGGTGTTTTTGGTTAAAACATCAACTTTAAAGAGTCTTCCGGTGCAATCACCTTCAATACTAGGAAAGGCAACGTCGTCGTAATTCCACTTCAAACTCATATCAGTGAAATACATTGTTCTTCCATCAGACGTCAAAACCAAATCATCAGGAACAACATGGGCGGACTGACGTCATTTTAGCTTACCATGATGTCATAATTTTGGGTCTCTAAGTGGATCATAATGACTCCTTGATAAGTATCTGCAAAATACAACTTTGAACCATGGAGACGAAGACCAAGAAGACGCTTTTTCTTTCGTTTGCTTCCTTCAGCAAAGTCAAATGATTTTGTCAATTCGATGACTGTTTTGTTTGCTTTCCCCGGGATTATGATTTTTATTATCTTGCCATCTTTGAGTCCAGTGTATAGGGTATCATGCTCATCCACTGCGATTGACTCTGGTCCTATTAATTCAGGTATAATCTTTATTCCGCGTTGTAAGTCATTATTTTCAATTTGTGTCCATTCAAAGTCGCTTATTTCGTGAAAATCCTCGACTTGAAGAGCTGAAAGTGGTGATCTCATATAAGCGATTGTTAGAACACTTCCGACCATCAAACCAATTCCAATTAGCGCAACTCGTCTCCTCCCGCCATATTTGAAGGCGCTCCCAAAACCTCTACACTCCTCTACTAGACTAAGACGTATTGCAGTATTCGAGTTAAACTTCGATGATACCGTGAAGTGGTCTTCCAAGCGATTGACACTCAAACACTCTTCATTTAGTGGAAATTAAAGCTCTAGGCAACGATTATTGCGTCTAAGCCCAATCAAAAAACGATGAGTCAGCTTTGTTAACGTTATAATCATTGTTTAGGCAAAAAAATTTCTCACAAACTCCTGCGCTGGTTAGCATACAGGTCGATAATAAATATTCGGTTGGTAAATATGACGGGAGGTTACGTGGTCAACCGGATGTTTTTATTTGTGCCGATTGGAATTGGTTTGTTAGTAGGAAGTGTTCTAACTATCGCTTATGTTAGATCGCCATTTTCAGCTCTCCCGGTCAACGATACACAAGGCATGGACGACTTTGATTGGGTGAATTTAAAAAATAAAGACTTACAACGCGGAAGGAAAATTGTATCTGAATTAATAGGACCAGAGTCAATCGCAGTAGATGAGCATGATAACCTATATACTGGACTCCGGGATGGCAGGATAATGAAAATCATAAATCCTGGAAAAGTAAACCAAACAGTTATCGACTTGACAAAATCATTCGACTTCGCAGAAGGAAGCAAACGAAAGAAAAAGCGTCCTCTTGGCCTCCGTCTCCATGGTTCAAAGTTGTATTTTGCAGATGCATATCAAGGAATCATTATGATCGAATCAGAGTCACGGACTTATGATATCATAGTAAGCTATAATGACGTCAACCCTCCCTTGGTGTTCCCAGATGACTTGACCATGACATCTGATGGAAAAACAATATATTTCACTGACGTGAGTTTGAAATGGGGTTATGATGACATTATTTTTTCTGTTCTTGAAGCTGAATGCACCGGACGACTTTTTAAAGTTGATGTTTTAACAAAAAATACCGAACTTATTTTAGATAGTTTGTGTATATCGAACGGCATTGAAATTGTGGAAAATGATACTCATGTTCTTTTGTCCGAACACAGTCGCCGCCGCCTTGCATTGGTTAATCTCGAATCTAAAGAAGTTGTGCGATACATCGCACTCCCGGCTGGTCCAGACAACATAAGGAAGAGGAAGAACGGTGGATATTGGGTGGGAATGCCATATATTGCAGAGCCGGGACACTTTGCGACATGGGGTCCCGTATTCCGCCAGATACTTGCTGGCGCACTAGGATCCGACGGCGCTCTGACTATGTTAAACATAGACCAAGGAGTTGCTGTGAAGTTAAATGAAAACTTTGAGCCAGAGAGTATTCATTTAGATCTGGAGGGCAAACTGTCTCAAGCTGTCACAGAAATATCTGAACTGAGCGACGGAACACTTCTCATTGGGTCTTTCATGGCAAATGGAATCGTGCTGATTGATCCTTTATCATCTGACTGAAAATATTTCATGTAATTTAGTATATATATATATGTCGTATGAACTCAGTTCATCTATTACTGGAATATGGAAATTTATTAAAATGTTTCGGAAATTTGTTTTACTTGTAGAGCGCCTGTATTCTATTGAAAAAAATGTATCTTAAATGAGTTCAACATAATAAATAATACATATACATCAGAGTCATCCAAACTTGGTTTGATAACTCTCGGAATCCATGACGTGCGCACAGTGGGTATGTCAAAATTAATACAAGTCTGCATATTCTCGAACGTTTCGGCAGCAAAAATATTCACAGTGGATCTTAATTAAGTATTTCGCCAAGTATCGGAATCTAATCTGATCGTTGAATTAATATTGTTATAAATCGATCCGACTAGCGGGCCGTAAATTGCCCGCCCCAAGCGTAGGCTCATGGCGAATATAGCAAGATTTGCTGTTAGATATAAGTATACTGCAAATCTTGTTTTATTTGTTAAAGTTAGGACAGTGGATAAATTTATGAGAAAAAATTTAATTATTTGACGTAAATAACAGATGTGAGAGCAATTTTGATCGAGTAATTTCAGGCAGAATTCTACAAGTAAAAAATTAGCGTTTGTGAGAAAATTTTCCTCTGAGGAATATCTGTTGTCTAATGAAAAATTACTGCACACCGAGGAAACGACCGAACCCTAACATTACTTTTCCTCGCAAAAAAAACAAACAACTCTATCCAAATCAGAAACTCATTGGATAGCTCCTTTTACTCGATCCTAGCTTTTTATGGATGCTTTTAAAGCAAACAATTAGAGCAATGCCAAATTATATCGACCCGAAAGTCGTTATGACCTGGGTGCGTCGAGTTGCTGAAAAGATCGGTGGACAAGCAACGGTAGACAGTCGGCTAATGCGGGATAAAACATGTTCTCCTGTAATTAAAATCAAACAGCGAACAAATATGGATTCGTAAATATATTGATACGTAAGTCAAATTACTACGTCAAAGAGTGTAACTTCGGGTGAAATGTCGCTGTTTTAACAATGCCACAAATTTATTGTCCATGTGACGCTAAATGTAGCCTACCTGGTGAAATATTTTCGTTGGTACTTAACACGCTGCGCTTGCTGCAATAATTAAAATTCGACTTTTTGAGGAAAAAAATTAGGAAGGAAAAGTTTATGATTATATATATCGTAAGTTTAAAAAACCAATTATAACGAGGAAAACATAGCCGTGGTCCCTCTGTATTGTTATTTTGTTACAACCACATATTCTAGCTTCGCAATAAACTAAAAAGTAACGCAATGTAGAAAATGATGAATGGGAGTGCCTTGGAAAATATTATCGATTAACCAATCATGGAAACAATCGCCACAGATAGATGTCTTGTTCAAATAGAGTGTTGCTTAGGAGCAAGTCTTAAAATAAGAGCATGAGCCGTATCTAGTCTATACAATGCTAGATTTACTCGACGAAACATTTATTTTCTAGTTACGATTGCCGCATGTTAGTCTCTCTATGTTGGGCTCGGCTGTGTGGCGCATTGCGCTAAGGGTAAGGAATACGCTTGCCACCGCACCTCTGATAACTAGGGCTGGGCATTTTCGAATACCTGATGATTTCAGAATCGAATATTTTTTCGAATCGAATCTCGAATACTTGAGAGTCAATGAGAAATATGTAAATTTATATGCGACTTTTTTATTTGGAAATTGGTCCTGTCAACAAATGAATTACTGAAACATAGAATATATCACTTGGACAGATTGCTGAGCGTTCACACGCAATAAAAACACTTATTTATCATTAACTCACTCAGAAAATATAGTCACATGTCAGAATGACATTAAAAAAATATGGCTTTGATAAAAAAAAAAAATTGGAGAATTCACCTCCACCATTGGTGAAAAGAAAAAAACAAGAAGGCGGGCAATTCGAAATTTTGCTCGGAACCGATTCGAATAATTACTATTCGAATCGAATATTTGATTCGAAGGTGCCCAGCCTTACTAATAACCTGCGTGGGTTTGCAGGTTCTAATGTCATGAGGGATGCTTATGTGCAAGAGGATTGCTGGACTCCTCGCCGCCGTAGGGTGGTTTACGTAACCGCTGGTCGGTTACGGCTTCATCCACCATCAAGTCCAAGGTCTTCCGAAAACAAATAACTGGCTAACTAATCCCATACCCGACATGGACTGGTAACCGGACGAGAGGCCATGGTTCGCCATATGATAATACCGTCTGATCGGCTTTCCTCTCTCGGGATAAATGTGTAAAATCCTATCCTATCCACGACCGGTGAAGTAAACTTACTTCAATTGTGATCTTGTGCTCAGTTAAAATGCGAACATTATCACACTATCTTTACCCAATCTGAGCCCCGCGCATACCGTTTTTTCTCATAGAACCCGACCAAGGGTAGATAAAGTCGTGACCTATCAGCGATGGATGTCCGACGACCTTTAACCCCACTAAAATCTCCCCATACGTTGTTACTATTGCCAATTTTTTTATGCTTATTTTTGAAGAGTTGGCGCTTATAAACTGGGTTATATATTCAGAACCATTATTCTAGTTGAAAACATTCAACCACGTGCTGCTTAGGCCTACAGGTACTGATAATTAATTTTAGTTTAGTTTATCGAAGCTTTTTCGGTGCAATTTTTAATTAATGCAACTAAACTAAAGCTCACGGGAGAACATTATGACATTTAATTTATTTGATTGCAACTAATTCTTGGAAACACAACTGAAAAATAACATGCAAAACCACGAAAACAACCCTTGATTTCTGCCACAACCGTACATCATGAATCATGAGGGCTGTCGAACATCCGCTGAGCAACCATTATCAGGGGGGTAAACAGGTATGCGAGGGGTTGTGGACAGCTAGCGAATCCAGTAGGAAAACGTTGAACTTTCAATAGTCTTAAGGGTCTAATAGTCCTTTCAAGCCACAAAAATTTCGATGTATGATACAAAAAAAAATTTTTTCCCAAGAAAACATTTTTCAATTGAATAAAGTCATTTACAAAAAAACGGAGTCGTTTATGGATGAATCAAAGTTTGCTCTTTTACAATTAAACTAGATAGAAACATCCACCAAAGGATGATCCACTAGAGGAGGGTAAAGGGTCAACCAAAGCAATTCCATTTGAGATGAAAGATCCGACTACAAGTGTTCCCGTCACTCAGTTCAGATACTTCTGTGACAGCTTGGGACAGTTTTGCCTTCCAAGTCCAAATGGATACCTCTCGGGTTCAAAGTTTTTATTCAACTTCACAGCCACTCCTTGGGTTAAGTTGAATTTGGTCAAAGCGCCTTCCGGCCCCAAAGCTCCGGCAAGTATCTGGCGGAATACAGGACCCCACGTCATAAAATGTCCCGGCTCTGGTATTTATGGTATTGCAACCCAAAATCCGCCGTTTCTTCTTTTCCGTATGTTGTCTGGCCCAGCCGGGAGTGGGATGTGTCGCACAACTTTCGCAGATTCGAGGTTGACCAATGTAAGGCGTCGATAGTTGTGCTCTGACAGAAGAACATTTGTTTCATTTTCCACAATTTCGATTCCGTTTGGTAAACACAAACTATCCAGAATGAGTTCGGTGTTTTTGGTTAAAACATCAACTTTAAATAATCTTCCGGTGCAATCACCTTCAATACTAGGAAAGGCAACGTCGTCGTAATTCCACTTCAAACTCATATCAGTGAAATATATTTGTTTTTCCATCAGACGTCAAAACCAAATCATCTGGGAACAACATGGGGCGGACTGACGTCATTATAGTTTACTATGATGTCATAATTTTAGTTTCCAAGTCGATCATAATGACTCCTTGATAGGCATCTGCAAAATACAACTTTGCGCCATGGAGACGAAGACCAAGAGGGCGCTTTTCTTTTCTTTTGCTTCCTTCTGCAAAGTCAAATGATTTTGTCAATTCGATGACTGTTTGGTTTGCTTTCCCGGGATTTATGATTTCTATTATCCTGCCATCTTTGAGTCCAGTGTATAGGTTATCATGCTCATCCACTGCGATTGACTCTGGTCCTATTAATTCAGGTATAATCTTTATTCCGCGTTGTAAGTCATTATTTTCAACTTGTGCCCATTCAAAGTCGCTTATTTCTTGAAATTTCTCTACCGGAAGAGCTGAAAATGGTGATCTCATATAAGCGATTGTTAGAACACTTCCGACCATCAAACCAATTCCAATTGGCACAAATAAAAACATCCGATTAACCACGTTGAAAGTCATTATTTTCAACTTGTGCTCATTCAAAGTCGCTTATTTCGTGAAAGTCCTCGACCTGAAGAGCTAAAAATGGTGATTTCATATAAGCGATTGTTAGAACACTTCCGACCATTAAACCAATTCCAATTAGTGCAACTCGTCTCCTCCCGCCATATTTAAAGGCGCTCCCAAAATCTCGATACTCTTCTACTAGACTACGACGTATTGCAGTATTCGAGTTTAACTTCGATGATACCGTGAAGTGTTATTTCAAGCGACTGACACTCAAACACTCTTCATATAGTAGAAATTAAAGCTCTAGGCAACGATTATTGCTTCAAAGCTTAATCAAAAAACGGTGAGTCAGCTTTGTTAACGTTATAATCATTGTTTGAGCAAAAAAAATTCTTTAACTCCTGCGCTGCTTAGCCTACAGGTCGATGATAAATATTCGGTTGGTAAATATGACGGGAGGTTACGTGTCAACCGGATGTTTTTATTTGTGCCGATTGGAATTGGTTTGTTAATAGGAAGTGTTCTAACTAATCGCTTATTGTTAGATCACCATTTTCAGCTCTCCCGGTCAACGATACACAAGGCATGGACGACTTTGATTGGGTGAATTTAAAAAATAAAGACTTACAACGCGGAAGGAAAATTGTATCTGAATAAATAGGACCAGAGTCAATCGCAGTAGATGAGCATGATAACCTATATACTTGGACTCCAGGAATGGCAGGATAATGAAAATCATAAATCCTGGAAAAGCAAACCAAACAGTTATCGACTTGACAAAATCATTCGACTTCGCAGAAGGAAGCAAACGAAAGAAAAAGCGTCCTCTTTGGCCTCCCGTCTCCATGGTTCAAAGTTGTATTTTGCAGATGCATATCAAGGAAATCATTATGATCGAATCACAGTCACGGACTTATGATATCATAGTAAGCTATAATGACGTCAACCCTCCCTTGGTGTTCCCAGATGACTTGACCATGACATCTGATGGAAAACAATATATTCACTGACGTGAGTTTGAAATGGGGTTATGATGACATTATTTTTTCTGTTCTTGAAGCTGAATGCACCGGACGACTTTTAAAGTTGATGTTTTAAACAAAAAATACCGACTTATTTTAGATAGTTTGTGTATATCGAACGGCATTGAAATTGTGGAAAATGATACTTCATGTTCTTTTGTCCGAACACAGTCGCCGCCGCCTTGCATTGGTTAATCTCGAATCTAAAGAAGTTTGTGCGATACATCGCACTCCCGGCTGGTCCAGACAACATAAGGAAGAGGAAGAACGGTGGATATTGGGTAGGAATGCCATATATTGCAGAGCCGGGACACTTTGCGACATGGGGTCCCGTATTCCGCCAGATACTTGCTGGCGCACTAGGATCCGACGGCGCTCTGACTATGTTAAACATAGACCAAGGAGTTGCTGTGAAGTTAAATGAAAACTTTGAGCCAGAGAGTATTCATTTAGATCTGGAGGGCAAACTGTCTCAAGCTGTCACAGAAATATCTGAACTGAGCGACGGAACACTTCTCATTGGGTCTTTCATGGCGAATGGAATCGTGCTGATTGATCCTTTACCATCTGACTGAAAATATTTCATGTAATTTAGTATATGTCGTATGAACTCAGTTCATCTATTACTGAAATATGGAAATTTATTAAAATGTTTCGGAAATTTGTTTTACTCGTAGAGCGCCTGTATTCTATTGAAAAAATGTATCTTAAATAAGTTCGACATAATAAATAATACATATACATCAGAGTCATCCAAACTTGGTTTGAGAACTCTCGGAATCCATGACGTGCGCACAGTGGGTATGTCAAAATTAATACAAGTCTGCATATTCTCGAACGTTTCGGCAGCAAAAATACTCACAGTGGATCTTAATTGAGTATTTCGCCAAGTATCGGAATCTAATCTGATCGTTGAATTAATATTGTTATAAATCGATCCGACCAGCGGGCCGTAAATTGCCCGCCCCAAGCGTAGGCTCATGGCGAATATAGCAAGATTTGCTGTTAGATATAAGTATACTGCAAATCTTGTTTTATTTGTTAAAGTTAGGACAGTGGATAAATTTATGAGAAAAAATTTAATTATTTGACGTAAATAACAGATGTGAGAGCAATTTTGATCGAGTAATTTCAGGCAGAATTCTACAAGTAAAAAATTAACGTTTGTGAGAAAATTTTCCTCTGAAGAATATCTGTTGTCTAATGAAAAATTACTGCACACCGAGGAAACGACCGAACCCTAACATTACTTTTCCTCGCAAAAAACAAACAAACAACTCTATCCAAATCAGAAACTCATTGGATAGCTCCTTTTACTCGATCCTAGCTTTTTATGGATGCTTTTAAAGCAAACAATTAGAGCAATGCCAAATTATATCGACCCGAAAGTCGTTATGACCTGGGTGCGTCGAGTTGCTGAAAAGATCGGTGGATAAGCAACGGTAGACAGTCGGCTAATGCGGGATAAAACATGTTCTCCTGTAATTAAAATCAAACAGCGAACAAATATGGATTCGTAAATATATTGATACGTAAGTCAAATTACTACGTCAAAGAGTGTAACTTCGGGTGAAGTGACTCTGTTTTAACAATACCACAAATTTATTGTCCATGTGACGCTAAATGTAGCCTACCTGGTGAAATATTTTCGTTGGTACTTAACACGTTGCGCTTGCTGCAATAATTGAAATAAATAAAATTCGACTTTTTGTCGAAAAAAATTAGGGAGGGAAAGTTCATGACTATATATATCGTAAGTTTAAAAAAACAATTATAACGAGGAAAACGTAGCCGTGGTCTCTCTGTATTATTATTTTGTTACAACCACATATTCTAGCTCCGCAATAAACTAAAAAGTAACGCAATCTAAACAAGAGAGCTACGCCCAAATATATGGACACGTCTGTTCGAAATACAATACGGTTTACCGTACCGTCAGATCACAGTCTACAAATATATTCACACCAAGCGAAGCAGTATAGTAGGACACAAAATGGCGTCCTATATCCGCAGAACGTTTATTGACGTCATATCAAACAAAATCAAATCTCACAGAGCTAACAGAAATATTTAAAATGAATAAAAGTAATAGCCTTCTGGGGAAAAATGTTATCTTCAACCACTGAAAATTTCAAAGCAATTGGTCCAGTATTCGAAGAGAAAAGCGTTTTTTTAATATTTCCTCTAGGTGTGTTATTCTGTGTCAAACAACAAGAACAACATATTACTGAAACGATCGTTATGTCCACTACGTGTCCAAAAATGACGAATGGGGGTGCCTTGGAAAATATTATCGATTAACCAATCATGGAAACAATCGCCACAGATAGATGTCTTGTTCAAATAGAGTGTTGCTTAGGAGCAGGTCTTAAAATAAGAACATGAGCCGTATTGCGGTATCTAGTCTATACAATGCTAGATTTACTCAACGAAACATTTATTTTCTAGTTACGATTGCCGCATGTTAGTCTCTCTATGTTGGGCTCGGCGGTGTGGCGCATTGCGCTAAGGGTAAGGAATACGCTTGCCACCGCACCTCTGATAACTAGGGCTGGGCATTTTCGAATACCTGATGATTTCAGAATCGAATAGAATATTTTTTCGAATCGAATCTCGAATACTTGAGAGTCAATGAGAAATATGTATAATTATATGCGACTTTTTTAGTGGAATTGGTCCTGTCAACAAATGAATTACTGGAAACATAGAATATATCACTTGGACAGATTGCTGAGCGTTCACACGCAATAAAAACACTTATTTATCATTAACTCACTCAGAAAATATAGTCACATGTCAGAATGACATTAAAAAAATATGGCTATGATGAAAAAAAAATTGGAGAATTCACCTCCACCATTGGTGAAAAGAAAAAAACAAGAAGGCGGCAATTCGAAATTTTGCTCGGAACCGATTCGAATAATTTACTATTCGAATCGAATATTTGATTCGAAGTGCCCAGCCTTACTAATAACCCTGCGTGGGTTTGCAGGTTCTAATGTCATGAGGGATGCTTATGTGCAAGAGGATTGCTGGACTCCTTGCCGCCGTAGGGTGGTTCACGTAACCGCTGGCCGGTTACGGCTTCATCTACCATCAAGTCCATGCTTCCGAAAACAAATACCTGGCTAACTAATCCCATACCCGACATGGACTGGTAACCGGACGAGAGGCCATAGTTCGCCATATGATAATACCGTCTGATCGGCTTTCCTCTCTCTCGGGATAAATGTGTAAAATCCTATCCTATCCACGACCGGTGAAGTAAACTTACTTCGATTGTGATCTTGTGCTCAGTTAAAATGCGAACATTATCACACTATCTTTACCCAATCTGAGCCCCGCGCATACCGTTTTTTCTCATAGAACCCGACCAAGGGTAGATAAAGTCGTGACCTATCAGCAGGGTTGCCATCTACCCAGAGCCAAAAATAAGCACGGGCGTCAAGAAGGAGATCATACACGAGTCTTCCAATTTTGATCATTAGAAGTCGCTTCGAACACGGTTGTACGCAGCTCCGAAATTGCAAAAAGCTATGGAGTCACTGCCACACGCAATCTCTAAAGCAGAGGCAACTTTTTGTCGCTCACGGGCCATAATCAAGTGTTACAAATCTTGGCAGGGAAGCACATATTTTTTCGAGAAAGTTGAAAACTGAACGGTTGGCTGATGAACCACATTATTTATACAGATTAGAAATTGAAGTTCTAGACTTTAATTAGTGAGCGAACACTGCGACAACACGTGGACTTAAGTCGTCTCACTATGCAAAATATTTACAAATAACATTTAATGTAGGCTAACACTATTTGTTGCATTATGCTTGATACCTTTTTGACATCAGGTGAAATGCTGAATAAAACCAAAATTAGAACATTTTCTAAATGGGTAGCCTGTCACTAATCCTTTCTCAGCACGGAAAATTTCATTTTGGTTCGGTAATTGAAAACAAAAGCGATTTTTTGATAACGATGGGGGAAAGAATTAATAATGAAGAACAAGAACAACATATTAACGATCCGTAGGTATCAGTTTCAGTGAAGCATTGCGGGCCAGATTATTTTTGTCCGCGGGTCGGATATGGCCCGCAGGTGGCCGAACCCTGATCTAAAGTCTTCATACTTTGGTTTCCCGCAATGCTTATTATGTTTTGTGGTAGTATTGTGGGCACTGATTTCCCCCCTTGCTCAATGTCGCAATAGTAGTAGTTATGGTTACGCTTACTAGTTGTCTAAATTGCTTTGTACGCAAAACAAGAGCGATTCATCCACGTTTCTAAGACAAAATAAGCACGCAACTCTAAAATAAGCACTTTTCTTAGAAATAAGCACATTGTTACTTTATAAGACGCGGCCCAGAAAATAAGCACAGATCTTAGAAATAAGCACGATATGGCAACCCTGCCTATCAGCGATGGATGTCCGACGACCTTTAACCCCACTAAAATCTCCTCATACGTTGTTACTATTGCCAATTTTTTTATGCTTATTTTTGAAGAGTTGGCGCTTATAAACTGGGTTATATATTCAGAACCATTATTCTAGTTGAAAACATTCAACCACGTGCTGCTTAGGCCTACAGGTACTGATAATTAATTTTAGTTTATCGAAGCTTTTTCGGTGCAATTTTTAATTAATGCAACTAAACTAAAGCTCACGGGAGAACATTATGACATTTAATTTATTTGATTGCAACTAATTCTTGGAAACACAACTGAAAAATAACATGCAAAACCACGAAAACAACCCTTGATTTCTGCCACACCGTACATCATGAATCATGAGGGCTGTCAAACATCCGCTGAGCAACCATTATCAGGGGGGTAAACAGGTATGCGAGGGGGTTGTGGACAGCTAGCGAATCCAGTAGGAAAACGTGAACTTTCAATAGTCTTAAGGGTCTAATAGTCCTTTCAAGCCACAAAAATTTCGATGTATGATACAAAAAAAAAACATTTTTTCCCAAGAAAACATTTTTTCAATTGAATAAAGTCATTTACAAAAAGACGGAGTCGTTTATGGATGAATCAAGTTGCTCTTTACAATTAAACTAGATAGAAACATCCACCAAAGGATGATCCACTAGAGGAGGTAAAGGGTCAACCAAAGCAATTCCATTTGAGATGAAAGATCCGACTACAAGTGTTCCGTCGCTCAGTTCAGATACTTCTGTGACAGCTTTGGACAGTTTGCCTTCCATGTCCAAATGGATACTCTCGGGTTCAAAGTTTTTATTCAACTTCACAGCCACTCCTTGGGTTAGGTTGAATTTGGTCAAAGCGCCTTCCGATCCCAAAGCCCCGGCAAGTATTTGGCGGAATACGGGACTCCACGTCACAAAATGTCCCGGCTCTGGTATATATGGTATTGCAACCCAAAATCCGCCGTTTTTTCTTTTCCCTATGTTGTCTGGCCCAGCCGGGAGTGGGATGTGTCGCACAACTTTCGCAGATTCGAGGTTGACCAATGTGAGGCGCCGATAGACGTGCTCGGACAGAAGAACATGAGTTTCATTTTCCACAATTTCAATTCCGTTTGGTAGACACAAACTATCCAGAATGAGATCGGTGTTTTTGGTTAAAACATCAACTTTAAAAAGTCTTCCGGTGCAATCACCTTCAATACTAGAAAAGGCAACGTCGTCGTAATTCCACTTCAAACTCATATCAGTGAAATATATTGTTTTTCCATCAGACGTCAAAACCAAATCATCTGGAAACAACATCGGCGGGTTGACGTCATTATAGTTTACTATGATGTCATAGTTTTTAGTTTCCAAGTCGATCATAATGACTCCTTGATATGCATCTGCAAAATACAACTTTGCGCCATGGAGACGAAGACCAAGAGGGCGCTTTTTCTTTCTTTTGCTTCCTTCTGCAAAGTCAAATGATTTTGTCAATTCGATGACTGTTTGGTTTGCTTTCCCGGGATTCATGATTTTTATTATCCTGCCATATTTGAGTCCAGTGTATAGGTTATCATGCTCATCCACTGCGATTGACTCTGGTCCTATTAATTCAGGTATAATTTTTATTCCGCGTTGCAGGTCATTATTTTTAACTTGTGCCCATTCAAAGTCGCTTATTTCGTTAAATTTCTCTACCGGAAGAGCTGAAAATGGTGATCTCATATAAGCGATTGTTAGTACACTTCCGACCATCAAACCAATTCCAATTGGCACAAATAAAAACATCCGATTAACCACGTCCCCTCCCGTCATATTTATAATGAGGGGCGATGTCAAAATCTCAACAATCTTCTAATTAACTACGACGTATTGCAGTATACGAGTTAAGCTTCGATGATACCGTATTGTGGTCTTCTAAGCGATTGACACTCAAATACTCTCCATGTAGTTGAAATTAAAGCTCTAGGCAACGATTATTACGTCGAAGCTTAATAAAATACGCGTAGCCAGCTTTGTTAACGTTAAAATCATTGTTAAATTGAGCGAAGATTTTTCTAAAACCTCTGCGTTAGCTCGTTAGCCTACAGGCAGACAATAACTATTCGGTTGGATTCGAAGTATTGGCGACCGCGAGTGTATGTCGGTAACAGACATAGCAGCAGATTTAGATCTTTAAACCTAATTAACCGCCCGGTTCGATAACTAGCTGCGAATGCACTACGGATATTCAATTTACGAGCCATGGCCTAAATGGGATAACTGTAAGAATTTTAACAGTTTACTGTCAGCCCTAAATGGGATTGATTACCACAAGTAACTTTACCAGTTTTCCGGTGATCATGCATGGATAGTAGATCGATGTAAATTCAATACTTCTTCTTTGCAAAACCTTCCATCTTATTCTGTACGTTATAAACCTTATACAAGGTTTTGCTTGCTCTCTTGTTTCATAATAAACTTATACTATACTTATAAATACCAAGAGAGTGATGCTCAAATATATGGACATGAAATGGATATGTAATCCCCCACAGCTGTCTTCCGGTACCACACCACAGCCGACCACCGTAATTAACTTACGCAAAAGAGGATCCGCCACCAGAACCGCAATTTTTAAATTTGATAACGTCATCGCATACAAAAAGTGAACTCCGTAAAGGTCACAGGAATTTTCGGAAAAAATAAAAGTAATAGCATTCTAGCAAAAAATACAATGGTAAATCAGTGAAAGTTTTAATGCGATTGGTCCAGTAGTTAATGAGAAAGGTGATTTTTTTTATAAGAGGAAGAAAATACTACCGTGTTTCCCCGAAAATATGACCTAGCCTGAATTTTAAAAATTATTTCAATGAAAAATATTTACAGACGGGTTCATTTTTATATACAAAATCGTAAATTGCAGTTACTATATTTATCACTACATAGACGGAGACCCACGCGATATGGTTGACATAGAACCCCGCAAAATGCCGTTACCTGCAGCGATTACGTGAATAATCGTAGTGGACAGATTGCGAACCAACGCAGGGTAATAAATGATGCGATAGCGGACGTTTTCCTAACGCAGAGCATGTTGGGTCATCAGTCGGCGTCATGTATGGCAATGTACAAACTATAATCGGGTTTGTTCTCTCGTTCATATCCCATACAGTAGGAGAGAACCTATGAATAAGGCTTGGGGATACGTCATAGAAGAACCGAGATTATGATTCAATTTGACTTTATTCACTGAGCGATAATACAACATTACTGATCAATCACAATCATACAATGCCTTTTGCTGAACTTAATGAATTTCTTGACAATGATCCTCTTTTTGTGACAAGAAAAACTCAACCCTCAATAAGATTTGTTTATTTCAAAATGAGCCAAATTTAATGCTGTGAACTTGCACAAAAAGCAAATAAAGCATATGTCAGGATAAGCAAAATATTGATAAAGATCAAAATAAGCGACAAATAAATGAAAGATTCTCTGTTGTGCAACTCTTTTCAGTGCTTGGTGGAAGGGACTTGTTTACTGAGAAATACTCATGAATGGCAGAATTCATGTTTATTCACTGCACTTGTGATTCTTAAGTAACTTGTATAAACCAGTTTCTTACTAATTACAAAAAATGAATATTTTTCTTTTTTGGTTATGATTTTGTTTCAAGATAAGAGAACTAACAGAAAGTGTACGTAAACAAAGTTGATACTAATCCAAACAAATTATTTTATACATATTGTTGCAACAAGTAGAATATCATATATTTTCAAAATAGAAACAGGTATATTACCCTAAATTCCCATAATAGAGTTGCCAGAGAAGCTTCAATCCATCTCAGTTTAGTTTTTTGAAGCAGTGAATACACGCAAATTGTTTTTTGTACTCCTCTAAGGCATCGTATTCAAACAAGTATAACATATAAGGAGAAGATTTTTATAAAATACTATACTTTTCAAACTTTCATAATTCGATAGTTGAAGGTACAAGGCTCAAACGCCGAAAAAGTAGAACTAAATCTATGCACGACTGCTGTGCATTTTTTGTTGTATTCGCAAAATATCAAATACAGTACAAAACACCATTTACAAGCCAATTTTTTTAACACAAGGAATGAAAATTGTATAAAAACATGTTCACAGGGACGATAATTTAAAAATAAATTTAAGAAAAATATTTCTACTCCAAGAAATAAATATGATTGGATACAAATAACACAAACGACAGTTAATCGACTGAAAAAATCTTGAAATCATTACAAAGCAATAAAGTATAGTGGCAGTTGTAATAGACGATTTGATGCTGTAATTGAAAATTATTTGGAAAATTAGAGCAAGGGTAGAGATAACTAACTCTATGAAATTTTTAAATAAATTTGTGAATTCTGACCGACATTTTTCAGATGTCTTGCTGACAGTAAGGATAAAGCAGGACCAAAACAAAAATTTTCTAGAATAGAGGATTGACACCATTATTTTGCTGCATAATACATAAATCTGAAGATAAATTTTTAAATGAATTTGAAAAAAAATATATCCAGATAAATACACGCTCAATCTGAACTTCCAAGAGAGATGTGAAAGGTTCTCACAAGCTATACAGGTACATTCTTGATAAAGAACAACAACCATTTATTCGAAGGTAGGCCCCCTTATTAATGAGCAAGGGCAGCATGTGCATCCTCAAATGGTCAACTAAAGATCAGTTTTATCTCTTGAGAAAGGTAGAAAACAGGTAAGCCAACTTGCAAGAATTATGACAGCAGTAAAGGAAATTCACATGTGAGTATGTTCTATGAAGAGAACACTGAGTTGAGACAAATTAGAATTGTTATGTGCAAGATACAACGAATGGTATCTGATCTGATTGAAAGTGAAATCCCATATAAGCCAGTGGTTGATTCACCGGGGGCCAAAATTAGAAGCGGAGGATATCCGCGGGCCGAGAGAGGACGCCTGCAATGGGGAGATACCGGTACATATAATTGAGATACCAGTATAGTTGAATTGTCATGTTTATACACATTCTTAAACTGTGATAATGATGTAACAGTGAGCGGTATTTAGAAAGCAAAACGGTAAAAACATAAAGTGTTAAACTATTTGACTTAAGTTTGCCGGGCCATATTAAATCGATCCGTGGGCCGTAATTGGCCCATGGGCCGCAGTTTGGGAACCACTGTTCTAGACAAAGTACGCTCTCAAGATGTTACAAGGCCATGCTTGGCTATGAATAACCACCAAAAGATGGTATACGAGACCATGCTTGACTATGAATACCAACTACTCATGACAGTGAAATAACTACTAATTAAATGTTCCCTGATTCTTGTAAGCTGTACCTGATCTGTGCAGTTTATTTTGTGCAGTTTCAAACACCACAGAGATCAAATAATTCATTTGCACCTTCAAATGGCTCAAGATTAAACACATAGTCCAATGTTGGAGGTGGAGACAGCCTCAGTAAAGGAGCAAAATCTTCTGTTTTCAATAAGTCGAAAAGATCCCCAGAATCATCAATCGGATCGAATAGCTCACTGATAGAAGGTGGCGCGTCCATTTTGTCATGTGCTAAGACATTGGTAGGGATCTTTGAAGATAAAACTGGGGGCTCTTGAATTGGATTTTCTGGCTTCAATAGAATAGGCTCAGGCAGATTTTCTGGAGGAGGCACAGGAACAGCTACAGGTGCAGATGTGGTAACATCTTTATTGACAAGGAGAACAGAAATAGGACCTGATGAGGATCGTAAATGGATTTGATACCTCCTGTCACCAGTTGCTGTTTGTTCGGGCACTGGTACTTCAAGTTGAGTTCCAGAAGGTGCTTGAACTGCGAGTAACGTTTGATCTTTAAAGCAACTACAAACATCTTCATGTGTAACGTAAGCCAATTTATTGTTGTCAATATCATCAGTAACGTTTCTGATGCTTTGATGAACCCACATTTGTTGCTGATCAATTTCTTTTTCCTTTTCTTCTAATGAATAGATCTGTGATCTCAGGGCATTTATTTGTGTTGAAACTTCACTGTTTGTGCCACCCGGTCCTGCTCCCTTCCATTGTATACTATTCTTCGAACGTTTTTCAATTAATCCAATTCCTTCTAGCACATTTGTTATGTCGTAAATGCGACGTTTTTGCCGCACAGCAAGCTGGTCCGCGGCTACTTTTAAATCCAATATTCCGTCTTTTGCTTCTTGTAACAAAGTAACGAATTTTGTTGTTAGAAGGCCAAGAGACTTCTCATGCCGACTTGTTGAGGCATCTGTGATAGACATGGCCCCAGGAACAATTCGAAATAATATTATTAGATAGCTATTTTGGCTATATCAATGCTAGTGATAGCTGGAAAAATAAAACATCAACATTTATTACTAGGCATTACTGCTCTACACAAATGGTGGCAGCTTTATTGGAAATAGATTTATTAATGTATCCCAAAACAAAATATTTACCTGTAAGAGAAACCAAATGCAACAAGAAGATATTAATTCAATTAAGACCAAACAAACAATCTAAGTGGTTTTCTAGAGTAAAAGCATAAATCAGTTCTTAAAAGTATAGGTCATACTATGTATATACCGAAATAATGCCATGGTCATAATATGCGAGAAATAAAACATGATAAAAGAAATTAATTTTTAATATGGAACGTTGCTATCTTACTGAGACTTGTTTGTTTAGTTAGTGTTGTTTCAACTAAGTACATACAGTGACCTCTGATAATTGCAGACATGCACTTAACACTCAGTAGTGTGGGCATACCAAATTTGCTGAATAGCGATAAAAATTGAATTGGTTTTTAAAAATGTCTTCAAATAGCATAACATACCGAATTCTTGGAATAAATGACTTCAATGATGTCATGAATTTGCTTATAACTGACTACATTACAGAAGAGCCAATTAGCATGATGTTGGGCATCACTGAGGAGATTCTGGGGACAAATTTGAACGAGCGTTTGAAGGAATATTTATCAGAAAAGTTCTGTGTTGGTGCGTTTGATAGCAGATCTAGCTGTTTGATTGGGGTAGGAGTGGGATATACTGGAGATAAAGAAAAAAAATCAATGAACTCGGACACAAGCACAATTCCAGTTCATGTACGTCAAACTGACGCAGTCTGGAAAGAACTTCTCGATGGCACCAAAGAAGAGCGCTTAGGCACTAAGAATATTTTTCATTTGTATGTTTCGTGTGTAAAATATGAATACGCAGGACAAGGTATTGCAGCTGAAATGTGTGAAAGAATGCAAAAAATTGCAATAAGTCAAGGTTGCAAGAAAGTATCAGCTATCGCAACAAGCTACTATGCCCAGAAAGTTTTCAAAAATTTTGGGTTCGATTTCATCAAGTCAATTTTCTATGAGGAATATATAGACCCAGTAACTGGCAACAAGATATTTAATAACATGCCAAAGCCTCATGAAAAAGTAGTTTTTGTCATGAAAAATCTGTGATTGTAAATGTGCAGAGTGACCCAAATAAACATTACCTATACATTTTTCATAATTTCAATTTCAATAATTTCAGTAACTTTAAGGCTGCAATTATCAGGGGAATCCCCATAAAGGTGTGTGTCCGAGCGATTTAACAATTTTCAACAAAGGACGGTTTCACAAGTTTGTCTCCAATGCCAAGGAGATCTTTTGGAACCAATATGAGAGAGAACATAATTTTTGTATAAAGCTTCCCAGATTTCTGAAATGCTTGGGTATAATCATTTTTAAATAAGGCGATATTTCATGCAGCGATTTTTCTTATGCGACAAAATTTCCTGTGGCAAGATTTCCTACGGCGACTTTTCCTAGAACAATTTCATATATCCAATATAAATTCAGTTATCATAGAAATAATAACTCATTGATTCATTATAAACTCATGACATATCTGAACATTAAATTGTTTCTGCTTTATTGAGAATATTATGTGATATGAAATCATTATGTATTTACTAAATGTTGAATTAAACAACAAATGATTTTTTGTTGGAAATTGATATTAAATTTATTTGGATGTGGTTTTGTCTATATTATTCAGTTTATATAAGTTGAAGTATCAGTTGTGCATGGTAGATGGTTGTCAAGGCTGAAAAAATATAATAAATGAAATACATAAATAAGATTTACGAATGAATCAATTTAGGAAAAGCTTATTTGTACTAGTTTTGGTGCTCCAGAAGCATGTGAACCAAGATATCGGTTTTGCGGACACCGGAACATAGTATACGTCTACCAGGTTAGGCCATAATTTGATTACAATTTTCCTAATTTTGGTTCTATTACGAGTTCGGGGACTAGCCAAGTGACTCCCGTAGTATTTGTACCTGAAAACACATACTACGTTCCGGTGTATACTATCTGCCATCTTGGTTCACATACTTCGGGAGTACCCTAATTTTAGCGATTGCTTGAGACAGACAGAATATGACAAATAAGTTATTTGCAAAACAAGGAGCTATAGAAAGTTAGACATCGAAAGAGAATTATTCACAAAACGCATGCAAGTTTAAAAATAACAATTTGCGCAGTCACTGCCAGTTGATTTTGATTGCATATATCTGATCAATTATAAGTATTGTATAACTAAATTGTTTTACAGCTTGTTTGATCAGTTACAAGGGGAATGCTGCAGGGGAGAGAGGGATGCTTGTTTGTTTAGTGTTGTTTAACTTGGTGTACGCTCACTTTATTAACATAGTACCTCAGTTCGTTAACCATCAAATATACTGGTAACAAAAAAATTATATCACCGTAGTTTGCAGATAGCAAGTACGCAAATGGCTTCTTTTCGTCGGTTTACGAGTCCAAGTCAAGTATGAGAACAGCTAACCCTTTAATTAAGTATATGCATAGGTTCAGATAATGGAGGAAACTAAAGCAAATGATACAAATCACCGCTAGTTCCCGAACTTATAATAGAACTAAAATAAGAAAAATCGGAATAAAATTATGGCCTAACCCTAAAATAGTACACAAACTACGTTCCAGTGTTCGCCATCTTGGTTGACATACTTTGAGAGCAAAATTTAACCTACGGTATGTCATTGAATTCCAGGTTGTAACTCCATTCAACAATGTCTTCAAATAACATTACATACAGGATTCTTGATTCAAATGACTCCAATGATGTCATGAGTTTGCTTATAACTGACTACATTACACAAGAGCCAGAAAGCATAAAGTTGGGCATGACTGAAGAGATTTTGCGAAAATATTTGAACACACGCTTGATAAAATATTTATCAGCAAAGGCTTCTGTTGGGGCATTTGACAGCAATTCTAGCTGTTTGATTGGGGTAGCAGTAGGTTATACTGGAGGAAAAGAAGAAAAATCAATGAACTCAGACGCAAGCATGATTCCAGTTTATGTACGCCAAGCTGAAGCGGTCAGGAAACAACTTATTGGTGGAACTAAGGAGGAATGTCTAGGCACTCTGAAGTTTCTACATTTGTATATTTTATGTGTAAAAAATGAATATGCAGGACATGGTATTGCAGCTGAAATGTGCAAAAGAATGCAAAAAATTGCAATAAGTCAAAATTGTGAGAAATTATCGGCTATTGCAACAAATCATTATGCCCAGAGAATCTTTAAAATCCTTGGATTCGACTTCATTAAATCAATTTCCTATGAGGATTACATCGACCCAGTAACTGGCAACAAGATATTTAAAGACATGCCCAAGCCTCATGAAAAAATGGTTTTTGCCGTGAAAACACTTTGATTATAGAACAATGAGAGTTCACTGAGTCGTTTCTAATCGTTTTAAAATATTATATGACATAAAATTATTGTATTCAAATGTGAAATTAAACAGGAAATTATTTCGTTCCAGAAATTATTATTAAATCAAATTTACTGTGGTTTTTGTCTACATTTTTTAGTATAAGTTTAAAATACCAGTTGCGAGGGGTTGCCAAGAATCAAAATAAGAAATTATTTAGGCATTAGAACTCTTGAGCTTCACGAATGAATCAACTCAACGAATTTGATAGGTTGTCCGAGATTAATGAACTATAACAAACATGTTTTTAGCAGAAAAATGAGCTACAGAAAATGTGATATATAAAAAAAGGATTATTTTTAAAATGAAGGCATAGCAAGTGATTAGCAACAAATAGAGCAGTCATTACCAGTTGATCTTGATTGTATACATACAATTAATTCCAAGTATTTTAGAAAATCCAGATTAAATACATGGCTGAGTCCATACAGTGTCTTCAAACTTTTTTAAATATTTCATTTTATAGACTTATCCTGGTAGGCTTACATTATTTATTGTAATGTATATAAAGCATTCTACATTGACACAGAGACTTCAGAAAATGCAATTGAATACAGTTACTTACATATCATAATATTTAACTGAACAATTTCACTCCTTTTTAGCCATACGAAAAAGCCAATCATCTAGAACAGGGGTAGGCAAACTACAGCCTGCGGGCCACATCCGGCCCGCAGAACAATATAATCCGGCCCACGAAGCTTCACTGAATTATATTAACAACACAACTGTAATGACGATTATATTCTTTACGTAACAGAATTTGTTTTGAGACACTAAATTATATTATAACCTTACAAGTACATAATTCACAATCACTCGTTTAATGAGCCTATAAATTGATTATGATTAGACAAAATGCAACAGAACGTGAAAAAGTTGATGCTGAGTGCAAATGGTTAAATGGCGCAGAAAATATTCAAATGATCAGTCTTCGCGCTGCTTGAAATTTAACTGAAATCTGTGTGACAAAATGTGATTCATTGGCTATTCCCTCGGTTTTTAACGTTTCAAAAATATGTGCGACCCGCCAATGACTTGCAAGTTGCAAAAGTATAATATAATTTACAATCACATAATCACTCGTTTAATGAGCCAATAAATTGATTATGATTAGACAAATGGCAACAGAACGTAAAAAAGTTGATGCTGAGTGCAAATGGTTAAATACCGCAGAAAATATTCAAATGATCAGTCTTCATTCTGCTTGAAATTTAACTGAAATCTGTGTGACAAAATGTGATTCATTGGCTATTCCCTCGGTTTTTAACGTTTCAAAAATATGTGCGGCCCGCCAATGACTTGCAAGTTGCAAAAGTATAATATAATTTACAATCACATAATCACTCGTTTAATGAGCCAATAAATTGATTATGATTAGACAAATGGCAACAGAACATAAAAAAGTTGATGCTGAGTGCAAATGGTTAAATGGCGCAGAAAATATTCAAATGATCAGTCTTCATTCTGCTTGAAATTTAACTGAAATCTGTGTGACAAAATGTGATTCATTGGCTATTCCCTCGGTTTTTAACGTTTCAAAAATATGTGCGGCCCGCCAATGACTTGCAAGATGCAACCTTTAATTTTGGCTCGCGAACGACAAAAGTTTGCCGACCCCTGATCTAGAACTATCAGTCATTATCAGGCTACAAGATTTCAAATGATTCAGCGAAAAGACAAAAAGCATTTTATCATTTATATTAAATCATTTACATAAAGCAATAATGTAAAAAAATTGACGCATAATGGATTATAAAAACAAAAATGAAAGAGAAAAATCGTAGCCCTGTCATATATATAAAATATGAATGTCTAAAACATTTATCTACACTTCACAAAACCAGGGATCATTACTATTGATTGAATATACACAATTAATTGCATTTGGTTTAATTTAAAAAGTTTTGATTAAATACACAGCTGAGTTCATACAATGTCTTCACAATCTTCTTCAATTAAATATTTTATCTAGCATTTTTACAGACTTACTTTGCTAGTTTCATTATGCATTGTAAATAATGTCTATAAAACATTCTACATTGCGATGAGGACGTTCTGAAAACATCTGTGCATACAGTTACTTACAGAATATGGATTCATAGAGATTAGCACAATAAATATGATATTTAACTGCACAATTTCACTCCGGAATGATGAAAAATTTCTAGCATACAAAGATGTTTTGAGGCCTGCCATATATATAAAATATGAATGTCTAAAACATTTATCTACATTTCACAAAACCAGGGATCATGGAAACCGGCAGAATACATTCCAACTTCCAAGCTAATATTTTCAATGAATAGAAAAGCTATATTGAGCCAAAGTATCAAAGGTTCATAGATGATCTCTTATGAGGTTTGTTTATAAAAAAAATATTTAGTTATCAGTTATATTTGTTGTGGCTGGGGAGCCAGACATGTCAGATGAAGTTGGAACTACCAGAGATTTTAGTGGCTCCAGTTTTTAACCTTATAATTATTTTCCAACATTTATAATATTCTGATGCATGATACAAATAGTAAAATCTATCGTTCCAGATCATAAATTTTTAAAATTTCAATTCATGATATTATGTTAAAGGTTAAATTTATATATTTAAAACTTTATATCATAGTTTTGAGTCCCGCTTCCACAAAACTGCATTTGGGCATATATTACATGTTGGTGGTCACACTTAAAAAGCAGAAGCCGGAACCACCTTTGAATAATGTTAATTTCATTGCTCGAGACTAATGAAATATGACAAAAAAAGTTATTTGCAAAAAAGAGATACAGAAAAGACCTTGGAAAGAATCACAAAATGCATGCAAGTTCCAGTAAACAGTTGCAGAAACTGTTTGATTAATTTTAACGACAACAGTTCTAGTAATACGTAATCATATCACATTATGATGCCCTAACTTTGTGTTTTCCGAGAGAAAGGAGAGAGGAATCACCACGATGACAAATAGGATAGGAATGACGAATCGTGCCTAGTCATGGTTGGTGATGATCAATGAATTAAATCATATAAATCAAGGTTGACTATTCAAAGAAATTTTGATACAAGGTCGAGGTGAAATTGAGATAAATTAATTTTCAATGTTTGGACAGTGATGGACATTCATATGAATCGATATTTTGTTCAGTCCTGACTCCTGACTAAATTTGACACTGATTTATAAAATCAAGTCAACAAGATGATGAAAATGAATTACCTTCTTACACTACATGTAGAGTATAAAAAGATTGAATCTATAACAAGAAATTTATTTGAGATACTGTTTAGCGATTGCCGATAGGATACAGCTGCTATTGCATAGTGTTAATCCGTTACAGCAGGGGTGTGTAACATTTTTTGTCAGTAGGGCATATAAACAACTTTAAACATCTAGCCTAGCCTCACAAAAATGCGGAATGTGGCTAGCCTATCGTTTAGCCTTACAATAATAAAAGTACCTCGCGCGAAAGCGAAACTGCTATAAGGTGTGCAATTTTTGATGACGTCAGCGCACATGAAAAACGAATCCCAGAACCCACAAAGTTTTCTCCAACACACAGGAACTGACACAAAATTTTATCTTTATTATGTACACTGTACATATTTAAATAATTATTGTTGTTTAGGTACACGTTTGTTGATATTTTGGGTATTTTGTATTGCGTAAGAAAGAATCAAAATAATTACCATTGTTTCTCATGGCAAAATAAGTTCCAGTACTCGGACAAATCGTTAGTCGAACACTAATCCGGAACGAATTATATTAGACTAGCGAAGTATCATTGTCTGCTTGTAGGCGAAATGGAAAAGGGAATAAAAATATTCTTAATCACAGAAAATATTTTTTAAATAAATAAAAAGTTTTTAAAACACAATGACAATAACATACAGATTTCTAGATGAAACAGACTTTGAAAAAGTTTCACAGTTTTATGTAAACGAATTTTTTCCAAGAGAGCCAATAGGATTTGCATTGAAAGGAGTCAGCAAAGATGCGGAACTGTATGCAGATATTGAGATAAGACCAAAGTTATCACAAAAGAATTCTGTTGGAGCTTTTAATGAATCTGGAGAACTGGTTGGGATGAACATTATGGACTTCGAATTAAATGGGAATCAATCATTTAAAGAAAATGAAGAATTACCATTATATTACAGGCAATTTTTCAAGTTGGAAGAAGCGCTCATTGACGGCAATTTAGAAGATTGTATAGGAACAAAAAACTATGCAAACTGCCATATCCTGGGTATCAGAAGTGATTACGCTGGACTAGGAATTGCAACTGAATTATGTAAAAAGATAGAAGTCACAGACAAAGAATGCCAAGCAGTTTATGCAGTCGCTACCAGTTACTACTCCCAAAAGATTATGAAAAAATTTGGGTTCAAATTCATAAAAACAATCGCATATAAGGACTATGTGGATCCAATAACTGGTTGTAAAATATACAGCAATATGCAAAGCCCACATGAATGTGTTGCATTAGCAGTGAAATATCTGAACTAAAACTTTCATAACATCCAAGAACTATTTTGGCCAAATATTATAGTATTGTGTATCATATATCAGTATACCCACAGGCCACAACAAACATTTAGTAATGCAAAGTTCTCCAAATCCAAGATGACCCTACATTGGGTTCAATAAAACAAACAATATTTGTCTCTAAATACCGGCGTCTGGCATGATGGCAGATGCGCCATATTGTGCCATGCTTGTCTCGACAATGTTTATTGGGTTCAATAAAACAAACAATATTTGTCTCTGAAATACCGGCGTCTGGCATGATGGCAGATGCGCCATATTGTGCCATGCTTGTCTCGACAATGTTTTGAATCAATCAAGACATCCGTTGGCAATCACAAAACCAAATTTGGGTTATTTTTTTCAAAAAACATTTTTATGCTACTATGAAATCTTTTTTCCTTCAATAAGTCTGATTATTTTTTTTGTGAGAAATCCAATGGTGATGTGCAAATAGAAAGAGGACCAATTATGGACTGCAAATGGACAAGTAATCAATTGACAGTATTATTATTCAGCATTATTGCCAAACTTTTTATATCAGTTTATATCATCTAATTTGCACAATAATTAATTAGCTATTAACTATATCAAACGAAGAAATTCACCTTACGCGTACTGTATTACGCGTAAGGTGTTTCTTCTTCAATTGATATAGTTAATAGCAAATTTTAGAACTGTCACAAAAGCACGCACTTTTACAAAATATCAATTGAGAAAAATAAGGAAAAAATTGAATTCCAATTTGCTATTACAGTATTACCTGTATACAGATGTAATTTATTGTTTTTGTGATGTCTAAAGTATTCCAGAGTGGTCCGCCATTACAACGGCGATGTAGTGTTTGTTTATCCTTGGTCCATGCATGATCAGAGCTTCCTCACAATCGCACCTGTTCAAGTTACGGTTGTGCGACAAGTTTGTCATTGCTTTTTTATCTTTACCTTGACGATAGAGATGACATATCATGCGTAAATTTGCGCCTATATTACTCTTGCTGCTATAACAAGGTCATATTTCATATGTTTGTATGTATATTTGTCATTTTATCATAGTGTGATTATTTTTTTTGAGTGCAAATGAGTCATAATTTATAAATACACAACTACTTTGTGTTTACTTGGCAAGAAAAGTATTTTGACAGTGCAAGCGATCAACCTTTAGCATAACCTTTAGCAACGCAAAACACAAAGAAACAATACCAGACTGTTTTGCTTACTACGCGCATAGCGAGCCAGCTGTGTAATTGAGAAGCGCTGATTTTCAATTCAATAACTCTTTAGGAATTCCACTTTGCACACATTTGAAAGGTGACATAATGCACTTTACATCAGACATAATACATTTCATTCTCTCTCATGTGTTTACTACAGAGCTCAAATTGAAAAAACTTTTTCTCAAAAAAATTTTGATTTTTTTCATACAAACGCGATGGAAAGAGAGTGAGAGACACGCTACGCATTTCAACGAACCTCAAAAACCAACATTTATAATATTCTGATACATGATACAAATAGTAAAATCTATCGTTTCCAGTTCATAAATTTTTAAAATTTATATTCATGATATTATGTTAAAAGTTGAAATTATATATTTAAAAATTTATATCATAGTTTGAGTCCCGCTTCCACAAAACTGCATTTGGGCATATATTTCATGCTGGTGGTCACAATTAAAAATCCCAATCGATACGAAGCCGGAGCCACCTTTGAATAATGTTAATTAATTGCTTGAGATTAATGAACTATAACATAATAGTTATTTGCAGAAAAGACTTTAAAAAGAATTGATTAAGTTCTAGAAACTCTACAATTAATTTTTTCAACAACGGCTCTAGTAATACGTAACCATATCACAATGTGTATCACTTTGTGTTTTCTGAGAGAAAGGAGAGAGGAATCACCACAATGACAAATAGGATAAGAATGAAGAATTGTGCCTAGTCATGGTTGGGGATGATCAATGAATTGAATCATATAAATCAAGGTTGACTATACAAGGAAATTTTGATAAGAGGTCACGGTGAAATTGAGATAAATTAATTTTCAATGTTTGGACAGTGATGGACATTCATATGAATCGGTGATTTTGTTCAGTTCTGAGTAAATGTGACACTGATTTATAAAATCAAGTCGACAAGATGATGAAAATGAATTACCTTCTTACACTACATTCAGAGTATAAAAAGATTGAATCTATAACAAAAAATTTATTTGAGATACTGTTTAGCGATCGCTGATAGGGTACAGCTGCTATTGCATAGTGTGAATCCGTTACAGCAGGGGTGTGTAACATTTTTTGTCAGTAGGGCATGTAAACAACTTTAAACATCTAGCCTAGCCACACAAAAATGGGGAATGTGGCTAGCCTATCTAAACGTTCAGCCTTACAATAATACAATCACCTGGCGCGAAAGCGAAACTGCCATAAGGTGTGCAATTTTTGATGACGTCAGAGCACATGAAAAACGAATCCCAGAACCCACAAAGTTTTCTCCAACATACAGGAACTGACACAAAATTTTATCTTTATTATGTACACTGTACATATTTAAATAATAATTGTTGTTTAGGACTTTAGGTACACGTTTGTTGATATTTTGGGTATTTTGTAATGCGTAAAAACGAATCAAAATAATTACCATTGTTTCTTATGGCAAAATAAGTTCCCGTACTCGGACAAATCGTTAGTCGAACACTAATCCGGAACGAATTATATTAGACTAGCGAAGTATCATTGTCTGCTTGTAGGCGAAATGAAAGAGGTAATAAAAATATTCTTGATCACAGAAATATTTCCTAAGTTTCTAAAACACAATGACAATAACATACAGATTTCTAGATGAAACAGACTTTGAAAAAGTTTCACAGTTTTATGTAAACGAATTTTTTCCAAGAGAGCCAATAGGATTTGCATTGAAAGGAGTCAGCAAAGATGCAGAACTGTATGCAGATATTGATATAAGACCAAAGTTATCACAAAAGAATTCTGTTGGAGCTTTTAATGAATCTGGAGAACTGGTTGGGATGAACATTATGGACTTCGAATTAAATGGGAATCAATCATTTAAAGAAAATGAAGAAATACCATTATATTACAGGCAATTTTTCAAGTTGGAAGAAGCGCTCATTGACGGCAATTTAGAAGAATGTATAGGAACAAAAAACTATGCAAACTGCCATATCCTGGGTATCAGAAAGTGATTACGCTGGACTAGGAATTGCAACTGAATTATGTAAAAAGATAGAAGTCACAGACAAAGAATGCCAAGCAGTTTATGCAGTCGCTACCAGTTACTACTCCCAAAAGATTATGAAAAATATGGGTTCAAATTCATAAAAACAATCGCATATAAGGACTATGTGGATCCAATAACTGGTTGTAAAATATACAGCAATATGCAAAGCCCACATGAATGTGTTGCATTAGCAGTGAAATATCTGAACTAAAACTTTCATAACATCCAAGAACTATTTTGGCCCAATATTATAGTATTGTGTATCATATATCAGTATACCCACAACAAACATTTAGTAATGCAAAGTTCTCCAAATCCAAGATGACCCTACATTGGGTTCAATAAAACAAACAATATTTGTCTCTGAAATACCGGCGTCTGGCATGATGGCAGATGCGCCATGCTTGTCTCGACAATGTTTTGAATCAATCGAGACATCCGTTGGCAATCACAAAACCAAATTTGGGTTATTTTTTTTCAAAAAACATATTTATGCTACTGTGAAATCTTTTTTCCTTCAATAAGTCTGATTATTTTTTTTGTGAGAAATCCAATGGTGATGTGCAAATAGAAAGAGGACCAACTATGGACTGCAAATGGACAAGTAATCAATTGACAGTATTATTATTCAGCATTATTGCCAAACTTTTTTATATCAGTTTATATCATCTAATTTGCACAATAATTAATTTGCTATTAACTATATCAAATGGAGAAATTCACCTTACGCGTACTGTATTACGCGTAAGGTGTTTCTTCTTCAATTGATATAGTTAATAGCAAATTTTAGAACTGTCACAAAAAGCACGCAGTTTACAAAATATCAATTGAGAAAAATAAGGAAAAAATTTAATTCCAATTTGCTATTACAGTATTACCTGTATACAGATGTAATTTATTGTTTTTGTGATGTCTAAAGTATTCCAGAATGGTCCGCCATTACAACGGCGTTGTAGTGTTTGTTTATCCTTGGTCCATGCATGAACAGAGCTCCCTCACAATCGCACCTGTTCAAGTTACGGTTGTGCGACAAGTTTGTCATTGCTTTTTTGTCTTTACCTTGACGATAGAGATGACATATCATGCGTAAATTTGCGCCTATATTACTCTTGCTGCTATAACAAGGTCATATTTCATATTATGTTTGCATAATTTATAAATACACAACTACTTTGTGTTTACTTGGCAAGAAAAGTATTTTGACAGTGCAAGCGATCAACCTTTAGCATGACCTTTAGCAACTCAAAACACAAAGAAACAATACCAGACTGTTTTGCTTACTACGCGCATAGTGAGCCAGCTGTGTAATTATCAAGTGCTGATTTTCAATTCAATAACTCGCGCCAGCTTTAGTTTAGGAATTCCACTTTGCACACATTTGAAAGGTGACATAATGCACTTTACATCAGACATAATACATTTCATTCTCTCTCATGTGTTTACTACAGAGCTCAAATTGAAAAAACTTTTTCTCAAAAAAATTTTGATTTTTTTTTATACAAACGCGATGGAAAGAGAGAGACACGCTACGCATTTCAACGAACATCAAAAACAAACATTTATAATATTCTGATACATGATACAAATAGTAAAATCTATCGTTTCCAGTTCATAAATTTTTAAAATTTCAATTCATGATATTATGTTAAAAGTTGAATTTATATATTTAAAAATTTATATCATAGTTTGAGTCCCGCTTCCACAAAACTGCATTTGGGCATATATATTTCCTGCTGGTAGTCACAATTAAAAATCCCAATCGATACGAAGCCGGAGCCACCTTTGAATAATGTTAATTAATTGCTTGAGATTAATGAATTATAACATAATAGTTATTTGCAGAAAAGACTTCAAAAAGAATTGATTGATTGAAGTTCTAGAAACTCTACAATTAATTTTTTCAACAACGGCTCTAGTAATACGCAACCATATCACAATGTGTATCACTTTGTGTTTTCTGAGAGAAAGGAGAGAGGAATCACCACAATGACAAATAGGATAAGAATGAAGAATTGTGCCTAGTCATGGTTGGGATGATCAATGAATTGAATCATATAAATCAAGGTTGACTATACAAGGAAATTTTGATAAGAGGTCACGGTGAAATTGAGATAAATTAATTTTCAATGTTTGGACAGTGATGGACATTCATATGAATCGGTGATTTTGTTCAGTTCTGAGTAAATGTGACACTGATTTATAAAATCAAGTCGACAAGATGATGAAAATGAATTACCTTCTTACACTACATTCAGAGTATAAAAGATTGAATCTATAACAAGAAATTTATTTGAGATACTGTTTAGCGATCGCCGATAGGGTACAGCTGCTATTGCATAGTGTGAATCCCTTACAGCAGGGGTGTGCAACCTTTTTTTTGTCAGTAGCGCATATAAACAACTTTAAACATCAGCCTCACAAAAATGCGGAATGTGGCTAGCCTATCGTTTAGCCTTAAAATAATAAAACTACCTCGCGCGAAAGTGAACTGCCATAAGGTGTGCAATTTTTGATGACGTCAGCGCACATGAAAAACGAATCCCAGAACCCACAAAGTTTTCTCCAACACACAGGAACTGACACAAAATTTTATCTTTATTATGTACACTGTACATATTTAAATAATTATTGTTGTTTAGGTACACGTTTGTTGATATTTTGGGTATTTTGTATTGCGTAAGAAAGAATCAAAATAATTACCATTGTTTCTCATGGCAAAATAAGTTCCAGTACTCGGACAAATCGTTAGTCGAACACTAATCCGGAACGAATTATATTAGACTAGCGAAGTATCATTGTCTGCTTGTAGGCGAAATGGAAAAGGGAATAAAAATATTCTTAATCACAGAAAATATTTTTTAAATAAATAAAAAGTTTTTAAAACACAATGACAATAACATACAGATTTCTAGATGAAACAGACTTTGAAAAAGTTTCACAGTTTTATGTAAACGAATTTTTTCCAAGAGAGCCAATAGGATTTGCATTGAAAGGAGTCAGCAAAGATGCGGAACTGTATGCAGATATTGAGATAAGACCAAAGTTATCACAAAAGAATTCTGTTGGAGCTTTTAATGAATCTGGAGAACTGGTTGGGATGAACATTATGGACTTCGAATTAAATGGGAATCAATCATTTAAAGAAAATGAAGAATTACCATTATATTACAGGCAATTTTTCAAGTTGGAAGAAGCGCTCATTGACGGCAATTTAGAAGATTGTATAGGAACAAAAAACTATGCAAACTGCCATATCCTGGGTATCAGAAGTGATTACGCTGGACTAGGAATTGCAACTGAATTATGTAAAAAGATAGAAGTCACAGACAAAGAATGCCAAGCAGTTTATGCAGTCGCTACCAGTTACTACTCCCAAAAGATTATGAAAAAATTTGGGTTCAAATTCATAAAAACAATCGCATATAAGGACTATGTGGATCCAATAACTGGTTGTAAAATATACAGCAATATGCAAAGCCCACATGAATGTGTTGCATTAGCAGTGAAATATCTGAACTAAAACTTTCATAACATCCAAGAACTATTTTGGCCAAATATTATAGTATTGTGTATCATATATCAGTATACCCACAGGCCACAACAAACATTTAGTAATGCAAAGTTCTCCAAATCCAAGATGACCCTACATTGGGTTCAATAAAACAAACAATATTTGTCTCTAAAATACCGGCGTCTGGCATGATGGCAGATGCGCCATATTGTGCCATGCTTGTCTCGACAATGTTTATTGGGTTCAATAAAACAAACAATATTTGTCTCTGAAATACCGGCGTCTGGCATGATGGCAGATGCGCCATATTGTGCCATGCTTGTCTCGACAATGTTTTGAATCAATCAAGACATCCGTTGGCAATCACAAAACCAAATTTGGGTTATTTTTTTCAAAAAACATTTTTATGCTACTATGAAATCTTTTTTCCTTCAATAAGTCTGATTATTTTTTTTGTGAGAAATCCAATGGTGATGTGCAAATAGAAAGAGGACCAATTATGGACTGCAAATGGACAAGTAATCAATTGACAGTATTATTATTCAGCATTATTGCCAAACTTTTTTATATCAGTTTATATCATCTAATTTGCACAATAATTAATTAGCTATTAACTATATCAAACGAAGAAATTCACCTTACGCGTACTGTATTACGCGTAAGGTGTTTCTTCTTCAATTGATATAGTTAATAGCAAATTTTAGAACTGTCACAAAAAGCACGCACTTTTACAAAATATCAATTGAGAAAAATAAGGAAAAAATTGAATTCCAATTTGCTATTACAGTATTACCTGTATACAGATGTAATTTATTGTTTTTGTGATGTCTAAAGTATTCCAGAGTGGTCCGCCATTACAACGGCGATGTAGTGTTTGTTTATCCTTGGTCCATGCATGATCAGAGCTTCCTCACAATCGCACCTGTTCAAGTTACGGTTGTGCGACAAGTTTGTCATTGCTTTTTTATCTTTACCTTGACGATAGAGATGACATATCATGCGTAAATTTGCGCCTATATTACTCTTGCTGCTATAACAAGGTCATATTTCATATGTTTGTATGTATATTTGTCATTTTATCATAGTGTGATTATTTTTTTTTGAGTGCAAATGAGTCATAATTTATAAATACACAACTACTTTGTGTTTACTTGGCAAGAAAAGTATTTTGACAGTGCAAGCGATCAACCTTTAGCATAACCTTTAGCAACGCAAAACACAAAGAAACAATACCAGACTGTTTTGCTTACTACGCGCATAGCGAGCCAGCTGTGTAATTGAGAAGCGCTGATTTTCAATTCAATAACTCTTTAGGAATTCCACTTTGCACACATTTGAAAGGTGACATAATGCACTTTACATCAGACATAATACATTTCATTCTCTCTCATGTGTTTACTACAGAGCTCAAATTGAAAAAACTTTTTCTCAAAAAAATTTTGATTTTTTTCATACAAACGCGATGGAAAGAGAGTGAGAGACACGCTACGCATTTCAACGAACCTCAAAAACCAACATTTATAATATTCTGATACATGATACAAATAGTAAAATCTATCGTTTCCAGTTCATAAATTTTTAAAATTTATATTCATGATATTATGTTAAAAGTTGAAATTATATATTTAAAAATTTATATCATAGTTTGAGTCCCGCTTCCACAAAACTGCATTTGGGCATATATTTCATGCTGGTGGTCACAATTAAAAATCCCAATCGATACGAAGCCGGAGCCACCTTTGAATAATGTTAATTAATTGCTTGAGATTAATGAACTATAACATAATAGTTATTTGCAGAAAAGACTTTAAAAAGAATTGATTAAGTTCTAGAAACTCTACAATTAATTTTTTCAACAACGGCTCTAGTAATACGTAACCATATCACAATGTGTATCACTTTGTGTTTTCTGAGAGAAAGGAGAGAGGAATCACCACAATGACAAATAGGATAAGAATGAAGAATTGTGCCTAGTCATGGTTGGGGATGATCAATGAATTGAATCATATAAATCAAGGTTGACTATACAAGGAAATTTTGATAAGAGGTCACGGTGAAATTGAGATAAATTAATTTTCAATGTTTGGACAGTGATGGACATTCATATGAATCGGTGATTTTGTTCAGTTCTGAGTAAATGTGACACTGATTTATAAAATCAAGTCGACAAGATGATGAAAATGAATTACCTTCTTACACTACATTCAGAGTATAAAAAGATTGAATCTATAACAAAAAATTTATTTGAGATACTGTTTAGCGATCGCTGATAGGGTACAGCTGCTATTGCATAGTGTGAATCCGTTACAGCAGGGGTGTGTAACATTTTTTGTCAGTAGGGCATGTAAACAACTTTAAACATCTAGCCTAGCCACACAAAAATGGGGAATGTGGCTAGCCTATCTAAACGTTCAGCCTTACAATAATACAATCACCTGGCGCGAAAGCGAAACTGCCATAAGGTGTGCAATTTTTGATGACGTCAGAGCACATGAAAAACGAATCCCAGAACCCACAAAGTTTTCTCCAACATACAGGAACTGACACAAAATTTTATCTTTATTATGTACACTGTACATATTTAAATAATAATTGTTGTTTAGGACTTTAGGTACACGTTTGTTGATATTTTGGGTATTTTGTAATGCGTAAAAACGAATCAAAATAATTACCATTGTTTCTTATGGCAAAATAAGTTCCCGTACTCGGACAAATCGTTAGTCGAACACTAATCCGGAACGAATTATATTAGACTAGCGAAGTATCATTGTCTGCTTGTAGGCGAAATGAAAGAGGTAATAAAAATATTCTTGATCACAGAAAATATTTCCTAAGTTTCTAAAACACAATGACAATAACATACAGATTTCTAGATGAAACAGACTTTGAAAAAGTTTCACAGTTTTATGTAAACGAATTTTTTCCAAGAGAGCCAATAGGATTTGCATTGAAAGGAGTCAGCAAAGATGCAGAACTGTATGCAGATATTGATATAAGACCAAAGTTATCACAAAAGAATTCTGTTGGAGCTTTTAATGAATCTGGAGAACTGGTTGGGATGAACATTATGGACTTCGAATTAAATGGGAATCAATCATTTAAAGAAAATGAAGAAATACCATTATATTACAGGCAATTTTTCAAGTTGGAAGAAGCGCTCATTGACGGCAATTTAGAAGAATGTATAGGAACAAAAAACTATGCAAACTGCCATATCCTGGGTATCAGAAGTGATTACGCTGGACTAGGAATTGCAACTGAATTATGTAAAAAGATAGAAGTCACAGACAAAGAATGCCAAGCAGTTTATGCAGTCGCTACCAGTTACTACTCCCAAAAGATTATGAAAAAATATGGGTTCAAATTCATAAAAACAATCGCATATAAGGACTATGTGGATCCAATAACTGGTTGTAAAATATACAGCAATATGCAAAGCCCACATGAATGTGTTGCATTAGCAGTGAAATATCTGAACTAAAACTTTCATAACATCCAAGAACTATTTTGGCCCAATATTATAGTATTGTGTATCATATATCAGTATACCCACAACAAACATTTAGTAATGCAAAGTTCTCCAAATCCAAGATGACCCTACATTGGGTTCAATAAAACAAACAATATTTGTCTCTGAAATACCGGCGTCTGGCATGATGGCAGATGCGCCATGCTTGTCTCGACAATGTTTTGAATCAATCGAGACATCCGTTGGCAATCACAAAACCAAATTTGGGTTATTTTTTTTCAAAAAACATATTTATGCTACTGTGAAATCTTTTTCCTTCAATAAGTCTGATTATTTTTTTTGTGAGAAATCCAATGGTGATGTGCAAATAGAAAGAGGACCAACTATGGACTGCAAATGGACAAGTAATCAATTGACAGTATTATTATTCAGCATTATTGCCAAACTTTTTTATATCAGTTTATATCATCTAATTTGCACAATAATTAATTTGCTATTAACTATATCAAATGGAGAAATTCACCTTACGCGTACTGTATTACGCGTAAGGTGTTTCTTCTTCAATTGATATAGTTAATAGCAAATTTTAGAACTGTCACAAAAAGCACGCAGTTTTACAAAATATCAATTGAGAAAAATAAGGAAAAAATTTAATTCCAATTTGCTATTACAGTATTACCTGTATACAGATGTAATTTATTGTTTTTGTGATGTCTAAAGTATTCCAGAATGGTCCGCCATTACAACGGCGTTGTAGTGTTTGTTTATCCTTGGTCCATGCATGAACAGAGCTCCCTCACAATCGCACCTGTTCAAGTTACGGTTGTGCGACAAGTTTGTCATTGCTTTTTTGTCTTTACCTTGACGATAGAGATGACATATCATGCGTAAATTTGCGCCTATATTACTCTTGCTGCTATAACAAGGTCATATTTCATATTATGTTTGCATAATTTATAAATACACAACTACTTTGTGTTTACTTGGCAAGAAAAGTATTTTGACAGTGCAAGCGATCAACCTTTAGCATGACCTTTAGCAACTCAAAACACAAAGAAACAATACCAGACTGTTTTGCTTACTACGCGCATAGTGAGCCAGCTGTGTAATTATCAAGTGCTGATTTTCAATTCAATAACTCGCGCCAGCTTTAGTTTAGGAATTCCACTTTGCACACATTTGAAAGGTGACATAATGCACTTTACATCAGACATAATACATTTCATTCTCTCTCATGTGTTTACTACAGAGCTCAAATTGAAAAAACTTTTTCTCAAAAAAATTTTGATTTTTTTTTATACAAACGCGATGGAAAGAGAGAGACACGCTACGCATTTCAACGAACATCAAAAACAAACATTTATAATATTCTGATACATGATACAAATAGTAAAATCTATCGTTTCCAGTTCATAAATTTTTAAAATTTCAATTCATGATATTATGTTAAAAGTTGAATTTATATATTTAAAAATTTATATCATAGTTTGAGTCCCGCTTCCACAAAACTGCATTTGGGCATATATATTTCCTGCTGGTAGTCACAATTAAAAATCCCAATCGATACGAAGCCGGAGCCACCTTTGAATAATGTTAATTAATTGCTTGAGATTAATGAATTATAACATAATAGTTATTTGCAGAAAAGACTTCAAAAAGAATTGATTGATTGAAGTTCTAGAAACTCTACAATTAATTTTTTCAACAACGGCTCTAGTAATACGCAACCATATCACAATGTGTATCACTTTGTGTTTTCTGAGAGAAAGGAGAGAGGAATCACCACAATGACAAATAGGATAAGAATGAAGAATTGTGCCTAGTCATGGTTGGGGATGATCAATGAATTGAATCATATAAATCAAGGTTGACTATACAAGGAAATTTTGATAAGAGGTCACGGTGAAATTGAGATAAATTAATTTTCAATGTTTGGACAGTGATGGACATTCATATGAATCGGTGATTTTGTTCAGTTCTGAGTAAATGTGACACTGATTTATAAAATCAAGTCGACAAGATGATGAAAATGAATTACCTTCTTACACTACATTCAGAGTATAAAAAGATTGAATCTATAACAAGAAATTTATTTGAGATACTGTTTAGCGATCGCCGATAGGGTACAGCTGCTATTGCATAGTGTGAATCCCTTACAGCAGGGGTGTGCAACCTTTTTTTTGTCAGTAGCGCATATAAACAACTTTAAACATCAGCCTCACAAAAATGCGGAATGTGGCTAGCCTATCGTTTAGCCTTAAAATAATAAAACTACCTCGCGCGAAAGTGAACTGCCATAAGGTGTGCAATTTTTGATGACGTCAGAGCACATGAAAAACGAATCCCAGAACCCACAAAGTTTTCTCCAACATACAGGAACTGACACAAAATTTTATCTTTATTGTGTACACTGTACATATTTAAATAATTATTGTTGTTTAGGTACACGTTTGTTGATATTTTGGGTATTTTGTATTGCGTAAGAACGAATCAAAATAATTACCATTGCTTCTTATGGCAAAATAAGTTCCAGTACTCGAACAAATCGTTAGTCGAACACTAATCCGGAACGAATTATATTAGACTAGCGAAGTATCATTGTCTGCTTGTAGGCGAAATGAAAAAGGGAATAAAAATATTCTTAATCACAGAAAATATTTCCAAAGTTTTTAAAACACAATGACAATAACATACAGATTTCTAGATGAAACAGACTTTGAAAATGTTTCACAGTTTTTTGTAAACGAATTTTTTCCAAGAGAGCCAATAGGATTTGCATTGAAAGGAGTCAGCAAAGATGCAGAACTGTATGCAGATATTGATATAAGACCAAAGTTATCACAAAAGAATTCTGTTGGAGCTTTTAATGAATCTGGAGAACTGGTTGGGATGAACATTATGGACTTCGAATTAAATGGGAATCAATCATTTAAAGAAAATGGAGAATTACCATTATTTTACAGGCAATTTTTCAAGTTGGAAGAAGCGCTCATTGACGGCAATTTAGAAGAATGTATAGGAACAAAAAACTATGCAAACTGCCATATCCTGGGTATCAGAAGTGATTACGCTGGACTAGGAATTGCAACTGAATTATGTAAAAAGATAGAAGTCACAGACAAAGAATGCCAAGCAGTTTATGCAGTCGCTACCAGTTACTACTCCCAAAAGATTATGAAAAAATTTGGGTTCAAATTCATAAAAACAATCGCATATAAGGACTATGTGGATCCAATAACTGGTTGTAAAATATACAGCAATATGCAAAGCCCACATGAATGTGTTGCATTAGCAGTGAAATATCTGAACTAAAACTTTCATAACATCCAAGAACTATTTTGGCCCAATATTATAGTATTGTGTATCATATATCAGTATACCCACAACAAACATTTAGTAATGCAAAGTTTTCCAAATCCAAGATGACCCTACATTGGGTTCAATAAAACAAACAATATTTGTCTCTGAAATACCGGCGTCTGGCATGATGGCAGATGCGCCATGCTTGTCTCGACAATGTTTTGAATCAATCAAGACATCCGTTGGCAATCACAAAACCAAATTTGGGTTATTTTTTTCAAAAAACATTTTTATGCTACTGTGAAATCTTTTTTCCTTCAATAAGTCTGATTATTTTTTTTGTGAGAAATCCAATGGTGATGTGCAAATAGAAAGAGGACCAATTATGGACTGCAAATGGACAAGTAATCAATTGACAGTATTATTATTCAGCATTATTGCCAAACTTTTTTATATCAGTTTATATCATCTAATTTGCACAATAATTAATTTGCTATTAACTATATCAAATGAAGAAATTCACCTTACGCGTACTGTATTACGCGTAAGGTGTTTCTTCTTCAATTGATATAGTTAATAGCAAATTTTAGAACTGTCACAAAAAGCACGCACTTTTACAAAATATCAATTGAGAAAAATAAGGAAAAAATTGAATTCCAATTTGCTATTACAGTATTACCTGTATACAGATGTAATTTATTGTTTTTGTGATGTCTAAAGTATTCCAGAGTGGTCCGCCATTACAACGGCGTTGTAGTGTTTGTTTATCCTTGGTCCATGCATGATCAGAGCTTCCTCACAATCGCACCTGTTCAAGTTACGGTTGTGCGACAAGTTTGTCATTGCTTTTTTGTCTTTACCTTGACGATAGAGATGACATATCATGCGTAAATTTGCGCCTATATTACTCTTGCTGCTATAACAAGGTCATATTTCATATGTTTGTATGTATATTTGTCATTTTATCATAGTGTGATTATTTTTTTTTGAGTGCAAATGCGTCATAATTTATAAATACACAACTACTTTGTGTTTACTTGGCAAGAAAAGTATTTTGACAGTGCGAGCGATCAACCTTTAGCAACACATAACACAATGAAACAATACCAGACTGTTTTGCTTACTACGCGCATAGCGAGCCAGCTGTGTAATTGACAAGCGCTGATTTTCAATTCAATAACTCGCGCCAGCTTTAGTTTAGGAATTCCACTTTGCACACATTTGAAAGGTGACATAATGCACTTTACATCAGACATAATACATTTCATTCTCTCTCATGTGTTTACTACAGAGCTCAAATTGAAAAAACTTTTTCTCAAAAAATTTTGATTTTTTTTTATACAAACGCGATGGAAAGAGAGAGACACGCTACGCATTTCAACGAACCTCATAAAACAAACATTTATAATATTTTGATACATGATACAAATAGTAAAATCTATCGTTTCCAGTTCATAAATTTTTAAAATTTCAATTCATGATATTATGTTAAAAGTTGAATTTATATATTTAAAAATTTATATCATAGTTTGAGTCCCTCTTCCACAAAACTGCATTTGGGCATATATTTCCTGCTGGTAGTCACAATTAAAAATCCCAATCGATACGAAGCCGGAGCCACCTTTGACGTAATAGTTATTTGCAGAAAAGACTTTAAAAAGAATTGATTGATTAAGTTCTAGAAACTCTACAATTAATTTTTTCAACAACAGCTCTAGTAATACGTAACCATATCACAATGTGTATCACTTTGTGTTTTCTGAGAGAAAGGAGAGAGGAATCACCACAATGACAAATAGGATAAGAATGAAGAATTGTGCCTAGTCATGGTTGGTGATGATCAATGAATTAAATCATATAAATCAAAGTTGACTATTCAAAGAAATTTTCATATAAGATCATGGTGTAATTGAGATAAATTAATTTTCAATGTTTGGACAGTGATGGACATCCATATTAATCGGTGATTTTGTTCAGTCCTGACTAAATGTGACACTGATTTATAAAATCAAATCGACAAGATCATGAAAATGAATTACCTTCTTACACTACATTCAGAGTATAAAAAGATTGAATCTATAACGAGAAATTTATTCGAGATACTGTTTAGCCATAGCCGATATGGTACAGCTGCTATTGCATAGTGTGAATCAGGGGGCAGGGGTGTGCAACCTTTTTTGTCAGTAGCGCATGTAAACAACTTTAGACATCCAGCCTAGCCACACAAAAAGGCGGAATGTGGCTATCTTATCGTTTAGCCTTAATAAAGCCCCTTAGCCCCTAATAAAAGCACCTGGCGCAAAGCGAAACTGCCATAAGGTGTGCAATTTTTGATGACGTCAGCGCACATGAAGAAGAATCCCAGAACCCATAAAATTTTCTCCAACATACAATAACTGACTAATTACCATTGTTTTTTATGGCAAAATAAGTTCCAGTACTCGAACAAATCGTTAGTCGGAAACTAATCCGGAACAAATTATATTAGACTAGCGAAGTATCATTGTCTGCTTGTAGGCGAAATGGAAAAGGGAATAAAAATATTCTTAATCACAGAAAATATTTCCTGAGTTTCTAAAATACAATGACAATAACATACAGATTTCTAGATGAAACAGACTTTGAAAAAGTTTCACAGTTTTTCGTAAACGAATTTTTTCCAAGAGAGCCAATGGGATTTGCATTGAAAGGAGTCAGCAAAGATGCGGAACTGTATGCAGATATTGAGATAAGACCAAAGTTATCACAAAAGAATTCTGTTGGAGCTTTTAATGAATCTGGAGAACTGGTTGGGATGAACATTATGGACTTCGAATTAAATGTGAATCAATCATTTAAAGAAAATGAAGAATTACCATTATTTTTCAGGCAATTTTTCAAGTTGGAAGAAGCGCTCATTGACGGCAATTTAGAAGATTGTATAGGAACAAAATACTATGCAAACTGCCATATCCTGGGTACCAGAAGTGATTACACTGGACTAGGAATTGCAACTGAATTATGTAAAAAGATAGAAGTCACAAACAAAGAATGCCAAGCAGTTTATGCAGTCGCTACCAGTTACTACTCACAAAAGATTATGAAAAAATTTGGGTACAAATTCATAAAAACAATCGCATATAAAGACTATGTGGATCCAATAACTGGTTGTAAAATATACAGCAATATGCAAAGCCCACATGAATGTGTTGCATTAGCAGTGAAATATCTGAACTAAAACTTTCCTAACATCCAAGAACTATTTTGACAAAATATTATAGTATTGTGTATCATATATCAGTATACCTACAACAAACAATTAGTAATGCAAAGTTCTCCAAATCCAAAATGTCCCTACATAGGGTTCAATGAAACAAGCAATATTTGTCTCTGAAATAATGGCGTCTGGCATGATGGCAGATGCGTCATATTGTGCAATGCTTGTCTCGATAATACGGTTGTGCGACAAGTCTGTCATTGCTTTTTTGTCTTTACCTTGACGATAGAGATGACATATTATGCGTAAATTAGCGCCTATATTACTCTTGCTGCTATAACAAGGTCATATTTCATATGTTCGTATGTATATTTGTCATTTTATCATAGTGTGATTATTTTTTTTTTGAGTGCAAATGTGTCAAAATTTATAGATATACAACTATGTTGTGTTTACTTGGCAAGAAAAGTATTTTGACAGTGCGAGCGATCAACCTTTAGCAACACATAACACAATGAAACAATACCAGACTGTTTTGCTTACTACGCGCATAGCGAGCCAGCTGTGTAATTATCAAGCGCTGATTTTCAATTCAATAACTCGCGCCAGCTTTAGTTTAGGAATTCCACTTTGCACACATTTGAAAGGTGACATAATGCACTTTACATCAGACATAATACATTCCATTCTCTCTCATGTGTTTACTACAGAGCTCAAATTGAAAAAACTTTTTCGTGAGAAAATTTTGATTTTTTTATACAAACGCGATGGAAAGAGTGAGAGACACGCTACGCATTTCAACGACAGTTGCCAGATTCTATTTAATGCCAGCTTAACAGAGAAGGCTAAATGATGTTTCTAGAATGTTTGAACGAAGAGAAATGACAATTTTAGTTATGGGTGTCAAAATGGGCTCAGATTGGCGAGGAATAAAACAAACTTTTCGGACCACAAGGTGGCATACAACTCTAGTTTTGTTTTAAATTGCTTTGGGAGTTTAATATTAACTTCCACAAAAATACACAAACTGACAAATACATGCTGACATGGGGCATCCGAACGTTCAATTTGAGGCTCTGAAAGACTAATAGTTGCTTTTGGCCGTCGAGGTGGCATAAAACGATTTTCAGATTTTAGATTTGTAGATATAACAGTACTGCAGTATGAATTTGATTTTTAGTCGCCTAGAGTTCAGTTCAGTACGGCACACTATCCAAGAATTTCCCCTATTTGATTCAATAAAACAAACACTATGTGTCTCACAAACGTGGGGCGTCTGGCACGACGGCAGATGCGTCATATCGCGCTATGCTTGTCTGAATAATAAACTAAATTAATCTCAGCCTTAACGTGACCAAAATTGCCGTTTTTTGCTAAAATCTCTCGAATGCCACGGTAGCAAATTTTTTTCTTCAGTAAATCTGATTATTTTTCCCCGAGGAATTAGATGATGGCGTTTTCAGATTGTGCTTTCCTGTACAATACCTACGGTACGGTACCGGTATGTATGTATGTTTATTCGTCTCGTAAAAGCAATATAAAAGAGTAAGTAATTATAAATACTGAATCTGAGTATTCAGGTGATGGTACTACAGTACTAGTACCGGTACCGTACCAGCACGGTTATTACAGTACTTTTACAGAATTACCGGTAACTACTTCTGTCAGTCTGTTCGGTACCTACCGTACTTTCAGATTTTTTAGCAGGATAAAGTACGGTATAGGCCTATTACAGTATTACTGTAAAACCGTACCGGTACCATATTTAAACAACTCTAACTTCAGTATGACACACTATACCGGTACCGGTATAAATCGAGCAATACCGGTATTGTCTCGTTTCAGAGAAACGCATTTTACCGATGATCAGACACCCCTCTTTTGGGAGCGTCTGGTCATTGTTGACCCTCAATATTGGTGAAAATACAGTATAATGAAGTCGCGCAAAAGACTACCGGTACCGGTACCGGTACGCGGAACCGGTGCCGTACCGGTAGGTACCGTACCATGCAAACATTCCAGTTTTACCATACAAGCATACGGTACCTCAACACGATTATGGTCTGTATCTGCCTTTATATGCGTGCATATCTGCGTGTTACCGTTCGGTACTTGCTAAAATTCACTGAATTAGCAGAAGCTTAAAGGTTGAAACGCCTGCACCTGACCTTTCTCCTGTACAGAGCAAGCAGTTTGAATTTGACATGAACAAACAAATTCTGCAGTACTGTGTTTGGAGTCAAAAATTTTAATGCGAGGGTCATTTAAATAGTTGTTTCATTTGGTTAAATATATGTGATATGGATAGGTATAAACTGTATCTATATATTCAAGTATAGGCAATATTTTAATATAGAACGTACACAACTAGAGCACAGTAGTTTTGAAATCTGTAACACCAACACAAAAATATACACTAGGGTTTTCAGTCCAACGTTGTGCAGCTAATATACAACTATCATTGGAATAAAATCTTATACAGTATAGATAGTATATGCAGCCTATATCTGTGCAAAAAGCAAATATGCGAAGACATCTTAATTATATGGCGAACCTTGGCCTCTCGTTCGGTTAGGTACGGTACCAGGCGACGCTGGGCACGAAAAGTCAACTAGTTACTTTTACAGATGCATGCACTCGATGGTATCCGTTTTTTCAGGCGATAAGACGCTTCAAATACGAGATCAGCATTGGAAGTTATTGGAATGAACTTATGCACCCTCCTACTCCATCTTGTTTAAAACACACACAATTACAAAAATATTACCACACATCTCTTATCTTGAAATGTTTGCAACAAGCTTATTTGAATCCGTCTATCGCTGTGATGTAAAATTAGTCTGTTTGGATAAAAAAAAAACCACAAGACATTAGAAGGTGATCAATTTATTTATTTACATCTGAAATTGTAGGTTATACAAATTATCTCATAGATATACATGGTATAATAATACTGCAAAATTAATTAGGTAATTACGTTTAAATGGTAAAGTTCTCAGGTTAAGAAAAATAGCCAAAAATGTACAGCCACACGAAAATACTACCACTAAAGCAAGCTATTGCTGAAGCATTTCAAAAATTTTCATTCCATATCAGACTAATCATGGTATGCATATGTACACTTTGAAATCCTTTCATTTAAAAGTGTTGGCAGAATAAACATTTAAAAAAATAAGACAGAAGCGGTCAAATGCAAAAATTTATAAAACATTCTGTGATGACCATTCAGGTTGCGACATCACAGTTCGAAACACTCTTAACTCTTCTATCTAAGATTTCACCAAACTTACTTCAACCAAATTAGAGTTTTGTTCAATCACTGGAGTAACAGACAACACCAAGCAGGAAAATGTTTGTTTTACAATGCTCCTTAAATTGGTAATTATAAAAAAGCATAGCAAATGAAACTTCAAATAGGCACTTTCAATTGCAAAATATACATTGTTAGGCAAAACGATGATGTACCAATGTTGCCATGCCAAAAGTTGTACTATAGAATACACAAAAAACAAGAAAAAAATAAATCACTGGCACAGAGATAGATATACAGGAGATGTGAAACAACGTTTCAGTTTCAAATAGGGCTGGGCATTTTCGAATACCTGATGATTTCAGAATCGAATCTCAAATACTTGGGGAGTCAATGGTATATATGTAATTGTATGAGAATTGGTCCTGTCAACACATGAATTACTGAAAACATACAACACATCACTCAGACAGATTGCTGAGCGCTCACACAAATTTTGCTCTTAATCAAATATTCCTTTCAAGAAAATTTGCTGGAAACTAGAGCTGACCGTGTTTCCACCCAGAGTTGTCAAGTGGCCTACAACTATAAAAAACAGCATCAAATTTGGATAAATTCCTGACAGTATTTGACCCCATTTCTATTTGACTAATTAAGACTTGTGCCTTGGGAGAATAGCATATAATACACAAGCAAAAAGCAAAGCATATTTACAAGAATGAAATGAAATTACAAAATAAAACACGATTACATTTTTAATTGTGTATGAAAAGATTATACAAAATGAAAATAATTTTTTACAATTGCTAAATTTTGCAAAAAATAGCTAGAGTTTAAAAAAAATCAGAATAACAATAAAATTTCACAGATTGGCTCCACAAAAACAGACACCAAGTAAGATTTTCTGCAATAGGATCAATCACACAAGCTTTTTGAAAACTGCAAATGTCAATAATTCACACAGCCACAAAATGTAGATGTAGTAGGATGGCTTTAGTTTTGTAGATTCACCATTTATCTTTTTACGCTCTCGCTGGACTTTTTACCAAACTGATACAGCACATTCCCAATGGGAGAGCAACTAAGTTACCAATATATCAACATTTTAAGCAATTTCATTCAAAAATCTGTCATTAAAAACCAATCAGAACAACTTTTTCTGAAATAAAGTGACGATACAAATTTAATATCAAAGTGGCATAAACAGTTCAGAAGGTGCCTGGTATGGACAAGATGGAGAAAATATGTTCAAATTCCAACATAATAATCGAGAATGAAATGATAGTAATTCATGAAACAATATCTTATTTTGTGAAAATATAAAATAAGTTTTTGGAACGTTTCTTTTTATAATTTTTATATTTAATACTAGGGAATGGACAAAACAATATAATTTCATTGGCATCTGAATATAATAAAACTATAAAACTCCACCCTGATATTAACATCAATATGTTATTTCAACTCGTTAGTCATGGAGAATAAGTTCATATTCGAAAAACAACGGATTTTAGGAACATAAATGAATTTGGCCATTGTTGAAAATTTGAATTCTGATTTATAAAATAGTTCAACTGAGTTTTTTTAACATTAAATATAATAATTAATAACTGGAATTAACTTATCTATATGGTGATCCAAAAAATTGGCAGGGTGAACTCAAAAATTATGCTATTCCTATTGAGGGAAATTTATTTTAGGAGTATAATGCTCTCAATGCATCATGCAAATAAACAGAAAATTCGATGTTCAAATTCTTAAAAGAGAACATCTTTACCAAGTTTCCACCTCTCCAGATCGACTATTTCCTAGTCAGATTACGAGAGATAAACAACATATGACAAAAAAAGGGCTCGGATGAGATTTTCTATATAAAATATTTAAACTTTTGTCACTAGAGAGCAGCAGTCTCATCTTCTGCATTCTCATGTCCATTATTTTGCGCTGCCTTATGGTTGTTCGATGAAGTTTTCACTCCGTTTGGAATCTGCTTTTTTGGCACTGTAACTTGGAAAGATTTTTTCACTTTCTTTACGACAGGACCGGTAATCTCACCAGATGAATTTTCTATGAACTGGACACTCAAATCACCTGATTTGCTTGCAAGACTAGAACTGTTAAAAAGTAAAAATATTTCAAATTAAAATATCATACTTTGAGGTGGCTAAAGTATGTGATATTGTTTTGAAGTAGGAAAATTGTTATTAAGTTAGGTTAAAAAAAGTTTTAGACAGAGTTTTAAGTTAAGTTTGGTATTATAATAATATCAAATGCAGACCACCATAAACATTAACAACATGTGTCCCACACGGCGCTCCAGAAGTGTGTGTACCAACATGGAGGTAACTAATTTTGTTCGCCTACTTAACGTCAAGTTGTGTAAAGGCCTGAAACCTGCGAACAGGGGGTATATTCACTTGGCTAACACAAACAGTCCCCAAACTCGTAATGGAAATAAAGAAAGGAAAATTGGAATAAAATTATGCCCTAACCCTAACCTGGTACACATACTACGGGAGTACCTCTTACACTATGGTAAATTAACTGTAAGTTCCTTCTACAAAAGAAAGTCTAGAAACATCATGAACTAACTTGCTGGAAATTTTAATCTCAATATTCTTTCCTGTTATTGATTTGATCGTACGAAGTAACCTTGTCCCACATTCAACAGAATGAGCAATGTTCAATATTAAATCTCCTTTGTAAGATTTCGCTGCCGGACCATTTGCCTGCGGAAATGTAAACGGTTGGAATTGAGAAAAACACGGATAGTTTTGAAATTCAAAGATGGTACGGTAGCCACAAAGTAAAAATTGATTTCAATCAATTTAAGTTTTGTTGCTAAGACATTGGGTGCTATTTGGTCAAAGTAGCAAACATTTAATGCATAGCAAAGAGAAAGTAGCATTTCAATCCTATTTCAACAATCGAAAATCAGTTTGTAAATGCATGCAAGTACTAACTATATTTTACAATAATATCTGATACCGTGCATGACTTTTGACATGCATTTGCAATCAAAAAGAGGAAACTAGAGCGCGACTACACACTGAAAAGAATTTTCAATGTCTAAACCACATGGCAGACACAAATATGGTTTATCGGATGGTGGATGGAGTCACAATCAACCATTATTTTGATATGTGCTCCATCCTGCTGTTAATGCACACATGATAGAACCTTTAGACCAATGCAGGATTATCAGTGGTACGTTGACAAGCGTAACTCTAACAATTAGGATGGTGGACTGTCAGTCCAATGCTCCCTTCCACCTATATAGAATAAATATACAAACAACTTACTGGTGCAGTGATGTGCAGTAACGTCATTCCATCAGTGTAAGGAGAATATGACAAACCATTAATATCAGCTAATGGTAATCTGTACTTGATTTTGAATGACTCAGGATGTAGAAGTATCAATGCTTTATCAGACATCACAATTGTACAGCTCACAGCCTGAAACATAATAATTTTAGATTGGTATTAACTTTATAGAGAGCAAAAATGGGAAATTCACTATTAATGGGGATACTGAATCCCTTTGTTTGTTAGCAGTGAATTATCGGTACTCCTGAAGTATGCGCACCAAGATGTCTCACAACCTGAACCATAACCTGTTACACAACCTGAGTTCAGGTTGTGCGCCATCTTGGTGCGCATACTTCTGGAGGTCCGAATTATCTATACAGTCACCAGACCCTTTTACTTTGTCGGGAAAGTTATTTAATAAAATGATTCATGTGTCCCTAGAAAAGCACTCTTAGTATCATATTTACAATATGATTTAGCTAATTTTGATAGAAAATTTATTTTGAGCCCTGAAATAGCACAAAAAATAACAACACACGAGATAAAAACACAGGACGGAATTTTAAGAAAGTTGCCAAAACTCTTAACAGCGTTTGAACATGAGACATAAAATTACAAAATGGGCAATATGACATGAAACAAAAGCGGGAAAAAAACATTACGAAATTCAGTATAATCGGACTGACTTTCATACATTTTTTGAGCTCCCAGATACATATTATTTTCTATGTGCACTCACCTTTCCATCAGCTCTATTTATCTTGAATCCCTCATCAGCAAATATGATATTATTGTCATCATTTATTGCAGAAACTTTCTGCCATTTCTCCTGTCTTTTTAAAGACACATAATCGCCTTGGAATGGTGCAGGTAAAGAAATCCAGTACAGACTCTTTTTGTCTAAATAAAAATTAAAAAATAAAGGGTTTAATCGAAGGTTTAGATCAGCAGATAGTTATCATGAAAACACTATATATGGGTATAATGTGCGGAAAGACTGGCAGAAAACAAAATGTGCTAAAGTTTTATCTTATTTTGAACTTTTTTAAATAGGAATAGAAGATGTTATGTCCCAAACTAAATAACTACCGTGAATATAAATGATATCTGCATGGTAAACACTATGTGCATCTCAGCAAAGTATAAATGAGAATATCGGTCGGAGACCGAAGACTTATCGTTCGAAAGTTAGGGGATCCCCCAAGACAGAAACTGCGGTTTCGATTCATCCGCTCTTACTCCATAACGACATCGTGTGTCTCATCACTAATTAATTAATAACTCGCTAATTATACAACATAATTCATCCAAAATCAATAGGCTTCTGGTTCGAGATACGATGAATGCACATGCAAAACTTGGGAGCAGATTCAACCTCGCTTTCGTGAGATATCGCGTCTATTTAACAGACAAACAGACAAATACCTTTCAACATACTTACCGATCTTAAGATCGATAAATAACAATGATTGTGGATTTATTGGCAAATAGATAGCTCAGTTCAAGAAATTTGAATATAGAATATATTAAATGGAAATACTTTAAAAATATAGACAACCAGATGCATGTAATACAATTTGCATTCTGCAAAGATTATTTACCTTTGAAAAGTTCTGAAGCTTCTAATTTCTCTTTCAGTTGCGCTTGTCTTTCCTTTGACAATGATTTGCGGTAGACTTGACACTAAAAAGTATATATAAATTTTTGGTATCGAAATATGGTAACAGACAGCAGTATTGTTAAAACTAAATAAAAATCAACTTGCTCTCCATTTATGATGCATTTCTTTCAGTTCATTATGAGCAGTTTTCAGGCAATCATATTTGCATGTCGGCCATTTTTTATCGATTGGAGAAGTAGAAGGCAAACCATCCCGAAGTTTTTTATAGAACAAGTATATCTGAATAAAAATAAGGCATATGATAATAGTCAATCCTTCTTGAAATAATTACCATATAACCAAGAGTATTAAAACTTTGCCTAGTAATTGTAACTGGAATCTAGAATTAGAATAAGTCTGTTAAATTAGCAACTGCTGTATAATATGACGATAATTTTAGCTATGTCAGTTAATTTACACAAATGAAAAAAATGCTTAATTAAATAAAATAGGGCTCATGGCTAACAAATTTGACTGTATACAGTTGAGCAAGAAGAAATTGGGATATAGATCAGTGGTTTCCAACCTTTTATAGCTCGTGGTTTCAGAGGCGTTTAGCAATCGTGCCCCCCTGTTGTCATTGCAGTGGTAATTAGTCCTATTTTTATCGATAGATTCCAAATCCCATTATGTTCAAACAATTCATGCTCAACAAGGTGAAAACACACTGTGAAATAACCTTATCAAAAAATGAAACTAAGAAGAACAAGAAAGTTTTCTTGTATAGGAGAAGTGGCCCCCAAGGTGGGCTACACCGGTTGGAAATCGCTGAAAAGATTTTACCAAACAAAGGTGGCCAACATATATAACAAAATTATTGTTCTGTGGTCACACAATCCACTAGTACAGGAATCCCACACATATTCCTTCCAGACTGGGTTGGGAGAAATCCAGCTGTATACATCAAGAGAGGTGGTGTAATGTCCTTTGAGCTTAGTATGATGCACTAACCATCAAGACATTAAATCAACAATTCTACCAAATTTGATAAATGACTTACCAGAAGTCGTTCCATGAATTTGGCAATGACTCCACCAGCATTAGCTCTGAAGTATCTTCGATATTTCTTTCGATCAACCAAACCTCTCCAGTATGCAGCAATTACTGTCACTGCGATTGTTCGACGCTTCAGTTCCTTGTGTGCTCGGAGAAGACAACGAGCCTAAAATACCAGCAAAATTTTCCCGAAAATTTATAAAACCACATTTGCTAGCGATTATTGGGTTTCTGCTGGCTAGGTACTCATCCTTCTAATATGCTTTTGCACTGGTGGATTGGTATGCATATAATGCAAAGATTCTTTAGCAATGGTGAAGATGACTATTCTAAGTGATTCAAGAGTCTTTCTGCAAACTAACACATATATATTTTCATGAGCAAACTCACTTTAAAAAATACTAACAACAGGATTGAAAAAGTCTGACTTTGGTCTGAAGAAACATTGCAAAAATAAAGCAAGACTCTTGGATCGCTGAACAATGTTAAAATTCACGAGAGAGTGTTATTGCTAAAAATCAGTCCTTTTTGACGAATTTAATCCCTAAATATACTAGGCTCGGTAGCTTCAAACAAAAATTACAAACTAAATCGTATTCTAAGTCCACAGATACGAATCCACTAGCGCAGAAGCATTGAAAAAAAGATTGGGAGTTAGTCTTGTGCAACCTCTACTGATAGTTAAATCGTATTCTACTAAAATCACTGAACTTGCATTTCTGGATCTTCATAAAATGCAACCGAAACAACTTTGTCAATAATATAACATTACAAACCTTCCAGCCTCTGATATAGCATTGCATGATGACTGCGGCAGCACGAAGAGCCAAGAAATGCTTTTCACCCTGTGAAAAAGATGATACAAATTCTTCTACCAGTAAGAGTTTACTCTATTTGAAGAACTCTTAGTCAGAAAACAGTGATCGAAATATTTATGCCAAAATTTTTGTTCATGCTTTTATGCAAACTTGCATCATACATTGTATAAGTAAAATATAGTTTGCAAAAAATATCATTTCGGGAAAAATTTAGAAAGTAGCAACGTCAAACACAGCTATGCTCCTCTACTTGATGAATAAATTTTGAATATATTAAAATGATAATACGCAATAAGGATTTGGGATTTATCCCGGAGGAGAGAAAATCCGATAAGGTGACTTAATCATACGGTGAAGCCTTTCGTTCAGTTATCAGAACATGTCGACTAGTTGATCAGTTATATGTTTTAGATCAGACATGGGCAAAGTACGACCCGTTGGGTAGGTGAATCTGGCCTGCCCGATGCTGCCACAACCAAACTGAAATCGAATTACGATGTTTCAGCTAAAAATAGTTCAAGGAATTTGTTACGAATGCGGTTAAATTTAGTTTTAGCACGAGGCTTGTGGTTTTCCACCTTTGCTTTGTAACACTGTAAATATTGTTTTGAAAATGTTACCTTTTACGGCATACTTTAATGGCCCGCCAGTCTAGGTGGGCAAAATTTTTGGCGCCTGGTTCAAAAACCTTGCCCACCCCTGTTTCAGATGCATAAACTTCAACAGATTCTTAAACAAATATTTACAAATTTATCTCTTACCAAATAGGCTTTGACATTCTTGCTGATCAAGATTTGAGCTTGTCTCATCCTCTGATACCTTGTTCTCCATACATATCCTCTCCATATTCTCTGCATGATGGTTGCCAGATCATGCAATGATTCTTGACGTTCATCTTCCAAGTCAAAGAGCTATAAATATGAAATATGTTAACAAATCTGGCATGTGGGAAAGAGATAGTTGCTGATTCGAAACAACAATGCAGTACAATATTTAGGTTCGCCGAGGGGAGGGGACATAATTAATTATCTGTTGCATGTAACATAGGAATGATTGAAAACTTGACAAATTAGTGATTGTTTTGACTGAAAATAATCTATCTTAGTATCAAATTCAATTCGGTTGACCAAAACAACTCAAAAGCACATATTAGGTTTTCCAGTCACTGATACTTTGGAAGTGCAAGTTTGTTGTGTTCCCTGATAAACCTATCTTAAAAATTTGGCATTCCCTTTTTCTAGATGGCTGTAGATGACAATGTGGACTCTGCCACACAAATTATTCACTTGAGGCAAAAACCTTAACAAACCTCCTTTGGTTATCATACAATACAAAAAAAACTTCAACAGAATTAAAAAATGATATTTTGCTCACCGTTTTAGGATTGATGATAAAAATCTTAGTTCTTCCAAATGTATATTCCTTCTCAGGAATCTCAACGTGTTGTAAAATCTCTTTCACACCATCTTGTGGATTACCACGCCAGTTAGGCCATGTACGTGGGCACAGCATTTTATACCTATTAGAACAAAGAAAAAATATTTATCACAAGAATGTATAAAATATTTAGACGTCAGTGGCTTATTCATAATCGAAATAAATGTAAATTAATTGCGTGTATAAGCAAAATTATAATTGAAGTTAAGCAATTCTTGGTTCTATTTTATAGCTTTACTGGATGGTTTGATATGTCACAAAATAAATGGAATCTAACATATTCGAGAACATTGAAGTTAAAGAATATTGATAATCTCTTTCATATCTATATCTTTACCGCTATCAAAGCTTATGCCTATGTGTGGACAGAGTTATGGATGTTCTTAGCTTGTATATTTAGATAGTATATTTTGAGAACTTCACAATACACACAAATTAATGAAAATGGTGAATTCTGGAGGTGAGCGAAATTTTTACAGAAGTTTAAAACATGAGAAATATCATGTACCCGCTCACCAGTACACACGCACAACAAAAAAAATCACAAAAACACAACCCTAGTTGAATGATATGCAAGATAATTGTTATAATACGAAAAGGCAAAGAAACTTTAAAGATAAAAAATAACGTAACGGTTTACCTTTCCAAACAATCTTCATACTTTTGTCTGAATGCATATCCAGCTCTCTTCACTCGAACATTTTCCATCAAACCCAGGTATCGTACTTGGTGTTTCACAAGATCTTGAGTGATGATGCCACTGCGTTTGACTGCATTTGGTTTGATACATCTAAAAGTTTTGGAATATAGAATTTACTCCATTAGTTGGTCATCAAAAATCACTCGGTACTCAGTAACTCCAGCAGATTTATCTCGAATCAGACTGCAAAGAATATTTTTTTTGTCGGTGGGCGTCGTGGGCGATAAAACCAACTTCAGATATTTAGCTGTGCCACATAAAAAAAATTAAGTTTTTTCATGTAGGCTACACAACGAAAATTAGCGACAACCAGAATATCACGAGAAAGTAAAAGAAGAGAATGTGGCTATCGCTTATCCTTACAGAAATGGAGACACAGGCAAAGCGGTGTGACCCCAGAGAGGTATTCAGCAACCCCCTTGGGCCCAGTTTGATAAAGTCTAGCCTCGAGTAAAATCCGGCTCAGTTTTTGTGTATTTGTCAGTAGCAATTATAAGAAATATCAAATTGGTTCGTTTTGGACATCCCCACTATTAACAAATTGCAAAAGTTTTGGCGCTCCAGAAGTATTCTTACCAAGATGATGCACAACCTGAACAACCCTAACCTGGTACACATACTATGTTCAGGTTGTGCGTCATCTTGGTACGAATACTTCGGGAGCACCCAAGTTTTTTAGTTAGACAAATATTAGATGGATTGACTTCAACTCCTTACCTGATATAATTGGGATTCTTTGAATGTAAATTTTTCATCAACTGAGCGATGGAAACCTTAAATTGAGTCGCGGTTGTGGGAGGCCTTTTCATATTGTCCGCCCCTGTGAGAGAAAAAAAATTAGATTTAACGTATTAGCAGAAAACAGAGCAGTAAATATGGCTTATATTTCATAATCTTCCCTTAGTGAAATGAATTGGATATTAGAACATGAACGAATGAAGTATTTTTCTACCCACAGCTATCTTAATTTAGAGATTAAAATAACAATCACATTAAACTGAATGATGTCATATTTTTTACAGTTTCAAAATATCGCCATATAGTCATGTCAGTTACATATTTCAATATGTATCCATTGACCAATAGGTCTATTTAAATATCCATTGATATTTAAAATTTGGTTTAAGTTAAAATATCCAAAATAACTGAATAATATTTAGCAACGGAATGAACAAAACAGATGCAAAATTAACAAAAAAGCAGGAATTAAACATCGAAGACCACAAAAATATAGATATGGTGATTCAAATTAAAAAATAAAGCTTGAATCAATGAGCAAACAGCATAAGGTTGATAACAGTAGTTATTCAGATAACGAAAAGCATGACAATAAATTTCAGTCATAACAAAACTCCACTAGAAGTATGTCGTATAAGAAGAACTCAAATAGAAGATATATAGAAGTTAAAAAAATTATGAAAGTCAGATGCTGTATTTTAGAATTAAACATATAGAATAACATTAAGGACTTGTGAATATTGATTTCTATAAAATTTATACTTCTGTATTTCAAGAAGCAGTTATCACTTCTGAAACTAACGGCCAGTAAATTAACAAAATTTTGGTAAATACCAACATATATTTTAATATCCTAGAATGAACAATTGAACATCAATATGATGGAAAACACATAATTTGCGTACTATTGCTGCATCACAATCAATAAATAAAAATGCTTAGAATAAAATATACAATCACATAACTCAATTTGGCACAGACGATCTGGCGAATGGTTGACTTTAGAATATCATGGGTGTCATCCATTTTGAGCAATGAGAATGGCATCGGATAGAAGCTAAACTTAATAAACCGCACTTTATTCCCAAAAACAAAAATTAAAGAATCAGTCAAATTTTAGATCGCTCTTTACATTGGTAGGCTTTGAAATTCAATTTCTCTAGAAAAATATTGGGTGCTTCTGAAGTATGTGCACCAAGATGTGGCATAACCTGAACCCTACTCTGGTAAACATACTATGTTTAGGTTGTGCGGCATCTTGGTGCACATACTTCAGGAGGCCCAAATCTTGATTGATGATGTTTTTCAGTAAATTTGTGATTCAGTGTTTCACAATTTTTAATAATTGTAAAATTCCTGCAACCCCCAAGACACAAAACAATTATAATAGCGGACTGAAAACTCGCGAATCAGAATAATGAATCTCAATCAAGCGTAACAAAAATGAGATTACCTTCATCCCTGTCTGTACATAACGAAAACACAATTTAAACAAAAATATGAACAAAAGCGAGATAAAGCTCAAATTATGAAACTAAAATAAAGAATACAACAGACAGACGGAAAAATAAATCAACAAAAAAGCAAGCAAGCGAAACATATAACTGTTTTACCTTCCACGATCACTGTATATATGAAACATCAACAAACAACATTGGTTAGTAACAAGTTTTTTTTAATATTAATACCACACTAATCAAACAAAGTTGCAAAAACAGGGACAGTCAGCAAAACAATATTTAATATCTTACATCAAGAAATTCTTGATCTACATAAAAAAGGCTTCAACAATTTTTTATTGGTTATTCATTTGAAAACTTCACCACAGATAAAAACTCTTATATGTAAAACAAATGTAGGATGTACGAAATTTTTTATCTCGTGTTTTATTGGCTTAGTCTATCTTTTATCAGCATTTTGAAATAGTGGTTTCGAACACTGTTGATGACAATGAAAGCATTGTAGTTTTTGAACAATTATAATTACAAATTTAAAGGCAAAACATGGCCTTTGAGTGTCAATACACTTATCAAGGTCAAGACTAAGATCAAGCACATTACGAGTATATTATACCATAACGTCCACATTCATACAAAACATAGACGCATAATATCCCATACTATTGTACCAACCTGGCTCGCCTTCTGGGAATAACCCATCCGCTCCACCTATCAGACCATGTTGAGCAGAATACATTGCCATGGAAAGATTGCGATAAAGAGAATCATTGTTCTTATCAAGGAATCCTTCAACACAGTATGAGACCTAGAGTAAAGATAGGAAAGTTGAATAACACTAAAAATTGGTCGGACACAAGAGGTAGAATAAAGATTGAATTCATATCTTTATCGATAAGACAACCTAATGAGGCAGCAAGCGTATTCCTAACGCTTAGCATGATGTGCCACATCGCATTGGGGAATATATCAGTTTAAAAATGATAAAAGACTCACTTTTCCAGCATAATGCAAAATTCTGAATGAATCGTGGGGCAGAGTTTTATCCGACAAGAACTCTTGGTTGTGTCTACTCTCAAAGTGAGTGTGAGATCCACATGTGTCATGAAGTTTTGAGAGAAAAGTCATGTCGGTTGCTTCACCTGGTCGAAGACATTCTTCATCAAGCATAGACAAGATACCTGTGTGAGGCTGATGAAAAAATATAAGATATGATGAAATTCCATTTAGATTGTTTAAGGATAAACAAAGCAATTATGAGCACTAGTTAGTGAATGCTCAAGAGCATGAGTACTGCTTAGAGATAAGCTGATGACCTTTTGTTAATAGGATAGGATAATAAAATAAGTAACCAGTCCAATGTCCCATATGTAAATACACATGCTTGTAGTGCCCAGTTTAACTCATATTATTGTTTATACTGCACATTTGTGACTAAAAATGTCAAGTTACCAATTCAGAATAGTTTAAGAGTACCATGATAAGTAACGAATTCAATGTTCCAGACATCTATGTAATTCGCAGTAGTGTCTTGTAAACTCTCATCATTAGGATAAGGATTTTCATATTAACCCCGGCTGTTAATCATATGGCAAGCCACAGCTTTTCTTTCGGTCTCCAGATCATGTGTGGGGTATGGGGAAAAGTTGGCCAGATATTTGTTTCAAATGATTGTACTTGATGGTGGAGGAAGCCCTGAATGACTAGCGGTACGCAAATCACCCTACAACGGCAGGAAATTCAGCATCTCTCGCACATAACAATTCCTGCACAGGACTTGAACCAGCAAACCCGAGCAGTGTAATCCTAGCGCTTTTTATACAAAATAACACCCTCATGGGTGAGAACACTAACCTGCTCAATAAGTTTGCAAATAATCTCATTATCAAAGTAATCAATATGAATCCATTCAATCCCTTCCTGTATGTATTCCTCTTGTTCTTCTTTCAATGTCAGTTCGATGAAAATTTGTTGAAGTTTTTCGTTGCAGTAGTTTATGATGAACTGTTCAAAGCTGTTGTTCTGAAAACAGGATTACAGGGAATGAATACATATGAAAGGGTTCAGTGTGTTTGAAAGGTAAAAACAAATGATGACAATACATAATATATATGATACAAAGTTATTGAATTTTGCAAGAGTACACCGACGAGCGCATAAAATAGCCATTGATGAAATTGATAAGCTGGACAGAATTGAAACATAAATTCTGGAGAGTGCATAAACCTTGGTAGCATTGAAAAGCATGTATCACATCACATCATTACGGTAAGTCCCAACCATATACTGGTGAATCTTTTTATAACCTTTTTTATACAATCATGATTTGAGATACTTTCATAATTACATTCGTATACTGATCATTCGTATTCATGACATAGACACTCGCAAGAATGCTAAACACATAACTACGGAGCATTTCATGCATTTTCAAAGCAAATGTAAATTTTCTCCTGTGAATTTGAAAAAAGCGAGTAAAAATGGTCACTCTTTTTCACAAATTAATGCCTGAAAAGTGTCACAGAGCTTAACTTACATCGAACACTTCGAATCCATAGATATCCAAGACTCCCATAACTTTACGCCGTGCCTTGGTTGTTGATTGAATGCTTTGGTTGATCCTCTGTACCAGCCATGTAAACAAACGACTGTAGATGGCTTTGCAAAGAGCATCTCGTGCATAGGCAGCCTGAAAGAACAATTTTAAATCAAAATTTAGTGATGTGAATGCATTTTCTTTGCCTTGAAAGAATAGTTCGGGGACTAGCCAAGTGACTCCCGTAGTATTTGTATCTGAAATTATGGCCTAACCTGGTACACATACTACGTTCTGTTCGCCATCTTGGTTCACATACTACGGGAGTACCGAAAAACATGGCCAGAGTATAGGACTATCATTGAAGTATTGGTACCAGAACGTTGGCATCTCAAAAGATAAGTCTTGACCAGAAATGCAAAAATGGTTAAAAGTGTGTACTTCCTTTTTTTCATATATCGTGTATGTCTGATTCTTATTAGTTGAGAAAAATAAACTCGAATGATTGCTGTAAACCTTGTACTCACTGGTAATACTTTGGGACCCATACAACAAAATCATGATAATAAAAATACTAAAAAATTAAATACAACTGTCATGGCAAATTGCCAACAACGTACTTTTCACTTATCGTATTTAAATAAAATTATAGGTTTTGATCTAGCAAGTGTTATATCTATCACTTTAGTATATAACAGCCTAAGTTTTATAACATTGTACAGAACAAAAGGCTCAAGTATTAATTTTAATAACCACAAGCCTGGAGGATAAATGTAACAAAAGAACACAATGACACTAGGAATGTTCACGTTATCCATTAGGTTTTATCAGAGGAAGCCACAGATGTTAAACAAACGATCTATTGTTATAAAATTCTTTTTTAATGAAGTTTATCCCCAACCTAAACATTTTATTGGTCGATTTTCCAAACCAATATGACTAAAGCTTGATAGGTGTGCACTGTGCTATATAAAACAGTTTTCGAAAACGAATAGATAATGAATTTGAGTCAGCTATACACAAAACAGAATTGATTAAAATCAAGGAAGTTAGCTTCCTTCATGAGATGATAATATAATTTAAAACAAGCAGCATACTCCAATAAATATGAAGTACTTCTTCACACTATCCCAATTTATTTCTGCAAGATATAAATATGTTTCTGGTTTCTATAAATTTCAATCATTATGTAAATTGTCTCACTTCATGAAAATTCCCCTTTCCTTCTATTTTGCTTCAATCATGTTTACATTTAAGATTCTGCATGGTTAAATAATATGGGAAGTTTGAAAAAAAACTTTACAAATTTGAGGGTTAATAATATGTGATATTTGTAGGATATACATACACTTTTTTGGTGAGCTTTGACCCTATACAAGGCTCTACACAAGATAGATTTGACGATACTCCCATAGTGTGTGTACCAGGTTAGGTCAAAATTTTATTCCGATTTTCGTTATTTTAGTTCTATTACGAGTTCGGAGACTGTCTGTGTTAGCCAAGTGAATACCCCCTGTCCATAGGTTTCAGTCCCTTAATACAACTTGATGTAAAATAGGCGAACAAAATTAGTTACCTCCATATTTGGTACACACACTTCTGGAGCCTCGAATTGACCACCATTTGATACTTGGCACATGCAAGATTGTATTCCTGATAAGTTGGTACTAGTATGTTTTTGAGCAATATCTCATAAGTGATTCGACATTTAAAAAGATTGGAATATTGGCACAGTAGGTCAGTTGCTCTTTATTATTAATAACAAGGGTTCGAAAAATATTTTAATTTTAGAGCAATATATCAGGTGTATTTACACAAAGAGTTCTTCAGAAGATATTGTCTAATATAACTCATTGCTTGTTCAATAAACAGAAACCTAGTTGAAGAAACCAAATTTTTAACAGCAATTCTTGAAAAATGTAACAATAACCTAATAAAAGCAAGTTAAACAGAAGACTATGAGAAATGGCAGCAAGTCAAATATTGTCCTGATTTATTACCTCCCAAGAGTATGTTTGAAGAGAAAAAATTCTTTGCTTTTCTCAGTTGTGCAAACTTAAGGAACAATGGCGGCAATAGTTCCAAGTAATACTATTATATATGCTTTGTATATATATATTTTAAAGCAGTTTTGCAAATATAGGAGTACCTATATAAAAAAAAAACTTTATTAACCTAACACTTTATTAAATATTGTTCATGAAATGTAACTTTTTATGTCACACTTACATGGCCCGCCAGTCCAGATGGACGTAATTTTTGGCCCCTGGTTCAAAAAACTTGACCACCGCTGGTCTAGTCTGTACGGTACAACCTGTGCATTTATTAAGCACGCAGATAAACAAGAATTTGTACGCTCTCCTGGGATGCCAAATTGTTGAGGTTAAATCAGTGATTATCGTGCTATTATCATGAAAGTTATGAAAGTTAAATACTTCACACGTATGAACGGAGAGAGTCTTGCTCAGAGTCTTGTTTATAGCAATCACTTTCACAATTACTTTCTTGTAGTCACAAAATTAGTCAAATAATAATAGTTGAATGAACAGGCATTCAATAAAGAAACTTGAAAAACGAGACAAGTTAATGACTATTTGCTCTCAAGCTGATATAACAATCTTTCATGAAATGTTTCCAATGAAGCATTTTCCATTAAATAAATAGTGATTAATTACAAATCAATACTAGAATACTAACTTTCCAGTAAAGATAGAAATGTGGGCAGTTCATAAAAATGATAATTAAGTCTGACTTCGGTCAAAAAATTCAAACAAAATCAAATTGTGACATAGTGATGTAGAGTAGGTGGAACCTTTGAACGACTTTATAATTTAATATTCAAAATCATTTCAAAATATTTATGAATGTAGTAGGGTGTCCTTATTAATAAAGTCTTAAAATTTTGAAAAATGTAAAAGGGGAATTTATCAATACCATACTATATATTGTTTTGGCCCTCAGAGAGGTATTAAATGGAGTTAATAAAATACTTAAAACAATTACTGATTAAAAACAACAAACCTGGCTAAGATGTATTAAAAACTGACTTCATAACAAAATTGTAAAAGGACTTCATGCACAACCTGTATCCATATTACCGGTTACTCAACCATCAACAGCTTGAAGCCAGCTAGATAAACTGAGTATCTTGTTACAGATAATTTGTAGTCTAGGGTCTCATTTTTACTTTTATTTTGTTGTTATTGTCTGTTTCCTGAGACTGATAAATTACTTTTAAATGCCTGAAATTTCACGCTTGATCTACAAAGTTTAGTTTCAAGTTTGCTTTCTAATCAAGAGAAGAGAAAATGGTTTTGAAGTCGTAATAATGTGTTTTATTCCGTATTTATTTTTTAATTCAAGAAAGAGGTGTTTGTTTTCGATGTGTATAAAACTCATATTTAATCAAGGCTCTAGGAAAGTTGCCACTCAGTTTGAAAATGTTGTACTGATTACCAACCGACAATTTCACAATTCAACGTTTGCATAATGACTTCAGTACACAGGGGAAAAGCGACATAAAGCAAGACAAAGTTGAATGAAATCCCTTGTGTCTTTGTATCTTAAATATGCCTTAGTATCCAAGTCAACAATAATGTCATTTTAGTCAAAATACGTTGGGTTATAAACAGGGATGTCCATAACTACAGACTACGGTAATCAAATATTTGAAATTGGTTATATTCGATTTTGAATAATTTAAAATATTTAGGCATTTATTATTTCATGATAGATAAAAAAGTAGTTCTGACAGAATAAAATTGTGAATACTAATTCAAACTTGGTATATTCACTTAGCTAACAAAATCAGATCAAGTTTGTACGCAAAGAAAGGGATGTACTTTTGAAGTGATGATTGAAATAATATATCCTTAGATGTGTATTGACTCACAGATGCTGTCATTTAAACAGATGGTGAGACTTTGCAGCGTTTCAGCAAGATCTGAACTAGTAAGAATTCAACTTTTCCAAATCGCATGAAATCATTTTGAATAGTCATTGCAGATAGCAGGTAGAATAATTGGCGCTCCAGAAGTGTATGTACCAATATGGAGGTAACTAATTTTGTTCGCCTACTTTGCATCAAGGTGTACGAAGCTACTCAAACGTATGGGCATGGGGTATATTCACTTGGCTAACACAGACAGTCCCCAAACTCGTTGTAGAACTAAAATAAGGAAAATCGGAATAAAATTATGGCCTAACCCTAACCTAGTACACTTACTACGAAAGTTTTTTTTAGTAGAATGATTCGATATATTTAAATTTCAGGTTATGAAGTAACGAGTTAATATTGTCTTTTAAACATCTGTAATCTTTATCAATAACAACAAACTTTCACATAAAACGGAACCCAATGATGTCACTATGAAATAGTGCCAAGATTATTTTGTAATCAAATTATCCAAATAATGAAAACTCCAATCATGCATGGGCCTAAGATATGTGTGCGATAGATAAATAATCCACAAATCCCATTAAAGAATCTATAATTTAGGAAAATAGTCAATCTTCAAAATGAGAGAATTAAATTTCAAATTTGAGAGAATTTAAATGTCTGATTTCCCATATATGGAGTTGTAAATTTTGATGTAATTGTGATCTCATAGTAATAGTGACTGGCATGTAAAAAATGTTAACCCTTGAATGACAAAAAAAAGTTTTAAATGAAACTAAAATTTCAATTTCAGTTTTGAATTAATTAGATCGAATATTAGGATATTTTTTTTTTACTTCCAATAGTACAAAGTTTGGTAAATATGATATACAAGTCTGATCAAATAAAATATTAGTAAAAATTCTACAAAAGTTGTTGTTTTAGTAAACAATATTATGGTTTGTATGCGTCTAATGATAAGATATGGTGTAACCTGATTTACTATTAGTGCAATATCTAGTCTTCGAAAACTCTTGAAAATAATTCTCAGGATTATGAAGGCTGATGAAATATTTTATAAAATAACACTATAATTTTGCAGTCTCCTGTGCGACCATTCTCTTGGTATCTGATCACTTTTGCACACGTTTTTAGGTCACCGCAGTGCATAAATAACGTAAAATGACCTTTTCATGGAAATTGATGACGCGATGTCGCTAAAATCAGCATTTATACATGCACTCAAGTAGCGATTGATCAGGGCAGTACACTCCATGTTAAGTAACTGTCTAACCAAAATAGATTTTGGCTTGTAAAAGAAAATTGAATTTATAATTGAATTTATAAATGAATTTATAAATGTAAAATAAAGTGAAGTCAATGACAAGTCTATATAAAGTTTCTTTTCAAACTCTAACCGCACAGTAAGCAAAATCTCTCTGTGATAGGTAGGACTGGGCATTCCGAATCGAGTGTTTGAATTGAATCGTAAAGTAAATTATTCATATTGGTTTAGGCGAAAATTTCGAATCGCTATCTTGTTTTTAATTTGGTCGCCAAAAGTCAGGGTGAATTCCTCAATTTTTTTTTCTTATTGAAGTCATATTTTTACAATCGAATTCTGACATATGACTCTTTTTCGAGGTGAGGTATTAATGAAACATGTTTCCTATTGTATGTGAGTGCTCAGCAAACTGACTGAGTGATGGATTCTATGTTTCCAGTAGTTTTTGTGTTTTGTGTCTGAAGGTCAACCCCTTACAATAAAAGAGTCCAATACAACTGAGAATCTTTGAAAGGATTCGGGATTAGTTTACATTCAAAAAAAATATTCGATTAGATTCTAGAACCACCAGGTATTAGAAAATGCCTGTCCCTAGTGGTGAGTGATACCCAACTGGATGATATCAAACACGCACACCATTTACATACTAGTAAGTCAATGCTTCTTTAGGCGAGTGTAAATAACAGTGTTGCTGGCTATAATATCAAATTATTATCTATATATTACACAAACTTACTCCACTTGCACTGAGAGTGCATGTCACTTTATCTTCTCTGGCTTTCATAGTTCTCTGGGTTATAGTTGTTGCAAATTTATCAGGTTTTACTCCAAGAATTTCACTCAATTCTTCAATTTCTGTAAATACAAAAATTGTTTATATAACTGGAAAGTTCCAAAAATGATGGTATTTTGATTCTGAGTATTATCTTGAACTGACTTCATATCACCCATAGAAAGCCTGCGGTTAGCCACATGGATTAGGCTGTCCCTTACGCTTTCCCCCATGATAAATATTACAAATTCTATCTTACCTTATATTTCAGAATACAGGTAAGAATTGGTGTAAATATGAATTTCAGCATGCAAACAAACATTTTAACTCAAACTCGTCCGATTTTGTCAAAGCTCAGAAATTAGGAAGGAAAATAGCTATGTATATCACCAACCAGCCACAGAAAAAACCTCATGGCTCAGTTATATACCTTTCATATCTTCCACTGAGCATCCTTCCATTCCATTCATAGCAGATCTTCCCTTATAAGTTATATTTCCAAGCTTTAGAACAATTGCAATGGCTTGAAGCACTTGGTCAACTTCTTCATGACTGAAGCCAATTACGTTAAACGCAGTCTAGAAACAAGAAAATTCTTTGGATTTGACTCTTTTGGATTCGTATTCAATTCAAATTGTAACACCATGGGAATCGGTTTCAATTATTTCGAAAATTAGTTACAGAAGGAAGCTAGTATTGAGCCAGCCCATCAAACAACTTCCAAGAGCATTTATGTGAAATTTCCTAAGAGTTTCAAATAAGCTATGTGACGTTTTCGAAGACCTTATGCTTTATTTCAAATACTTATTTTTACCTACTCCAAAACCAAGCGAATGCTTATAACTTGCACTTTTCTGAATATTAAATATGCTTTGTTGAAGATATGTGAAGATCCTCTGAGCCCATGAAATTCCATAAAAAAATCTAAAATCTAAAATTGATGAAAAATCTCACCAGAACATCTTTGAAATGTCCAGCATCATCGATTGTGTCAGTAATTTTACCATCAGTAAGGAAATTGTATTTCACATCTTTTGATAGCTTGAGTTTGTCTGTAAATAAGATTGTATAATGGTAAATTTGGATTATAATGTTCGGTTTATAATTTAATGACTTACACCTGGTATATATTATGATAATATAATGGTCATGGTTTAAAAGTTATCATTCATGCAAAAACAAAAATAAAACCAATTTTACAAATAATTTTGAAATACTTCATTTCTATAATCTGCTCAAGAAAATTCAAAGGACATTTTCGACAAATGACCTTCTTACCTAATACCGGTATAATTAAACTGTTTGAGCCACTTGAAACACTCACTTCAAACAAAGCCCTGACAAGCAGCCAATTACATGTTCAGAAGTTTAGATTGACTGTTAGGTTTAGATTGACTGTTATCTCAGTCAAGGCAACTTCAACATTGCTTATCTAATACATCACACCCTTGGTGAGGTGGTTGTAAATTGTAATAGGCCTTCATTGTGCAAGATTACTAAAAATTATGCTAACAACATTGTTAGGCCAACATACCAGACCAGAGGAGTGCAACATTTTTTTTGTTGGTGGCCATTTTATAGTCAACTACAGACATCAAGCACCACACATAAAATTTAGTTATTCTATGTACACAAGACACAACGAATTGAAAATTCTCACAATGCAAAATATTATTTATTTAACTTTTTAGTGGGATACTTGAAGTTTCAAGTTCTTGCATAGTTTGTTAACATCAGCTTTGACAGAAGTTGTAGCAACTCCATACTGACTGGTGAAACATAATGTATTTTCACCAATGTGATCACCTTTTTAAAACATAAACTGTCAGATTAGGAGTGTCAGAGTGCTGACAAGGGCCCCACTAAATGGCTCGCCGGGTTGTGGCCTGTAGGCCACCTGTTGCACACCCCTGTCATAGACGATTGCGCTCATAAATCGATGTCATATGATGATAAATATTCTCAAAATAAGAAAAATAAGTTACCGTAGTTGTGTAACAAATTAGCTTAGTCATTGTTTGAGTTAGAGTGGAGTGTTTGTATGATGTAATGAATATATCGAAAATACTTGAATTGCTTCCTAATGAGAAGTAATAGTAATTTCCTGTTATTTATTTAGGTATCATTACAGAAGAGGCTTTCAATGTGGTTGGTAACTTTTACAGATGGACTTTCTGACTGATGATATTATTCAATCCAGCGTGCTTTAGTAATTAGATTATTATAAATTACTATATTTGACAACGGTGTTGACTCTCATTTATTTCTTTACATGGAAAAATCATTTAATTAGAAGTCGCAAATTAGTTTTTATTAACTTTGCACAAAATGATGATCTGGTTATGTGAACTTTCAGAATATCAGTTTTGAATATAATCGCTAGGTTTATTTACAATCGCAACACTACTTGATCCACGCACGTGGCAGGAAATAAGCGCATGATACTAACCAGAAATTCCCGCAGTTAATTATTAAAATGTGAGTCATGAGAATAAAAGGAGGGTAGGTATATATAAAGCCAGACTATTTAAAAAAGTCAATATGCATAGAATTTCCCCACGAGAACAGACAAAAAAAAAATCAATATACCGTAGATAAATAAAATTTGGACGCTGCAGATGTATGTGTACCAATATGGAGGTAACTAATTTTGCTTGCCTACTTTACATCAAGTTGTGTAACGGGAATGAAGCCTATGGGCAGGGGGTATTTTAATTTGGCTAACACAGACAGTCCCCGAACACGTAATAGAACTAAAATAAGGAAAATCGGAATTAAATCATGGCCTTACTCTAACCTGGAACACATACTACAAGAGTACCAAAATTTGCACCATCCAACCTGGAAAGCGTTGACGAACAGTTTAAACCGCTATATTCATACCGAACCTCAGGTATGAATGCTGATAAGTATATACTATTTTGCCAATGGGTAACCACTAATTCCTAAATAACATATATTTTTGAGTTTCCTTAAACAAGGATTAAAAAAAATAGCTCAAACTACTATATTCAATATTAACTTCATTAACCTATGTAAAAACCTAGCTGTGCTAGTTTACCCATAAACATATGTTATAAGAATATATTTGAGTGTTATGTGATCCATGATTTTATAAATAAAGATTAAACTATCAAATTACTTCATTTAAAAAAATTTGAAAACAGTGGTTCTAAATATATTGACATAACAAGAGTTTTGACCCATGTTGGTTAAATTCCTCTTGGCGCACAAGATGTGACAGATTGAACAACACTTGATAGTGGAGTGACCAACAGGATAAAAATACCAGCAACACATTCAAGCCTATTTCAAGATGCGCTTGAAAGTGCTTTACACAGTTCAAGAGCCCAAACTGGACAATCGTTGCCTCTGTATCTCATTTAAAGATACTCAACTTTCTGTTTTATGTGATGTATTAACTGGACTATAGTGACATGAAATCACATTTTTAGCTAATCATGATGGAATGAATGGTGAAAACTATCTAAAATATATATTCAGAAATCAGAATTCAGATAAATTATTTTCATCACAAAACTCTTATTCAATTTTTTGATGTTCATTTTTACTACATAAAAACTGGAACATTGTACAAATAGTCAGAAAATTCTAGTTGAAAATGGCACGTGTTAGACTAGCGCGCCGGGATTTACATCTGGCTGAACCAGTGATGAGGTAAATTTAGAAACCTGATTCATCATAATTTATCAGAGTGTTCATATAGCTGCTTGCTTTGAGCCTTGTTCACAGTGCATAACACAGCCCACACATACCGGACTAAATCAAGGCAACAAGAACATTTTAGCATAATGATCATAGCCATTAAAAGCAGAGTGGTAATGACATATTAAGAGCCATCTTAGATCAAGTGAGCAAACATTACACCATCATCCTTATTAAACAATTTCCTCAATAAACAAGCAATCGTGTTTAGTTAGCAAACATTTCCTGGACTTCCGTCAGTATATTATTACCTAAGAGGCTGTTCAGAAGAATTTTTATATAATGGTGATACGACTTAGATATGATACTAAAAGACGTGGAATTAAAATTGAACAGACATAGGAATGAGGTAATCATGCACTGAAAAATTTATAGTATTATCTATTCCAAGCCATGATAATGCAAGTTTTGAAATAAAGTGCTATTCAATAATTCAAATAACAGTGAAAACAACAAAATCTCTGTCTACATATCGAATACAAGGAATTTCAAATCAATTAGAATATTTGGACCTCCTGAAGTATGCGCACCAAGATGGCGCACAACCTGAACTCAGGTTGTGTACCAGGTTAAGGTTCAGGTTATGCGACATCTTGGTGCGCATACTTCAGGAGTACCAAATATTTGATTCTTTTTGGACACCCCTGGGACTATCTTATTAATAGGGCAAAATGACAAAAATTAAAAAATAATGCTAATTCAATAATTTAAATGATGGTGAAAATAACACTAGCCTATGTTTGTTTTTTGCTTTCTTCCATAGGCTTACAGTGAAAAATTTTGTAAGAAACTTTTGAGAAATATTGCTATAGAAATTTAGTGCACAAGCCTCCACAAGCAACCGATGAAAACTGGCCTTTAGTTGGACCCCCTGAAGTATGCGCACCGAGATGGCGCACAACCTGAACTCTGAATGTGTACCAGGTTAGGGTTCAGGTTATGCGACATCTTGGTAGCATACTTCAGGAGTACCCTTTAGTTTGTATAAGCAAAATTTAATTCTGTCTAATTCTGGCATGAACTACAATTTGAATATATATTGAAACCAATCATATGATCTGAATCGAAACCAATTTTGACAATTCCATAATTTCAGGTCGAATAATGATTTTTCATACTACAAAACCATTAATTGTCTTACGAGTGTTACGACCATAAAACTGGTATTGCACAGTCAGGACATCAACTAAGCAAACATGATAAAAATTATGGTCACACATATTAATAAAAATTTGAATTGAATGAGCGAAAAGCATACACAACGACTACTCTGTTATGTACAGTCAAGCACAAAACATCTGCGGCCAAACAAAATCAGACTTTGGCAAACAAATGAATTATAGTAAATAATTAACCATATAACTCTTCTAAGAAAAAATAATAAAAATTAAGTCGTAAATTGAATAAATCTGGCATCTAGGTCTTACTACTCTGTACATTAAAGTGACATAAGTTATGAGCAGTTTGTGTAAAAAGTCTACAAATTTTATGAGACAATGAAAATCTCTCTGAAGTACCGGGTTTTTAAAAATAGAAATATCAAGATGATGAGAGTTGACCTAAATTTTAATGGTAAATGGGGAACTCGTGCAACTAGCGAGGGGTGTATATGAATAATGCTTAATTTTTGAAAATATTTTCGAGATATGGAAATTAAATTTCCTAATAGGTTTTGTACGTCAACTACTTTATAACAATTTCAGATAATAATAAATATATACACAAAATGTTACGATACAATCTGCATTTCTCATTCTCCAAGCCAGTATTTATGATTAAATATCAAAACAAGCATATTTAACAACTTATAAAAATAGGAAATCCCAATGTGCTGGATTTCTTTAAAATTACGAGTGATACAGTATAAAAAAATTGCAGACAAAATGATTGCGATATTAAATACTCACGCAGCATAGTTTCTGGTCCATTCAAGAGTTGATAGAAAATGTGAAAGTTCCTCTCCCCTGCTGCCTGCTGAACAACTCGAGATTTCTCAAGCAAATCTGTGGAATAAAAAAATATGAATCTCGATACCAAATGCTGTATGGCTATATAACAGCTCAGAACCAGTAATAAGAAAACGAGAATATCGGTCGGAGATCGAAAACTTATCGATCGGAGGTTAGGGATCCCCCAAAACAGCGCTCTTACTCCATAGCGACACCTTGTGTCCCATCACTAATCAATTAATAACTCGCTAATTATACGACATAATTCATCGAAAATCAATAGGCTTCTGATTCGAGTTATGATAAATACACATGCAAAATTTGGAGCAGATTCAACCTCGCTTTCGTGAGATATCGCGTGCTTCTAACAGACAATCTTAAGATCGATAAGTAATAACAGTATACACACAATACATTGTAATAAAGTATATTGTTAAATAATATCGCATATGCTAAATAATTGGGACTTCAAAGCCAAAGTCTGTGGATCGAGTTATATTCTCAAACTCCCCAGAGTAGGAACTCTTCATAGTCAGCCCTAACTAATAATAAACAGCTGTATGAAAAGGGTTACAAAAATATATATAAATGCAAGGCAACACTCTTCGGATTGGTAACCGGATATGAGGCTGCAAATAAATCTACACTCACAATTGGTGATTATTCCTCCAATTGGATCTCCCTTGAAATCAAATTCAATGTCCATGTACTTTCCCTGAGAAATAATATGAGAAATAATATAATGTTAACAAAAAAATAGAATGTATTACTAACAGCTTCTTATATTGGAGAGATTTGAATTTACCAAGAATATAATGTTGAATAAATATACATATAAAAAGTTTTTGGTTCAAATTAACTTGAATAAGATGATTTTAGAATCTTAATTTAAACTGAACCAGCTATGATTCAACATAAAATACTGCTAAAGCAGATCAAGTGGGTAAGATAGACATGTACATCAAATGTATGCACTATGCATGCATACATACAAAGTGTTGCCCTGTTTTTCCTTTCATTGGTGTTATGATAACCCAAATCGATTCACAATTATTGCCCGATTTTGTATTGTGTGTGTTTATTTTATTGTGTGCTTTATTAACTGTTTTTGGTGGACAGGCGCATACTTGTTTGTTTTTAATTTTGTCTTAAGTTATGCTCGTCCAAGGTCCATGCAAAATACAATAATTTATGTAATTGTGTGTAAGGAAAAACTGGTTTCAGAACAATTATTGTTATGCTGATTATTCATCCATTCTCATAAATTAGAAAATTTTCGTATTAAAAATTTAAAATAATAATCCATACTTACAAATCTAGAAGAATTGTCATTTCTGACTGTTTTTGCATTTCCGAAAGCTGGAAAATAGAAATAGAAACATTCACATATCTCTAGACATTACATAAATTTTAGTAAAATCTCCAAGAAAAAACATAAGATAAAGAAAGAATATAAATATAAGTAAAAAGATAAAGAATGAGCAGAGTGATTTTCTGTTGGTGGTTAATTAAGGCAGCAGTAGTTTGAAGAATTGCCAGACAGTGACAATAAAGCAACATGAAAAAACATTTAAGACATTGCTTTTAATTCTAGATTATGAAGATATATTGGTTTTTGGGTTAATATTGGCTCAATGCAAATAGACGGGACTTTTTTCAATCACAAATAATTATTGCTTAAATGCGTTGACATGGCTCTAACGCGTTTGTGTCCAATAGACTTTGTGCTTTGTGAATATTTCAATTTGTATGCGTGCCTCATTTTATTGCTCATCGAGTCTTTTTTTATAACAATTGTTATTATGTGTGTTATTTTTGGTGAGCGAGCATGTGCATTACACATTACAAACTTTATTCTTGAGTTTTGCTCGTTTTTCGGGCATTTCTGGAATATGATTTTTTTTCACTGAGTGTTGTATTTTCAGAATGCCGATATAATTTGTATTGTATTGACTATGTAAGTTAATTATAAATATGAAAACACCACACTCACCTTCCAAAACAGGATTCGACTGCAATAACTGCTGTTTGATTTTGACAACTTCTTTAGATTTGCTGCTCATTGCTGCAACATACTGCATAATTATCTTACTTGCCTCGGTCTTTCCTGCACCGGATTCTCCTGCAATGAATAATTGCATTTGAAAAAATATTCGAATGAATAACATAAGCTTCAACAATATCAAATTTTGAACAATCCAATAGACTATGCTGCATAAATACCAAAATTCAGAAAAAAAAGTTTTATGTATTATTAGTGAAACTTGATAGAAATAAACTCAGCTGTATAATTTAAAATAAAAATCAATTTCTTAAAGTTTGACTATAACTTAATAATATTGTATCAAATAATGAATCCAGAACAAAATGTTTAATACCTAATAATGAACTTCACTAGGTCCAAATACTGTATTCAGTTATCAATTAATTAATTAATACTGAATTACCAATCTGGATTGTGTTAAAGGCATGATTTTTCAATTAAAAGTTCAAGAAAAAAATTTAGTGACATTTTTACCTGTAATGAGAACACACTGGTCTCTGTTGTGATTCTTCATTGATCTGTACGCAAGATCTGCCACAGCATAACTGAAATAATATTTAGGTAATAATAATAATAATAATATTTAATATTTATATGACGATTATTTATATCTTTCATATTGAACAAGGTCTCATGAAATCTTCCACTGATTTCTAACAATATGTGAGAAGGTACCTTTTTGGAAGGAATGGATCAGGGTTAAGAATAATGAAAACGTAACAAAGTTCCCACAAATTATCATAACATAAGTATATGTATATACAGAAAAGAAAAATGCATTTCCAATTGAAACAATCAAAATACATTCTAAATTACAAAATCCAAAAAAATTTTCATCCTGAAATGCGATTTTTCACTTTATTTTACATTTCTGTATGCATAATGTATAGCTTACTTTTATGATGATGAAAAAAAAACAGATTAGTTACTGAATTTGCCAAACGTGGAATGAAAACAGAATTATAATATATTTACATGGTGTAAAAATCGGAATATTGAAATATATGTGAAAGAATTTTTAAATATGAAAATAAGAATTCACGCTATTTGGTCAAATTCAAACAAAAGAAACATTTCAAACATTTTTTCGATAAATGAGCAACAAGCGCAACCATATACGGTAACCTAAGTCTTGTAAACAAACTCTACTTAGTTACCGGCACCTTTGACATTTTAATATCATTCTCTCATCTTTAGATAGCGAGGGATTATCAGTTTTGTTATCTCTCGAGCATTTTTATGATAAAATCTATTGTCTATGTCTGTATCATGGTTGCAAAATATTGCAAATTTGCGATGATTTTAGAAATTGAACATTTATATACCGGTAATTGAATACTAACTACCGTAATAGTCAGACAATGAATTAGGATTTAAAAGATTATTACTCAAAATTTTCTAAATCAAGCTTAATTACAATTGTAATGTGTAGTAAAGTTGTCATTTATGCGCTGTGCTATATATTACATAACAATTATTGCAAATGATTTATAAAAACTGAAATTGAAATTTTCTGCAGAATATAACAGCAAAATGAATAGATTAAAGAAATTTCCTAAATCAAGCCTAATTTACAATTGTAATGTGTAGTAAAGTTGTCATTATGTCAAAATTCAACATACGCATGACAGATATGATTTTTAACATTGATACAATAAAAATGGTGACAGCACATTTGAGCCCACGTACATTTGAACCCATACGGTACATTTGCACCCGTATATGCGCGGGTTCAATCTATATGCAAATTTCCATAGGTGCAAACTGCAATAGTATGCAGGTGCAATTGTCGTGGGTTCAAATTACAGGTTTAAATGTAATGAAACCAATAAAAAATACTCACATATGTGGGGGAAGTTCATACATATTCCTTCCTCTGTATTCTTCTATTTTATCACTTCCATATATGGACAAGTGTTTGTAAGGATTGACGGAAACAACTACGGATCCAATGTAGGTCTACGATAAAAAATTTATGCTAGTTGAGTTCAATATTGAGGAATAAATGAATAAACATTACTATATTTATAAATAAAATTGTGATGGTAAATACAAAGCTACATAGATTAGGTGATCTAAAGAGGAAATACAAAGCAAGAAAGCTTTGTGAAATATATAATTGAAGAGCAACACAAGAGATTAAGATGTTTTCAAAAGAGATTATTGTGTTGGGAAAATAAAACCCAATTACACTGAAGAAAAAGTTACCGTAGTTTTTAAGGACTTACAATTTTGGAGTAAAATATTTTCGACCACGTTTTCAGTTCTATGTTCAAGATATTCCAAATTATGTAAAGGTTTATAATTACCGTATTGCTACTGTGTATTTGATTAGCTGAAATTTTGCATGTGAGAAATATTATTTGCTTAACTGTGTATTAAATTAAATTGAATGGATAGTTGAATGTGTAATTGAGCCATTGCATAAAAATGATTGGAATAGGAGGGTTGTGAACTCAAAATCGAAAGTTTTGATAAAAACGTATTCCAAAAAATTTAGAAAATTGTATAAGTGAACAAACAGGAATTACAACAGTATTATTAAAGTGATATTTGGGTACAGCTAACACGGAGATCAAGAAGTTTAGAAAAATGTTATTTCTCTGCTATAAACAAAATAATGTAATGAAAACAAAACAGACTTACATATATCTGGTCACTGTTAAATCTCTTTTGCAAGTTATCCAAGAAATTTTCTTCTGTGAGAGGATCCAATAGAACCATATCACCCACGCCCACCATTCTTGATAGAATACCATGCTGTTCCACATGTTGATGCTGGTGCTGGTACGACATGGCTGGTTGTTATTGAACCAAACTAAAATTAAAAACTACCAACACTGCTACTGGAGAACAGAAAACTGTAAATATGGAAGAAATTATATAACATCATTGGCAAAAAATTGCGCAAATAATTTTTGCTACAAAATATGTCAAACGAAATTATTATTATTTTGTCAGAGCTCAAAAAAATTGCAATTAAATTTATAATAAATGTTTTATAATCAAATTCAGCTATGCCATTTGAATTTACAAAAAATTGTTTGCCTTCCTTATCAACTAACTACAAGCTAAGCAATTCTTTGAATAATGAAAACTGTCTGTTAAGTCTGCAAATCTTTATTTCCTCTTGCTGCATGCTAAAGATCAATACAAAAACTGCCTTTGTCTTTCAGATTAGACATTTTACAAGTTCACATGCCTATCTGAAACCAAATTAGCCAGTCTGGAAACAGGTCAGGATTTATGAGACAAATGCTATCCGTGACATATTTAATGATAAATGATCAATACAATGCAAACATGCTTCAAAATCATGTCATAATTTCCACAACGAGCTGAATTTTCATATTAGAAATTTATTCTCAAAAGCAGAAATATTGGTACTGTCCTGGAATTTCCCACTCCTATTTTTTAGATCTGCTCTCTGCTATCATTAATTTCATTGATCACAGGTTAGGTTGGGACTTGGTATGGTTAGGTTTGATAATTGCCCCAGGTTTCTTTGTCGGCCCAACTTTTAATCTAACCAAACAAACAGAATCAATGAATGCAAATCAGGAAATTAGGGTCACATTTTCGTGGTGGGGCTATATCTTGACAATCGCATTCATTAAGGGCATTATGATTTCGCTCAAGGACATTTGTACCTGAATTCGATACAAAAAGAGATGCTCAGTGGATAAGATCCAGAAACTCTTTGGTTTACCCCAGCCATGGTTGATAATGTCTTAACAGAGAGCCCTTAGCTTGCCAGCCTAGATAGGCAAGAATATCTGGCACCCCAGAAGTATGCGTACCAATATGGAGGTAACTAATTTTGTTCATTTTACATCAAGTTGTATAAAGGGACTGTGGGCAGGGGTTATATTCACTTGGCTAACACAGACAGTTCCAAACTCGTTATAGAACTAAAATAAGGTAAATCGAAATAAAATTATGGCCTAACCCTAACCTGGTACACATACTACAGAAGTACCAAATATCTCTGGTTTATGTATGATGTACCAAGACCCAAAACAATCAAATCTTGTAAAGTATGATAAGGTCAACACGAAAGTTAAGATCAATTTTTGATTTGGACAAAGTGTAGAGAAAAGTACAAATCATGCTTATTCCACCTGTCACACACTCATGCAAAAACGTCACACAAAGCCAAGAACATGACTTCCGGTACAAAGTTTTGTAGGAAATTTTTGTCATGTTTTATCCAAGCTCAACGACGAAGCATTGATGTCATGAACTGCAGGTTACAAACGTGTTTCGATAAGATTAGCAAGAGCAGAATAGAAATGCATTCAATACAAAGCGAATCATCCACATCACCTTGAATAAATGTGCTGCTCATTGTTTAAAATCTTTTTTAACACTTCGTTTGAAATCCTAAAACCCTCAAACCTGTTTCAATAAGATTAAGCAGAATAGAAAAAATATTGCACTCAAAATAAGTCATCATAAGGAAAATAATGATACATTAGTGACATCAACTTGAACTATAACTTAAATGATAAATGTGCTACTCATGGGTCATTGAATAATAACTTTTTGAACACTTTGTTTAAAATCTTAATTCATTACGAGGATATACAATAAGGTCTTCAAGGTTTGAGTGACAAATATTATATTTCTTATTCAATACAATTTCTCCCAGTTGCTTTATATGATTACTCAAAGTATGTTTAGATAAAAATAAATAAGTCACAAATACATCATAAATCCAGTAAGATTATACGAGTATACAAATTTAGCAATAGCAGATGGCCATGTATCAGCATATTGTAGAAAGTAAAGGAAAGTTTTTGAAATGAAAGTGGTTCACTGTAATAATTAGTTTACTACACAAATATACCTAAAATAAATGCACCGACAAGATAGGTGGAAAGTCCCCTAAGACAATTTGCCCATGCAGCAGGTTATTTGAGATCAAAATTACTTTGCGATGACATCCTGAGTGAAATCAGTCATGTGTGAATATTTTAGTCCCATTCTGTTGTAATAATACACTTGAGAAGGATTGATTATGAAAGAAGAATGCTAAAAGTCTGCAATCAAATACCTCACATCCTATCCTTATTCAAACAAATGTACTAGGTGTTATAAAGTTTTTTTGGAGACATAATAATCAGGGATGAAAATACTACTATTCATGAAAATACAATGCTATATGTTACTAACAGATGGAAGTTGTTTGATATTAAACAAGTGTTTTTTTTACTGTATTTTCTTCAGTATTAAGGAATAAAATGAGTATTTGAAAATACTAGTTTTGAAAGCTATTTATTAATTTATCGATAGAGGTAAAAGTCGAAAATGAATTATGCTATGTTTAAAATCAGGTGATATTACCGGTAATCTAACAAATACAATTAGAATTTTTAGAGTCGAACACTTTACAAAAAAGTCATTTACTTATACAGTGTTTTCCTGAAAATAAGACAGGGTCTTATTTCAATTTTCTTTCGAAAAATAACATTAGAGCTTATTTTGGGGGGAGGTCTTTTATTTTCATTTATCAAAAACAAAATTACGAAGTAGAGAATTACGAGATTTTCACATATACAAAATATGAAAATCTGATATCCATTTACTTATAACTAACACATTGTAATTTAAAATAATACGAATAGGTCTTATATAGGCTACCTATGTTAAATTTGGAATATATTCTTACAGAGATATTATATGCTGCTTGCTAGTCTTGCAATGCCCATAAAATACTTAAACAAATATCAGTTTCCAAATCAAATATTCAGAACTAATCACGAAGCAAAAAAAACTTATTCAATCTTACAAAGCTTTGAAGAAATCTACAAATCACCGAGAACTGTTTAAAATCAACATCAAAACCAGAACAATAGTTTCCTTCCTCTATTTAGGAGAAAAGCACTGATTTATATCAAACAATAACATTAGGCATCTTTATATACTTGAATAAAACAAGCCAAGAACAATAATAAGATACTTTCTTACACAATTGTAACAAAAGAGCCATACAAACTTAATAAATGAGGTGTCAATAGGGTATTGTTCGTAGTGTATGCACCAGGTCAGGGTTAGCCAATAATTTTATCCAGAACTTACCGGTACTTATTTTGGTTCCATTAAGGGTTCAGGGACTGTCTGTGTTAGCCAAATGAATATACTTCCTGGCTCCTGCCTATAGGTTTCAGTCTCTTTATACAACTTGATGCAAAGTAGGCGGGAAAAATTAATTACCTCCATGTTGGTACACACACTTCTGGAGCGCCGTCAATAGAGTATGTAAAAAAGTTCCAATCATAAGACTCATATTCATAAATTTTCACTAAGATCTATATAGGAAACCAACCATGTACTAGATTTGTAATCAGAGTTAATTGCTTAGTGGTTTGAGCATTGGAACTCTGCTAGCATTGCAGGTTCCTTGTCTTTTCTAAATCCTCTTGTTTCCTAACCCATGCAAGGTTTAATAATACATCAGTAATTTGTTAGAAAATTCTGAACTGAAATGAAGCTGGCCTTCCAAAAATCTCTGTCATTGCAATCCAGAGTGGAATCTGAAGGTTAAACATGGTATGGAAAAAAGGGAATTGTATGATTAAACAATGTCATTCAAATTTACAAAACTGAAGTTTTTGATTGTAATATTAAAAAGCCTTCCATTTAAATTAGCCAAGTGAACCATAAGAGCAAATTTTCAAATTAAATTTCTATCGAAATCAAATCTAGTATTAACACCCATTTCAACCAAATATTACTAGCGACTAAGTCCTGATATTCTTAGCACCGATCTTAAATACTGTAAAAACAAACAATCCCAATATTGATGAAAGCCAACACAAAAGGCAGGTATTAGGTTTCTCTCTCTAGACGCCGATTGTCTCAAAACAAAGAACAGTAAAATGGATAAAAAAAAAAATTGGGTTATTGTAGACCACTAAAATGTGTGTGTATCAATATAGTGAACACTTTAGGTTCAATGGATTTTTTCAAAGAATTACGCATCAGAAAGGAATATAAATACTTAAATGTGCTGTTAAATGGTTGCCACCTTCAATATCAATTCTAGAATAATGGCTTTAGCAGTTTCTATTTGCTGAAATTCAAAATATATACCGAATATATATATATATATATATGTAGTCAGTGATATGCAACAGGGTATAGCATACTAAATAACCGAGTGGGAGTGTATACCAAGTCAGATCCCGGGTATGAAAAGTACAATTGCTGTATGAGGGTTATACAGCTATAGGTTGGTTTGAATATACTTCCCAGCCCATTATGTATTTCTGAACGTGGTTGAAGAGCGCTGTTCTAAGTGCATGAATAAAATTAGGTGGTCTTTTTAACTGCTGGTCAGTTATGGCTTCTTCTACCATGGAGCCCATGCATCTGAACAAATAGTTGTTCATCCATTTCCACACTTGTAATGATTTATTAACCGAACACGAGGCCATGGTATGCCATGTGATTTTGTTATATAAGCAGCATTTCTCTCTCCTGGAATGAATATGATATCCCTATCCTGTTCTGAAAATTTAATTTTTTTTTAAATTTATAAACACAATTTACGTTATTTAGTACCATCTCCATAACTATTTTAAAACAATACCTAATGTTTATTTTTAACAATTTTAATTTAAATACAACAAGCTACAAGCCTACAAACATTACAATATTTGCATTAAGTCAGTAACATTGAAAATACCAACAAAGTAAAACCAACAAAATCATAAAAATTGGCCCTTAGGCATTGAACAAGTATCGTAAACTAAGTAATAACAGGGTGAAGTGCTTTTCTCAATAATAAAACACTAATGCACTGTCTAGTCAGGCAATTATTGCCAAAGTTCAAATCCTGTCATGAAATGTATCGTTATAAAAACTCACTCTGCATGTTATGG